TGATTGCCAACTGATTAAGTGCGGATTGCATGGCTTGGGAATTCTCGCACAGTAAGACAATATCATCCGCATACTCAAGATCGAGAAGTCTTTCTCCAGGCAACAGATCCACACCACCATTACTTACATCCGTCAGAGCTGTTTCCAGAATGTCATCGATGGCAAAGTTGAAGTGGAATGGTGAAATTGGGCAACCCTGTCTAACCCCACTGCTTGAATGGAATAATGGAGAAAGGTGGTTGTATGCCCTCACTCTGCCTGAGGTGTTTGTGTATAGGGCTTTTAGGATGTTAATAAACTTCTCAGGCACACCCTTCTTCAATAGACAATCTCAGAGAACAGTCCTACCCAACGAATCGAAGGCAGTCCTGATATTAAGAAACACCACAATTGTTGGCCTTTGATAAGTATGGCGATGTTCTAACATTTGGCGGAGGGTGAAGATATGATCAATACATCCTCATCCAGAACGAAACCCAGCCTGCTCCTCGCGAGTCAATCTTTCTCGGGTTTTGAACAACCTACGAAGTATGACGGAAGCCAATAGCTTGGACTCAATCGGAAGTAGACTTATCTCCCGATAGTTGTTACAGGAACGACGTGAACCCTTTTTAAAGATAGGGACAACTATCGACTCATTCCATGACGTTGGCACACTCTCTAGTTCCCAGACCTTTGTAAACAAAGTCGTCAGTGCCTTAGTCAGAAAGTCACCACCATCTTCAAAAAGAGCCGGAGGTAAGTCATCTGGGCCCGGTGATTTGTAGCGTTTCAAGAGTTGGAGTTCCTTGCGGACTTCCGCCTCATTTGATGGATCAGTCGTCACCGGCCATGGAGTGCAGGACAGTCTGACCGACGTTGCCGGAGCAGCAGGCCAGTTGAACTGCCCTTCGAAGAACTCTGCCCATCGTCCAAGACGTCGATGGATGTTAGTGATTGACGTTCCGTCATCCTCACAGATTTTTTCGCTCACACCAGACTTCTTGCTGCCAGTAGCTCTGATGAGTTGGAAGAGCTTCCGGTAATTACCAGATGCAGCTGCTGCTTCCAGCTCATTAACACGCTCCGACCACCAGGCTTCTCGGTCCTTACGCAAGCTTTGCCCGATTTCATTGCGTAACAGTCGTCGTTGGTCCAAGGTTGTCGGTGATGCGCGGAGTCCCGTTGGTGGTTTTGTCACGTGATATGGGACAGGCTTATGGGGTATAACAGAAGAGGTTGGTCATTTATCGAAATTATTAAATTTTGAATACATTCGTGACTAAAACATGTGCAGAGTCTATCATAGATTCAAAGGAATGTCAATAGTTTTATTTGATCTAGGATAGTTGGAATTGTCCTTAAGAAAGAAATAATTATCTGCCAGTCACCGACATTGATTTATGATTCGTTTAGGAGAGAACTCCACTACGAACAGAATTGGAAACAGTTTTTAACTGTAGAAATCGAAATTATTCTTTGATAGTAATGGTATTTTTTCCCTAATCCTATAAAATGATGGAGTTGGTTGGGAATCTTAATAAATGCATTTTACAAATATAATAGTCCAAACATAACAATTTCTATATTTTCATTAAACAATCATGTGTGGGTTTTACAGCATAGTATGAGGTGTGATAGGTAACCGGCACATTCAAATACTATTGATTTTTACAAATAAATCACAATAAAGTGTGTCACTATTCGACATATGATTTTGTTCAAATTCTCATTATTTAAGTCACATTATTGATTACCCATTCACAAATGCACAACACGGAATATAATCAATAAGCAGGTCACACCACTATGAGCTGGCAATATGCACTAAAATTCCAAAAAATCAACCACAATCTTTAAGCCATGGTTTCGCCTTTAGTTAAATAAAAAGTATTGACATTAAGCTGAATCCATTCATTCCGTTAATAAATATTGAAGTAAATTACTTAGCACTAGTATTTCTATCTATAATTCCATGCAAAGTAAATGAGACGGCCAAAGAAGTTCACTAAGTCAGAATTCAACAAAGAAAAGAATTTAGTTTATTGATGAGTGCAACAAAATGCTTCGGTATGGTCGATGGTGGGGAAAGTCCGCTCTGCATCTCAAAATGCTCTCACATGGCAAAGCATACATAGCAACTATCAAGGATGTTCTACTCCTTGACTTCTCGTGGTGTGTTTACGAAATTGAGAGGACGAAAAGCGAATGTCCGGCGCTTTAGGCTGGTCGGTGGACACGGAGAGTTGGAAAACCCTGATTCCAAACCAATGGTGCACATAGGCTCCAGTATCCTGAGGGAACAAATGGTGTATGAACCAATCGTTGGTCACCTGCTACCATGGGACTGCATCACGTAACTTTTCTCCACTGCCTTCAGGATAGACCTCTAGGTCCAATGCTCGGGGAGTGGTTGCCTAAGAAAACCACCTGCTTCGGTTTGGGAGCCCGGGCAGTATTTTAACCCTTACACGAATAAAATGATAAGTGTGGCTCATATGTATTTGGTCGTCCTTGTACCAGTATTTATGTGTTTAGATAATAATAAACAAATTATTGATGAGTACTGTTCACTAAGAATTCCAGGAGTCCATAAAGGTCATGACCGATGGTATGACTCGAAATGTTAATGAGTCGGTTAACTTTAAGTTATATCAAAAAGATGACAGATAGTGTGAAGATAGCACACAATACTAGATTGTATGATATTTATTCCGATAATTCATAAGAGAGCTTAAAACTATCATTTCAGGAAATCCTGATTCAAAAGCTTAGTTCAAAAAGCCCATTGCAATATTAAAATTAGGAAAATTTTCCTATAATGTGATTTAATGAGACTATGCAAACGTTTTTATAGTTTCTTTAACCCAGATTAGTTTATAATAAAATAAATAGGTATTCCGTCATCTACAGCTATTTAATATTTGAGGTCTCCACAGTGAAAGTAGTGATTTTCCCAGCAGAACTTACGAAACAACTTTAACGCAAGAATCTTAGGTATATGAAACAAATGTAGTTAATAAATATTTAACGTCAGATATTTGTGGCATATCTCGTTAATTGGTGAAAGCATAGTTGAATCGCACGACTCCTATTAATTATCATGAATCTTAAGATGTAATCTCCCTGTGAACATCTGTAAATTACTGTAATAGAAGTAAAAACATATTTAAAAACGAATCTTAAACATGAAGGGTAGACACTAGCCAGTTGGAATGGGATAATTTGTTCCGTATGAATAATAAACACGATAACAAACTAATTAATTTTAGGGTTAAACTGAAAATAATCCAACAACTGACTGGTACAGGTATTTCGAACACGTAGGAAGTTAGTTGTGACTGGGCAATGCAAGTAGCAACGTTTACATTTGTGGCATTAAAGACTCTAGACTCAAATGTTAGGATTGTGAATTCCTTTGATAAATGCTAAAAACCAAGGAATATAAGTAGAACAGTTCTTGTTTGTGGCTCTGAAATGCATTCCAGTAACTAAGTATATATTTGTGTACTAAGATCCAGGAAATCATTACGACGCTAGAATAAATGAAGTGAATTTCGAACTTTGGTCAGTCAGTCATGTGCAACGTAGAATCAGGAACACACGCATCCATATAAAGAGACTTCGGGACTCAAGTTTCAAAGAAAAGAGAAAGGACGAACCTAGAACATTGACAACAATCCCAAGCCACGTTTACAAAGTCTGTCGACAAGTTTCGAACCTAAGCACCATTAGTTGAAATTCACTTGACCGTAACTTTAACGATTTGTACTAAATATCTCAGAAAAAATAATTGAAAAACGTTAGCAATGTAAAACTGTGCCAATATATCTATGGTACTTTAATTTAACTAAATAATTCACCTCAGATAAAAGGTCTATTGAGATAACAAATAGTGTCTACCACTCTATTTGTTTACGTAAACAATATGCACATAAGTGAAAAACAATATCGCTTTTGTCAAATAAGATCGATAGCACTATTTTGCATTAGTAACATAGTTGAATAAGTGACACACAAAATACTGATTTTAATATTGATATATTACATTTTCTAAACAGAAAAATATTAAAGCCTTTATGTTATTGCAATTTATCAGTGTAACCTGGAAACCGAGTACAGATTTATGAAATTCACGTCGAACTACGATATGAAAACATACAATACTACCAAAAATAAAGTAAGTAAGGGGTCCAGACACTGTACAGAACTAAGTAAATATGGAACTTTCCAACCTATAAGATTATTTCTCACTTTTCCCCTTACAACTGAATTATTTTGCTCATAAGTGGTGTAGACTAATATCAATTATAAGTTTTACTGCGTAGTACAATTAGAAATAACATGAGTTATTTATTGTGTACAGGAAACAAGGCTGTGACACGAAGTTTTATGTACACAATAAGCTGTTCTCTAAAAAACAAATTCAACATTTACACTGTCGATATACCGTTGGTTCAAAGTTGAGTGAATAAACCTGTGCTTGATAAATGAGTCACATAATTAAATAATGCTCGTGCTTCTTCTTTACGCCAACGGGACACTAAATTGCTTAGGACGAACAACGAACGATTAATTTGCATACATAATTTGCTCGATAGATAGTCAGCATGCACTATTCTACAAAGCTTCGACACAACTCAAATTAAGAACATGTGGTTCGTCTGACTAGTTCATGTATTAGTCATCAATTAACCATCGACAATCGGTTATATATATATAATATGTTAAAATAATAACTATATATATATATATAGTTAGAAGCATACCATCAATATACGCCAGTGTTTAACAACCTCTGGCATAGTTGATACTTCTACTATCTTGAGGAGACTACATATCATTATATACTTAATAATAGCGGAGCCATTTGATACATCAAATCCTGGGGTCGCTCACTTAAAAAGAAACTGCAAACTGAATGCTAGTTACACATTGCTCCAACACATACTACGTAGTTGGATTTAGAAGAGCTCCATATTCGATATTATAACTCAGTCACAAATCTACCGCTCACCGCTGCAAATGTAAGAATAGTACACTCCGAATGGTGAACTAATGTTGTCCTTATCCTGTGGGGCTTCCCATCTTTTAAGTTTTGATTAAACAAACTGATTTATCTCCATAAGCACGTCTTTTTCTAGACACACACCATGCAACAGTTGATAATGTGACGACAATAAGCTAACAAAGATAGTGGAACATTATTTCCCGTATGAATTTATATAATGTCATTACTGACTATTAAACACTACTTAGAAACAAATAATGAGCCAACCAAACGATAGGAAAAGAAATTCGCTGAAGGTGCATTGAGTTATTTAACAAATAGCATTAACAGTAGAATTTTTAAAATTAACAGCAAGATCACCGTTCTGTGAAGATAAAAGAAAGGGGAGAAAATAAAGGAACAAGGCCACATTTGTCAAAGTACTCACATTCTTGTTGAACACATAATTGAGTCTGTGAGTGGTATTAGCAATAGTATCAATAAAAATTAATGATGATAAGAATAATATGGAGATAATAGTAAGGTTTGTAAGGAATCCGGCCAACAATTTTGCTGATTTTTCTATAACAAGTTAAATCAATAATTAAAGGACGGATTGGCAAAAGAACTCAGTTTTCACAGTACACAACAGCGTTTGTTCTTACGGTCTGTTGGAGGTCGCAGGGCAGCAAGGATAGCTTCGTCGAACACATCTTTCAAACCTTTCTGTACAAAGAAAGAATATATTTGATGTTTGTAGCAATTGGGAAAATGAAAAAAATCAATAACACAAGTATGTAAATTAAAGGCAAATAAATATATTTTTAGTTGATAGTATGACTGTTTGAGTAAAACTTGTTTTAATGACGAGGAAATTTATTCGGAAATTAATGCTGTAAGTCTATTGATGAATAGCCCTTCAGGAACCCGGAAATTTTAATTTTAATGAAGTCGCTGACTGTTCAGCTAACAATGATGAAAAGAGTGAAATCCATATCGTATAGAAACGGTAGTAATTACGCAGAGATCAGTAACGGCAAGTAATTACGTTGACGAGAACCACAGTTCTTCACTAAAGACCGAACTATTGGGATCTACAGTAAGAATGTTAGCAAGATATAGATTGGATTAATGCATGTTCCATCCAGGGTGATGTTGGGACACTTTTAGTCAATCCCCACCAGAAGACCCCAGAACATTCTTGAGTATAAATGAAAAGTTTACCAAGTATTCACAATGTGATTGTTACTCCAATACAACTTGATTTAAAAATAAGGAAGATTTTCTTCATTGAATTCTCTTTATTTTTATTCAATGACGTGATTTGTTTGGAACATAATTTAGTTCCTGCTCAACCGTGTTCTGATTTTCAGGACTAGTTGAGTGAAATTAAGAACATTAAGCAATAAGAGTAACTGAGTCATACAAAGTGACCTCAACAAAGAAGTACAATCAAGCAACAGATGTTAATCCAACTACTCATCACTTTACTGCTCTGCAATGTTTGAGATATTATATCACCTTAGTACCGAGGAAAGAACGTAAACTAGCAACGTAATAACAAAACGAAGCCAAGATATTCCTCTGCGCCCAACCCCAGCAAACTAGAGGAAAAAGGCCAGAGTCCGTAGGGAAAATATTTAAATTCCACTAGAGGCCCGGAAGATCAACTAACAAGCACTCAACTCACGCGTAATATATACAACAATACAAAAATTTCCTCGAAGTGTCACAAAATAGAGAACTAAACAAGAAGACGAACCAATGGCGTTTAAGATCCTTCAGGCGGAAAACAAACTGAAGCTACTAATGAATGCTTTTGGAGTGAAAGTAAGAAATTTAAGCCTTCACAATTAGGTTACTGAAATAGGAAGTTTATCAAGCTATTTCTAGGGATCTAACATACCAAACATGCTCTATATAATAAACTGTTGATTTTCAATGAGTGTAAACCATCAATATACACAACTAATAAGGTGTTAAGCTAAGATTGAACCCATTACTGGTTATCCTCAATACTTCAGAAATGATAACATGAATCCCAATCGTAGCTGCTACCTTGATACGGTAGTCTGGCTTGCCTGTCGTGATGACTCATCTGAGCTATATTGGCTGGAACACTTGTTACTTTAGGTCCTACCATGCCAAAGAGGTTGGTTGAAGTTCCCTAAAACCGAACGCAGCAACTCGAGGGAAGGGGTGAAGTTGCATTGTTAACTGTAGAAGGAAATATTGTAGTGAAGCAGAAGGTTGCAGAATGCTACAGTGCTGGATTTGTGGTCAAGTTATTGGCAACTACTTATAAAAGACAGCAATCGAAACAAGACAGAAGAACGCCATTAGAGTTGGCGGGTGCACAGTTTATGTTCAGAAGATTAATGACGCTGTTGCTCAGGGACCTAGATGACGTCGAGGTGTATGGCGATGATGTAGTTGTGTACAGCCATACAGAAACAGATCACGTCAAGCATGTGGAAGCGGTCTTAAAGCGAACTGAAGAATTTGGTTTTCGAATTAATAAGGACGGGTCACAGATAACGAAAAAAAGCGTCACGTTGTTCGGACATAAAGTCGGAACACCAAGCCTCCATACAAGGAACAACCAAGAAGTCACCTTTCCTGCTTATGTATGGTAGATAGGCACGACATCTAATTCGTAACAAGACCTGGCCACAACAGCAGAAGAGGACGGTAACAAGGTTAAGAAAAGGGAGACAATAAGGATCGTGGGAAAGAAACAAATATCAGACACAAAGAAGGCGGGACAGATTTTTGCAGTTGGGGGTTTGGTAAAGTGTAGAAAACGGGGATGTACCATAGCAGCGGGACAAGGATCAGGAAAGCTGATCTCGAAGTGGGAAGGACCCTACATTGTCACGATCCGGAGAGACGACAAGTAGAAGCGCGTAAATGCCAGTCAACTGTAGAGATGGTTTCAAGAGAATCATAAGTGCGAGTCACGAAAAGCATAAAAGAAGACGGCGGTACAAGTATCCTCTACTCTTATTGGGTACGTTTCGCGGCCGTAAAGTCAAATAGAACGAATTACAGCGAAGCACACTCGTCCTTTTACTAATAGATGGATATCTCGCCTTCGCCATAGGTGACCTAAATGGCAAAAGCCAAACGAGCTTTCTGAATCTGTGCAGAGATTTTGTCAAACATAAACCCATTGAAGCTGATCAGATTCCCAAGATAAGTGGGGTTGTTGTCGCAGGTCAGTCCTGAAGAAATAATTTGCATTTCGAGGGGGAGAAACGAATATCAAAACTCCTGGCACTGTTTCTCAATGATACCAAAAGACTGCATTTTACCAGCGTCTTCACTAAACAGGACTATGTCATCTGCATATTCTAAGTTAATAGGTGGACCTCCTGGAGGGAGATCGATTCCTGAAGATTCAGATGACGAGAAAGTTATTACAAGCAGTAGGTCTATGATGATAGTGGACAGCTTTGTCGGACACCACTTGAGGTTGCGAAATCAAGTGACAGTTCGCCATAGGCTCTGATTCGACTGGTAGTGTTCGAGTAAAGAGCCTTTACAAGGTTTGTGTTATTCTCAGGTACAACTTTCAGTGACAGTGACACAGAACCTTTCGATATAGAGTCAAATGCTGCTTTTAAGTCAAGATCTGACGAATGGTGAACATGTGGTTGATGCAGCCACGACCAGGTATGAAGCCAGCTTGATTTTCTAAAATTTGAAGTTCAAGAGTCTTTGTTAGGCGTCCGATAATAATTAAGGCTAGTATTATAGATGCTAAATTAGTTAAACTAATTCCTCTATGATTATCACTAGATGATTTTGATCCTTTCTTATACATTGGGACGATCAGGGATTGCAACCAACCAGATGGGATTACGTTTAGTTCCCAGATTTTAGCTAAAACATTAGTTAACCTTACCGTTAAAACTCGACCATCATCCTTAAAGACCTCTTGAGCCAGTCAATCCGGAACAACTGCTCTTCCTCGTTTCAGATTACCCATAGCTTTTTGAACTTCAACTAGAGTCGGGGGGATACTTCAATGTTCCATTCGGGCTGTTTGAAAATTGTGGGTAACTGTAGATTAGCTGAGGGCCGGCTGAACAACTCCTTAAAGTGTTCTGCCCGTCGTTCTAAACGTCTGGGATGAGAGCAGATAAGAGGGTCGTCTTTTCCCGAGATTGACCTCTTAATTTCGGTTTCTTTCATTAGCCTGAAAAGCTGTCTAGTGTTATTTACAACCGCTACCTTAACCATCTCTTTTGCTTTGGTTGCCCACCACTGTTCACAGTCATTCCGAAGACTCTCTGTTAGCCTAGATCTGATTTGTTTTCGCTTTTCATCGTGTTCGGAGGCTGATAGAACGAGTTTATGAGAGTCTACCAGTGCGATAGAGTTATCAGAAATCCACTGGTCTTTCGTGACCCTTTGGTTCAAATCACTAATAAATGTCGCTGCTGTCCGTATATCTTTCCAAGCAACATTTGGGTCAGCCTCGTTTTCAGAATTGCCTAAGTGTGACTTTAGTTGCTCCTGGAATTTACTTTTGGCATTCTCGTCACTAAGTTCAAGTCTAATGTATTTTCTGCATCCAGTGAGGCGTAAGCAAGTACTTGTTCGTATTAGAGCATGGTCATGGTTTAGACATGTACTCCAGAACGAGAGACAGTCTCCTATCGAGCCTCTCTAACGATGAATGATGGCAATGTGATCTATTTGAGTTCATCGTTGGTTTGGTGCAGGGGGTAGCCATGTTAGATGATGTCTCTCCATATGCTTAAAATTAGTGCTTCTTAGAAATAAACGATTGTATGAGCTGCTGCATTTAGTCTTACCACTCTTCAACCCACCTGTCTGGCATGGTAAGACACTGAAGAACGATTGTTCCAGCCAATATAGCTCGATTGGTTTGCAGTGATAGACAAACCCGACCACAGCGTTAAGGGAGTAACGGTGAAGGCATGCTTGGGATACAATTCTCTCGCTCATAATACAAAAAGTTGCTTAAGGACTGGCCTGTGTTAGTTTCAGAAATAATGATAGTGAATGAAGTAGTTGGGTGTATTTTCCGCTTCATTTATCTTGGGGGTCTCAACAGCCATAACGGGTTGGCGTCTGACAAAATCTCGGCACGGATTCAGAAATCTTCACTGGCTTTTGCCAACTTTTGGAGTAGGCGAGATATCCGTCTCCCGACCAAAGGAGTATACTGAGTAGCAGTTTGCTTCGTTCTACTTTAAGATGTTAACTTATAAGGAATAACCGGTAATTTCACGTAACTTGAGAATGTGTATACTGAAGACAAGTAAGGAATGAAACTTACAGAATCGTAGCCAGTGTAATAAATGACACTCAAAAGTGACTAGCAAAATACTGTGACCTTGATTAAACCTACGGCTGATCTTGAACATTGAGGAAAGGTTTATTTTATTATTTCCTCTGAGGTATCTAGTACGCATCATCGATTACTTTAACAGAATCTTAGAAACGTCTAGATTGTAAACTACCGAAAACGTTTCAGCTAACAGCAATTATGCTGGTTTATTAAGTGTATAATAATAAATACACCTAATAAACCAGCTATAATTAGGTGTATGCCCCCAAATGCCCTGGTATGGCCGAGAGTGGGGTGGGTTCGCCCTCCCTCTCGAAATACTCTCACACGACCACACGTATATAGAATCTGTCAGGGAAGTCCTACTCACTGCCTTCTTGTGGCGGGGGTGTTGTTTACGAAAATGAGAGGAGGAAAAGAGGATGTCCGGCGCTATAAACGGATCTCAAATCAATGGTGCACATGGGCTCCAGTATCCGGAGGGAACAAATGGCGCATGAACCAATTTCTTGGTCACCGGCTTCCATGGGACTGCATCTCCTCACGGTGCTCCATTGCCTTGTGGGTTAGACCTTTAGGTCAAAGGCCCGAGGTGTGGCCTCCTAAGAAAACCACCTGCTTCGGTCTGGGCACCCGGGCAGTATCACAGCCCACACACAAATATAATGAAAATGATCTTCTCTGAAAACTCTGTTCACGCTGCGATTTATCGTCAAACAATTAACATTATTATTATCATCATTATTATTATTATTTACCACGTCATTTATTCTCTCTTTTATTTCCACTCTGTCCATCCTTATTTTTCGACTTATACAGCAGCTCGCCTATGGTGGACATTCGGCTCTATCTAAACGTTCTCCAGTCACTACCTGGTTGAAAATTGTATGTTACCATTGAATAAGAGTACTGAAGCAGTCTTTCTGAAACCACGCGCACCATTCAAACTGTCTGCCTTCAACGTTCGCACACTTATGCAGGTCGGACAACAGATAGGGCTGGCTATGTCTTTGGAAAGTCTTAATATTTATGTGTGTTGTCTATCCGAGACCCGTATTCAAGACTCTGTTGAAGTACTACAAGTTCGCTCTCCATCTGTCACTTCAAAAAAGCTTGTTTTATGTGCGTTTATCCGGGGACCCTGTGGCATCTTCGTCTGGTCTTGCTGTCGTTGGTGTCGCACTAAGCGCAAGAGCTGAGGCAGCACTAGTCGACTGGATCCCCATTAACAGTTGGTTATGTGCTGTTAGATTAGAAAGTTCCATCAAAGTGAGAAGAAATCGGCGTGAGAAACGATGTCTTTTCGTCATCTCCGCCTATGCCCCGACAGATTGCAGTCCGGATGCAATCAAGGACGAGTTATACCACCAGTTAACTGTTCTCCAGAAAGTGCGTTCGACAGATATTATAGTACTGGCCGGAGACTTGAATACTCAAGTCGGGCGTCTAGGCACTGAAGAGAGTCGTTTAGCTGGCCGATGGGGACTCGTTGGTCGCAGGACAAATAACGAGGAACGTATACTGCAACTATGCACAGACCACAACCTGTTTCTGGCTAGCACTAACTTTCGGCACAGTCACCGCCGATGTGCCACCTCGCTTCCCCCTTCTGCATCTCAAGCCTGGACTCAGATTGATCACATTGCGATCAGCTACCGCTGCCGTGGTTGTGTACAAGACTGCCGCTCCTTTCAGAGTACCTATCTGGAATCTGATCATGCTCTGGTCTGCGCCAATCTTACCTTACTTTTCAGTGGACAACGAAGTGACCGCCACCAAAGGATCGATGTTAGCAAGCTGGCTGCAACTTCTGTTGCTAGTAAGTACCGAACCGAGCTAGCTTCTAGACTAGCTACCATTCCACTGAAAATTATAGATGAGCATTGGTTGCAATTGCATGACGCCATGAAAATGGCGAGTAAAGTCACTTGTGGGTTCGCGAAACGTCGCGCTTACAAGCACTGGGTTTCTTCTGGTTCCCTACAATTGATTGAAGCCCGTCGGTCTACTCCGGGTGACCGTGAGTTTGACCACAGACGAAGGATGTTACGTAATGAAATCGGGCAAAGCTTGCGTAAGGACCGAGAAGCCTGGTGATCGGAGCGTGTTAATGAGCTGGAAGCAGCAGCTGCATCTGGTAATTACCGGAAGCTCTTCCAACTCATCAGAGCTACTGGCAGCAAGAAGTCTAGTGTGAGCGAAACAATATGTGAGGATGACGAAACCTCAATCACTAACATTCATCGACGTTGTTGGACGATGGGCAGAGTTCTTCGAAGGGCAGTTCAACTGGCCTGCTGCTCCGGCAACGTCGGTCAGACTGTCCTGCACTCCATGGCCGGTGACGACTGATCCATCAAATGAGGCGGAAGTCCGCAATGAACTCCAACTCTTGAAACGCTACAAATCACCGGGCCCAGATGACTTACTTCCGGCTCTTTTTGAAGATGGTGGTGACTTTCTGACTAAGGCACTGACGACTTTGTTTACAAAGGTCTGGGAACTAGAGAGTGCACCAACGTCATGGAGTGAGGGCATACAACCACCTTTCCCCATTATTCCATTCAAGCAGTGGGGTTAGACAGGGTTGCCCAATTTCACCATTCCACTTCAACTTTGCCATCGATGACATTCTGGAAACAGCTCTGACGGATGTAAGTAATGGTGGTGTGGATCTGTTGCCTGGAGAAAGACTTCTCGATCTTGAGTATGCGGATGATATTGTCTTACTATGCGAGAATTCCCAAGCCATGCAATCCGCACTTAATCAGTTGGCAATCAGTGTCCGTAGGTATGGTATGTGCTTTGCACCTTCTAAGTGCAAAGTACTTCTACAAGACTGGCAGGATTCTAATCCTGTACTCACTCTGGATGGTGAGCAGATAGAAGTAGTCGAGAAGTTCGTGTTTCTAGGTAGCTGCATAAGTGCTGGTGGTGGTGTGAGTGATGAGATCAATGCACGTATAGTGAAAGCCAGAGCGGCTTATGCCAATCTGGGCCATCTTTGGCGCCTTCGTGATGTTAGTCTGGCTGTAAAAGGTCGGATCTACAACGCGACGGTGAGAGCAGTTTTGCTCTATGCTTGTGAAACCTGGCCTCTTCGAGTTGAGGATGTTAGACCACTCTCTGTGTTCGATCATCGTTGTCTCTGAAGGATTGCTGACATCCAGTGGCAACACCATGTTAGTAATACAGAGGTTCGGTATCGTGTGTTCGGGCACAGAGACGATAATCCAATTGGTGTCACCATCTTGAGACACCGAATTCGGTGGCTTGGACATGTTCTACGAATGTCGTACCAGAGAATTCCACGTCGCGCATTATTTGCCGACTCTGGGATTGGTTGGAAAAAGCGGAGAGGTGGTCAGTATATGACATGGTGTTGTGGTATGAAAGAAAGCTGCAAAGGGCCAGCTTCTGTTGCTCCTTCACGACTCCCTGGTTGGGGTCCGAGAGACGGTGTAACACAGTGGCTAGAGACGTTATCAGATGTGGCTAAGAATAGAAGCCAGTGGCGATCCTGCTGTAACTTTCTTTTTCTTTCTTCATAAAAAGTGGTTGTATCTTCCTTAAATGTAAGATTTCTTCTGAGTGTACCTTTTCGTCTCCCCCCATTACTGTTTTTTTTATTTTATAATGCCCTACGTTCTTACTTTTTTTTCCCTTCCTAAATTCTCATTGTTTTGTGTGGCGCATATGTATTTGGTGCCCCCCTGTACCAATATTTATGTGTTCAAATAAATAAATAAATAAATAAATTATTATGTGTATGATAACCTTCAAGCATAGAAAGTAAAAACGTAATCCATGTATTTATAACGTATATGAGGTTTTTCAGTGAGTATTTTTTGCTGAAACTAGGTAAGTCTGACATGATATACGATTGATAGTCGACCCATAGCCTGGACAAATTTTACACATAAATAATAAACTTCACATGTTAAATGTGATAACCAACAAAAGTTGTAAACAGATTTATGTTGTTAAGATCATCTCTCAAGTTGGTTATTTTACTAACAATAAGACTACTTAAATCTAAGAACAATTCAACAAAGTCACATCTAGGCTAGAACTAGACTACAATGTCTTCATTATCGTTTTAGCTTTCAAATTTGATGGTTAATTACTAAATAAGCATCATAAAACTGTTTACGAAACACATGATGTTCATCACAAATAAAAAACAACTCCATTGCATGGATTAAGTAGGAAAACAAAAACTGACCTGGGTAAGAGCTGAACACTCCTGATACTTGACAGCTTTTAAACGTTCGGCGAGTTTTTTACCCTGATCACTACTGACCATTTTCGCTTTGTCGTTATGCAAGCGGGTTATTGTAGCGCCTTCATCGCGAAGATCAATTTGTGTTCCAACAAGAAGGAATGGCACCTTGGGCGAGTGATGTCTTATTTCCGGGACCCACTGGGAATAAAAAGCAGAGTGCTTATATAGACTAAGATAGGATGGCTTGCATGAAGATAAAACACTAAAAGCAAAGTACCTGATGCAAACATTTCTGATGAGCTAATGGACGACATCCCGTTTCCTTGAACGGAAAGTGTGACGCGTACGGCTAATGGTAAAAGGAAAATAAAACATACAAATACGACGTGCAAGCCACTATACATCACAGCAGTGTACTGATAGCTTGATATCACCACTCAGTGGTGGCCAAGATGAAAGTGAAGCAGAAAAAACACTGGACAAACAGCATTACAGCCTTTCTTTGAGATACTGAAAAACTCACACTCAAAAACAGATTTCAAGCCCACAGGCCGAATACACAAAAGCAAGCAAGGGAGTGACGAGGAGCATTACGGATATTAATCAGAAATATGTGGAAGACCTAACGATGACAAAACTACAAGAGGAAATATAAGGCAATTATATGATATAACGAACAAGCTAGGCGGGAAATATAGTAAACCAGAGCGACCAGTCAAGAAGGAAGGCAAACAATTGCTGAGATTCAAGAGCACCAGATGAAGCAGTAAAGCCTGTTAGAAGTAACGGCCAAGATGCTCTACATTCTCTACCGAAAGATTTGAGAGGAATAACAAGTACCGATACGTTGGAAAGGAAGATAACTCATTAAGATATTAAAGAAAGGAAATCTCAGAAAGTATGAGAACGACAAAGGCACCGCACTACTCTGATTACCTGGAAAAGTTCTCAACAACGTTGCGGAGTCCAACTTTGGGATTAACAAGCTGGATTCCGTAAAATATTAACACTAAGGATCACTGTTAAACAATCATCTAAATAGGATTCATTACTACAAAAAAAATTGCTTGACTATGAGAAAGCAAATCCTAACTTAGAATCCTAAAGAGAAAAGGAAGAGAGGGAGATCAGACAACACATTGCGATGGGAATTAGAGAAAGACACAGAAAAAAGAGTAACACTCGACAAAAACTGGAAACGAACCCACGACAGAGAATCCTGGTCGGTGGCCTCTGAGCCGCAAGGTCTGGAAGGCGTAAGTAGATGTGCCTACTTAAAGAATCGACAAACGGATCCTACGAAGAACAGATCAGTAGGTGCTTGACAAATAGCCAGATAGTTCGAACATATTAAACACTTGTGGTGCCGTATTCATACTACCAATATGGAATTTATCCTAATGCATTATTTGCATCAAATTATTGATTTGGTTGCCATTCTTATGTACAACAATCCACTGCTTACATCGACACTCAGATGATTGGTATTTTAGTACTGGCATAACAGAAAGTCATCATATTAACTTCTCTGAAGCACTATTTGTACATGAATGAACCATTAGGTGGGCGAAATTGATGATAGTCGTAGTGAGAGATAAATTCTGAGGCTCATTAACAGAACTCAAAACAACTGTCAACCAATATTAAAGTCAGAATCTTCAATACGAACGTCAAGACAGCCCTACTGTACGGAGTTGAAACTTGGAGGACTACTACAACCATCATCAACAAGGTAAAAGTATTTATACTCAATATAGATTGGTCGGATAGCGTTAGCAACAGCCTACTGTAGGAGAGAACAAACCAGCTTTCAGCTGAAGAGGAGCCCCCAAAATGCCCTGGTACGGCAGTGTGTTATTTATTTTTATTTTAACACATAAGTATAGGTACAGGGAGGCACCAAAATACATATGCGCCACACAAAGCTCAATTGATTTGTGTGAGGGCTGTGATACTGCTCGGGTGCCCAAACCGAAGCAGGTGGTTGTCTTAGGGGGCCACACCCCGAGCCTTTGACCTGAACGTCTGATCCACAAGGCAGTGGAGCATCGTGAGGAGATGCAGTCCCATGGTAGCCGGTGACCAACGATTGGTTCATACGCCATTTGTTCCCGCAGGATACTGGAGCCCATGTGCACCATTGATTTGGGGTCCGGTTAAAGCGCCAGACATTCGCTTTTCGTCCTCTCATTTTTGTAAACAACACCCCCGCCACGAGAAGGCAGTGAGTAGGACTTCCCTGGCAGGGGCTATATACGCATGGCCATGTGAGAGCATTTCGAGAGGGAGAGCGGACTCTCCCCACTCTCGGCCGTACCAGGGCATTTGGGGGCACGGCAGTGTGTGGAGAGTCCACTCTCCCTCTCGAAATGCTCTCACATGGCCACGCGTACATAGCCTCTGTCAGGGAAGTCCTACTCACTGCCTTCTTGTGGCGGGGATGTTGTTTACGAAAATGAGAGGACGAAAAGCGAATGTCCGGCGCTATAAACGGATCTCAAATCAATGGTGCACATGGGCTCCAGTATCCTGAAGGAACAAATGGCATATGAACCAATCGTTGGTTATTGGCTACCATGGGACTGCATCTCCTCACGATGCTCCATTGCCTTGTGGGTTAGACCCTCAGGTCGAAGGCTCGGGGTGTGGTCCCCTAAGAAAACCACTTGCTTCGCTTTGGGCACCCGGGCAGTATCACAGCCCTCACACAAATCAAATGAGATTCGTGTGGCGCATATGTATTTGGTGCCTCCTTGTACCAGTACCTATGTGTTAAAATAAATAATAAATAAATAGCTGAAGAGGAAATTAGGATAAGGAGATGGATAGAACATACAGTGCGGGAATCACCAAACTGCATCACGAGACAAGTGCTAACTTAGAATCTTGAAGGGAAGCGGAAAAGAGGAAGGCCAAAGTACACATTACGTCGGGAAAGAGAAGCAGATATGGAAGGGATGCATAACAACTAGGACAGGGTAAAATGGAGAATGCTGGTGAGCGGCTTATGTCCCTCCATAAGGAGTAACGCGTAAGTCATTGACGGATTTGGCTGCACAAGCCCAATCAAAACATTAGTCTCACCAGCACTCATAAAACTGTAGCCCAAAGGCGAATAAAAGCATTTGCAGTCAGTTTTTCTCCGATTATTCACTAAGCACTTTAAATCAATGTATGCATAACTTTCTTTTAGGACGTTAAACCAATACCTTAAATAAAAGCCTTAAAAAATGAGACAAATAAACTCTAAACTGATGTCGTTACTACGATCAGTAAAATGTTAGGTAAACACCGATTAAGGTTTTGTAAGAAAGAATGATAATCGAATAAAGACAGGTAGACCATGGTAAACTGAGACAATCACTATTTAAGTTTGAGCAGGAAACAATCTTACATTAGACTAGTTTCGCATGAGAAGAGAAGTATATGACTAAGCTTCGAAGTTTATGATGATTGTGAGACTGGAAGCTAGGGATACAATACAGCTCTACATAAAAGTTAACACAGTCATATTCGAATACTAATTTGTAGACTTAAACTCCGTTCCAACACCTTTTGGAACAAAAGGAAAGGATGACCAAATAAAGAATACCAGGCTACATTTAGGACTACATAAGCAGGGATTTTGAGACGCATCAAAGAATCATGAAATTTCTGGTCGCGGCTTTATAGAACAAAAATGGTTCATCATTAAAGTTTTGCTGATCGCCTGAATAGTAATGTCGGAATAGAATTCGAAGAGTCAAGTAGTGAGACAACAAAGGTGACTAAAATATATCGTTTAAAACAATGGTGTGCATTCGACCAAATGGAAGAACTACCAACAAGCAAAACTGTTGCAAACTGTATGGCTGGATTTTTCTTGTAATTTCCGACATTAATTTATGTGCAATTACGGTTTAACTATAATTTATGGACGAATCAACCAGATCTAAGATAGCGGACCTTGAAATTCGATGTGAAATTCATAAGTCCATGTGAGTGCATATCATTTTGGCGTTATAGCTGATATCAGGTCGTGACGAAAACCCTAAAGGGTTTAATTTATAATTTTATTTTCTTGACCTTAATGTCCAAGTGTTAATCCTAATTAAATAACAGGGTACTTCTGCGTGCTCAATGACTGACAATTAAAGCAAATGAGAACCCAGGAACATTAAGCAAGTAGTGATAACAAAAATAAAAGGTATGACTGGTTTTACCTTTTCTTCGACGTTCACGAAAGAGGTGGAGTTGACTACAGAAAAGCAAATTAGATAAACATCCGTTTGAGGATAACTAAGAGGCCTCAAACGGTCATAATCTTCTTGACCAGCTGTGTCAAAAAGTCCCAAAGTGTACGGCTCTCCTCCAACCATAACAGTTACAGCATAGTTATCGAAGACCTGTATGTATTATAGCAATATAACCAGTGATCTTACAGTTGGAACATAATCCATTGGAAATTTGTTCGTGGTATATGATATAAGTAAGCAAGTTTTCCCAACGGCTCCATCACCAACCACAACACATTTAATAGTTCGCAAGTTATCAGTCATTGGAAAACCGAATGCAGGATGATGTACGGACAAAGTTTAATTTCCGCCATCAAAACACCTTGAAATAAACTAACAAATAAATAGTCAGAATGAAAATATAGTATTTGTCCAGAAAAACTCGGATAAATGCGTATTTATTACGGTATCACAAATTGATACACAAAGTTACATGGCGGGAACTACAAAAGCACGCCAAATCGGCAAGTCCTGATATAATTTTCTCTAACATGTGGTCTTGCGTTGTTTGCTTCTCAATAACTATAAATAAAATAATTCTATTGTTTTCCCTTAGTCTTAAAACCTTCATTCATCCCATCATGCTCGATTTCGAAATAAAATTTCGTTGTGGATCTGTTTATGGACGAAATAAAGATAATTACTGTATTCACTGTGCTTATTTAGTTCTATAAATAATTGCCAATTTGGCTTCTATACAGCAAACTGCTAGCTTACTTTCAATATTCAACATTTTTTAGCCGTACAATATTTTATAAGTTGTGGTAATCATTGAGCATTCTGATTCAGATTTTTGCAGTAAGGACAGAAGACCCACAGCCTCTGTTATTCCTTTTCTAGTATGCTCCTGTGAGTGCTTATTCCTCCAAAATATTTCGCTTGAGGGTGTGTACATCACTGTCTCGGGTAACCTGTTCCAAATATTGATGAGTGCGGAAACTTATATGTCACGGGTATTCTGTTCGTTCCTGGCTTTACTACTCGCCTGCAATGCCCCAATCTAGTGATAGATAAGCGAGGAGATATATCAGATTCAAATTCACTTAGTATTTTATTTATGAAAATCAGATCACATCTTAATCTGCGGTAGGGAAGAGTAAAGAGGTCTAGCTTTTCAAGCCACTCTTTGTTTAGTAAACTCCATAGTTTAGGAGTAGCACGGGTAGCTGCCCTCGGTGCTTTTTCAGGGTATCCGAGTTATCTTTAAAACAGGGGCGTGCTGCTTGAATGCAGTTTTTAAGCTTAGTCCTCACTAATGTTGCGTATACTGTAATGAACATGGTTGTATTTAACTTAGTCAATGTCCCTTTTAAAGCCCATAGGGTCCTAAAGTCCCCAGTTACAACCTCCAGGCAATGGGCTGTTGTGATAAGCTCGCGACTTATCCTTGTGAAACCGGACCACGGGTACAGGTACTTTCCCTTTGCTGTACCTATTTACCTCTGTATCCCTGAAGTGCATGTAGACGCACTTTGCCGCGTTGATACGCATCAGCCTCTATAGACCAGCTAATCACAATATTTAAGTTTGTCTGAAGTGCACATAAATTTGTGTCTCGTGTTATTTCTAGCCAAATTTTTACATCAGCGTCTCGTAACATTGGGGATTCAACTATACCTGGGAGCTCATTTACATACAGTATAAAAAGTAAAAAACCTAGGACAGAATCTTTCAGTATTCCACTAATTACTGGTCTTCAAGTGGAGCACTTGGAATTTATTCTTACTTTCTATTTATGACCTACTAAAAAATTCTCAAGCCATTTTAGGAGGGTCCGGCAATACCAAGATATACCAGCTTCTATAGCAGTCTATTTGTTGGCACTTTGTCAAATGCTTTGTTTTAGTCTATGTAGAAAACATCCACTGATTTCCCATTCTCCAGAGCTTTTATCCATTGCCTCCTTGCTATAAAGAGGTTTGTTGTGCAAGATAAACCTTTTCTGAAACCATGTTTTTCCCTTAAACATCGTAGATTAAAAATTCTATAACTGTGTCAGTTATGTATTTGCTTTGATAATTTAACTCGATCGGGGAATAGTTTATACGAATATTCGTCAATGTTAGGACGAATGGTTTGACATACATTAGATGCCGAGTATAGAGAAGTGAGATTTATATTTGAAATAATCTCGGCGATTAAAATTTGAGTAAATCCGATGTTTCATCCAGCAAACTTGATCACAGATGCCTTAAAAATATTGTTCGCATCTGCTGGGATGATCGGGTAAGCAACAGTGAGGTAAGGCGCAGTGTATTATGGAATGATGGCAAATCAATTGATGAGGTTGTAAATCTTCACCGACTGAGATGGTTAAACCGCTTGTCACGTATGCGTCAACACCGATTACCACGATGCGCAATTCTGACTGGTGCTTATTTATTTTATTTATTTGAACACATAAATATTGGTACAGGGGGGCACCAAATATATATGCGCCACACAAAACAATGATAATTTGAAGAGAAGGAGAAAAGAGAAAAAAAAAGTAATGAACGTGGGGAATTAGAAAAAAAAGAGAGAGAACAATGGTGGGGGAAACGGAAAGGTACAATCAGAAGAGATCTTTCAGTTAAGGAAGATACAACCACTTTTTATGAAGAAAGTAAAAGAAGGTTACAGCAAGATCGCCACTGGCTTCTATTCTGAGCCATATCTGATAACGTCTCCAGCCACTGTGTTACACCGTCTTTCGGACCCCAACCAGGGAGTCGTGAAGGACTGGTGCTGGGGATGGTTGGCAGAAAGCTAGGGGCGGCCAACCCAAAACATGGCATCAGTACTTGAACTCACTAACTTCTGGTCTGAGCCATGTTGGTAGATGTTGACTACGTGGTTGGGGTCCTCGTGACTATCGTAATCAGTGTTTGGAGATTCTGTGTGACATGACTCAGGATCGATCACTGGCGTAGGTGTATACACTCTTTGTCTTCCTTTAAACCTTGAGATTTCTGATACATTTTATATGCCGTATAAAATATACATTCAACAGATGTTTTTTTATCTGAAAATAGATTTTTGTGATTTTTCTTGCTTTGTTTGAATTACTAATGAATCACAAAAACTTTCCTTTTGACTATTTAGAGGCATTAAAATGCATGCTCAATCTAAACGCCCCTCCAAATTCTTCGGACGGACCACAATGGAAAGTAAGCCTTCAAAATTGCTCTAAACTCTTATAGATCTTGATATACGATCAACTGGGAAGAGATATCATTTCACCATTATTAACAGTCAAGGATTTACGCATGCTTGGTGTCACACTACATTTGTAAGTGATAATACTGAATGTAAATAATTATGCTTGTCAGAATGTTACACTCGCCACGTGAACAAATCCCAGATGTTCCCGCTGTTTATTTCGTTTACCCTTCCAAAGATAATATTAATGTTATATGCAAGGTTGGTATGATTTTATATTTAAGACTTGTTGTCCAAAGGATTTTGAAGCAGGAAGATACGATTCGTATTACTTGAATTTTATCAGTCCAATATCACGCGAATACCTTGAAGAAATAGCTCAAACAGCATTATCTGAAAATTGTGTTCATCAAATCTCAAAAGTTTTCGATCAGTATACAAATTTTATTTGTTTGGAGGATGATTTATTGACTCTTAGCTCACCCACTGATGGTCCTTCTTCCTTTTATGGTGAGTTTATTATCTTATATGTAACACATTGGTTCCATATAAATTAGTTGACATTTGTTTTGTGTTCAGTGTAAATTTATTCGACATGATGGTTATTACTGGATAACGGTTAATTACCTTCTGATCCTTAATTTTATACGTGATTTATTCATTTGTCATTTGATGTGTAGCTTAGATCTAGACAATCTTAGTTGAATCTTTTGTGTGTAAGTAGTATATTAAGTTTGGTAAAACATATGCATACACCCAGTTTGCTAGCGGCTATCTTGAAATAGGTTTTGATACTAATATTACATTAACCGTAGTATTATTGTTATCTGCTTATTCAAAATATCACCTTTTAAATATGACCAAAGTTTATGATTGCAGTACCATAACGTCGAGTCACTCATTAACCGATCAGACTGATGCGATCAATCAAAATTGTGCATAGTTGTCAGTTTCTCCTTCCATATTATTGCTCGTATGAGCGCTTGAAAATGTCCAAATAATCCCTAAAATGTTTTCATTGTAAGGTTATACAAACTATCTTGATAGAATGTAGAGAAAGATGACTTACATTATCGTGGCTTGGAGCGAAATCACTTTTTAGACTATTAAATTCCGTAGATGATCAGCACGTAAATGTAGGCTGATGGTAAGTACAGGCCTATATCCATCCCTATAGACTATATTCGTAAAGGGATAAAATACACTTCCGAACTCACTTCAAAAGATATCATGTTTCGTGTTTGCAATTATCAAGTTAGGGCGGTTAGTTTAGCAGTGTTCGTTAATGTGATCAAGGTTATCAAAACTGTAGTTCAAATAAACCTTATTGTATCATATTTATGTATCGGGTCTCAATACCCTTTAAAAGTCAAATGTCTGAATTATTTACTTACAACGTCACACGAAAGAACTAAGACGGTTGTTGAAATTCTAGGTTTTATTCGTTTGTGACCTATGTGTAGGATATTTATCAAAAATTGATTTCGATAAACCTGGTTATATAATAGGGATAAATAAAGTCAAATGGTATCACTCATTCACTGGAAATATCCCATAATAACTTATATTTATGCTACACACATCGCATGTGGGTTTTTAAAGCATACTAATTTTTTTCCATAACAGATTGTTTGACATTGCCTTCACAATTGATATTTAGTTCTCTTGTAGTATTTATTATTTACCATTTCGTTTTACAGCTCTTAATCGTGCGAAAGCTACAGAAGTGGATATGGAAAATTTAATCCACTCAGTTGTTGACGGATTATTTTCAATTTTTGCAACACTTGGCTCAATACCTATTATACGTTGTCCTCGTGGTAATGCTTCTGAAATGGTAGCATGCCAGCTGGATTCGAAATTTCGTGATAGCCTGCGAGACTCTAGGAATTCACTTTTTATGAATAATACAGCTCGTGGTTACGGTATCGCTGCAAATGACGACTCATCTGGAGAACGTTTAGGATTGAACTCTTCATCACCACTTAGTCTTTTAAATAGGAACTCTCAAATAAACTCACCACCAAACTTATTTCAGCGTCCACTGTTGATTATTTTAGATCGCAGTTTAGATTTGGCCTCTCCACTACACCACGAGTTGTCCTACCAAAGTTTAATCCATGATATCTTTGTAAGCCATAAATTATTTGATTTATGTTTGTCTTAAATCGTGGACAGAGATAATTCATTATACATTAATGAGTCATTTGAGTTATTTTTACTAGATTCAGAATTATGTATACGTACTTCCTTTATTTAGATGCATATTAAAGGAACTTTATTGTAAGGTGGGTGACATTTTGTAACTGTTTCAATTATGATAAATACTTTCACCTGAACTAGCTGTATGATGAATTTCATGGGATGGTTCATTTCCTAAACTGACCAAGCTCATACACTCTCTACACTATTCAAAAGAAAGTGAAACCTAAACACATATGCCATTCTTTTCTAGAAAGAGATAGTAAAATGAACCGTGCCATATTTAATCCTATAATTATTTCAAACAAAATATGTGTACCCGTTGAATTTTCATTTGCTCTACAAATATCTATTGTAGCTAGCGTACTGAAGTGGTAGTTTATTGGGTTCTAAAGCACCCAAGCAATTAATGTGTTTAAGTTATCTAACTTTATATAGAAATCGTATGTACAAATAAGTCATTGATTCTAATCTTGTCTAGTCCGATGACCTGAATTCAATATTAGTAAATAGAGGAGCTGCTTCAGTAACGTTTCTGTTTAGCTGCAATTCTGTAGGCTTATTTTACACCTAAGCCATATCTGGCAGTTTCGGTTTACTGTGTCATATCTTTATGTGTGCTTAGATGTATTAGTAATGCATCAGCAAATAGTAAGCTGAGATTGAAACATCTTTTATGCTAATTCACCTCATTAGGAACTGCTTGTTTGGACATGGAGGGTCCACCTAGAGGAGTTCGAAAGCCCTGATTTAAAACCATTGGCGCACACGGGCTCCAGGACTCTGAGGGAGAAAAAGGCGTACGAATCTATTGTTGATCACCGGTACCATGGAACTGCCTTGTGGATTAGACCTTTAGATCAAAGGCTCGGGGTGTGACCCTCTAAGAAAACCACCTGCTTCGGTTTAGTCACCCGGAAAGTATCACAGCCTTCACACAACTCAACGACAACTGTGTGGCGCACATATATTTGGTGCCTCCGTGTACCAATGTTTATGTGTTCATATAAGTAAAGTATTTGTTTGCCAAGTTTTTTCATCCAGCTTCTTGAACTGTAAATATCCCTCATTGTACCTTTTAATTGTAAAGCATACATAAAAGGTAATTAAACTGTCAAAGCTAATATTGTAAATTTATTCTACTTAGCAATAATCTTATATGTATCCAAAAAAGCTTCCAGATCACTTATATGATGATAATGTAACGAGGTTAGGCAACCCAACACAGAGGGTAGACAATTATCAACGTAGCGTCATACAAACCCAGGTTGTAATTTATCTTTTAATTTTCGTTATAGTGCAACTACTGTGGTCAGTAAAATGCTCTTCGAACACAGAGAATACTAATTTTATCCTCTTTTTTACTTGCACTACATAAGAATTACTTTGCATGTGTGTAACTATTTATTTAATTATTTATTTTAACACATAGGTACTGGTACACGGAGGCACCAAATACATATGCGCCACACGAATCTCATTTGATTTGTGTGATGGCTGTGATACTGCCTGGGTGCCTAAAGCGAAGCAAGTGGTTTTCTTAGGGGACCACACCCCGAGCCTTCGACCTGAGGGTCTAACCCACAAGGCAATGGAGCATCGTGAGGAGATGCAGTCCCATGGTAGCCAATAACCAACGATTGGTTCATATGCCATTTGTTCCTTCAGGATACTGGAGCCCATGTGCACCATTGATTTGAGATCCGGTTATAGCGCCGGACATTCGCTTTTCGTCCTCTCATTTTCGTAAGTCAGTCGGTCAGTAACAACGTGGAACTTCGTGCGTACGTACATCAGTTCGAGTTGCCATACCACATTAGCACACAGCTTCAATTATCGATTCAAATCCCGTAGTGATAGGGAACATTAGGGTTTGATGATGTTATTTAAGGAGTATAGTCCAGTGGAATAGATTCGGAAAGAAAATAAAGGACATGAAGAATACAGAAGATTAGAGTTTGAGAGAACACAAAGAGTGGATGCACCTGCGCCATTGCAAACGATTTTGAGCCATATCATTCAAGGTCTCTAACCATCGGTTACTATCATCTTGCGGTCCCCAACCAAGTAGACTACACCTACCAACATGGCTCAGTCCACTTGTCAGTGACTTCATGGATTTGTGCCATGTTTTGGTCTGGCCGCCCCTAGCTTTCTTCCAACCTACTCCTACACCATAAAACATCGCGCGTCGAGGCAGTCGGTGGTCTGGCATGCGCAACACATGTTCCAGCCATCTCAACTGATTAAGTTTCACTACTTCATCAATTGATTTGCCATCCTTACCTAGTACCCATTTCCTAATAACTACATTACTTACTCGGTGGTCCCAGGGTATACGAGCAATGTTTCGAAGACACCTATGATCAAATACTAGTAACCTACGAATATCCTCTACTCTTACCGGCCATGTTTCACTGCCATAAAGTAGGACGGAACGAACTGCTGCGCAGTAAACACGTCCTTTGGTTGATAGACGGATATCTCGCCTACGCCACAAATGACGCAAGTTAGCAAAAGCTAGTCGAGCCTTCTGTATCCGTGCTGAGATTTCGTCACACACCAGACCACAAGGGCTGATGAGGCTTCCGAGATAAGTGAAGCGGTCGACACGCTCAACTACTTCACTCCCTATCACTAGTTCGGGTGGTCGTGTGACCCAATCCTGAAGCAACATTTTGAATTTCGATGGAACATGCCTGCATTGTTGCTTATAGTGGTCAGTAGACTCTGCATTTTGTCAGCGTCTTCACCAAATAGAACTATGTCATCGGCATACTCTAAGTCAACAAATGAATCTTTCAGTAGAAGTTCAACTACTAGAAATTTAGATGAGGAAAGTGTCATCTCTAAAAACACGTCAACAACAAAGTTAAACAAGAATGGAGAGAGTGGACAGCCCTGACGAACACCACTTGATGTAATCAGTTCTGATGACAGTTCGCCATAAGCTCTCACTCGACCAGTTGTGTTCGAGTAGAGAGCCTTTATAAGGTTAATGTACTTCTTTGATACTCCTTTCAGTGACAAACACTGCCATAGAACCTCACGATCAACAAAGTCGAATTCCGCCTTAAGGTCGAGAAATACTACCATTGTGGGGCATCGGAATGTGTCTATGTTCTAGGACCTGACGTAGTGTGAATATCTGGTCTATACAACCACGTCCAGGTCGAAAACCAGCCTGGTTTTCTCTAGTCTGCTCTTCACGAGCTTTGGTTAGACGTCGAAGTATTGTTGAAGCTAATATTCTAGACACTATATTAGTCAAACTAATTCCTCTGTGGTTGTCACAAGAGGACTTTTGGACTTTCTTATAGACTGGCACAATCAGTGATTGAGACCAGTCAGATGGGATTACGTTCAGTTCCCAGATTCTACATAAAACCTCAGTCAATCTCACTGCTAATACTGGACCGCCATCCTTAAAAATATCAGGGTTAAACCTGTCAGGGCCTGCTGCTCTCCCACGCTTCAGATTTCCTATAGCTTTTTCAACTTCGTAAAGAGTCGGAGGACTTACGTTAATTTTCCATTCAGGTTACTTGGAGATCGTGGGAAACCGAAGTGTGGCTGAAGGCCAGTTGAACTGATCCCTAAAGTGTTCTGCCCATCGATCCAATCTCCTGGATTGAGAATGAATAATATGTCCATCATTTTCGGAGATAGTTTCGCTAACAGTTGGGTTCCTAATACTGGTTTCCTTAACAATTCTGAACAGTTGCCTACTGTTACCTATTGCCGCTGCCTTTTCCATCTCTCTTGCTTTCGCTGCCACCACTGTTCACGATCATTGCGTAGGCTTCTAGCCAGCTTGCGCTTAAGCTGACTCCACTCTTCGTTATGTTCAGAGCCTGATGGAATGAGATTCCGAGGATCTATCAGTGCGGTAGATGCTGCTGAGATCCAGTGTTTCTCCCTAACCTAGTGGTTTACCGTACTTCCAGATATCACTGCTGTTTCTACAGCTTTTCGGATGTCATTCCACGCTACCTCGGGGTGGGCATCACTTAAATGGCTGCCTAACTGTTTTTCTAGTTGTTCCTGAAATATACGCTTAGCTTGACTATCATTAAGTAGGGCCCTAAGGGGTTTCCTTGCACCATCTTTTCTACGTCCAGTAAGACTTGGACAAATACGCGCTCGCAGCAGAGCATGATCTGAGTCTAAGCATGTGTTCCAGAATGAGCGAAAGTCTTCTATTGAGCCGCTCCATCGGTGGCTGATAGCGATGTGATCTATTTGGGTCCAACGTTGGGACGAATTAGGAGGTCGCCATGTCAAAAGATGTTTTTCCTTATGCTTAAAGTTAGTGTTTGCAAAAAACAGGCGGTTATCTGAGCATAGCTGCAACAGACGGTCGCCATTATCTGTTCTTTGAGCCGCGACACCACAAGATCCACCCACGTGTCTTTCCCTTTCGCTTAGTTTACCTGATTGAGCATTAAAGTCACCAGCCACTATTACTACATCTGAACGCCTAGCTTTTCGGAGAAGGTCGGAAAGCTTTCTGTAAAACTCATCTTTTACATCATCTGAGCTGCAGTCAGTGGGAGAGTAGGCAGAGACGACGAAGAGGCAACGACGAGTGTCCCTATCTTTCCGAGTCCTTACTGTTCCGTTTAGTCGGACAGCGCACAAACGACTGTCTACTGGGATCCAGTCTAAGAGAGCTAGTTCTGCCCTAGAACTCAATGCTATACCTACGCCAGCGAGGCCACGGGAAGCAGCATCAGGGCTTCCAGATACACGAAGCGTGAATCCAGTTGGTTCGTTACTTTGACATAGTGCGGTCAAATGAATGACACTACTAGGATCCTGTGTGCGCGTTTCGGAGACGCAGCACACATCGATGGAGCGAGATTCTAAAGTCTTAGCTAAGGAAGCCTGTTGTCCTATTTGGCACAGTGTTCAGACGTTGAAAGCTCCTACATGTAGTTTAGAGCGTGGTTTCAGGAGACCAGGAATAACATTCCGTGTACTCGGATCGTTCGCACTAGCGGGGCGAGGTGATAAAGGGACGTGAGAAGGGTTGGTCGTGGAGATAAGAGAGTTATTAGGAGGTGTAGGAAGGATTTGAATGTGACCAACTTGGTCTCGTGTGTTGTTACGGGTATGAGGGCTGATGTCACTTCCCGGCTGCCCACACCGTGGAAGGATATTTCTTGAGGGACCTGAAAAGGAAATAGTATTAGTGTTGGTCTTGAAGACCTGGGTGAGTGACTGCAGAGCCTAAGGGACAACTGCTCGAGGCCGGTCACACACGGCCTTTTTGTGGGAAGTTTTCAATGTGTTAGCTCCGTTCTTCAAAGGGCCTTACCGCCGGAGACGGAAATCCGTGAGGTAAGATGAAGTGTGACATTTTTAGGGTTGACCTTTTCTAACCCCTTCCTTCCTTGTGAGAAGGCAGCATCGCTGTAGATGCTGGTTGTCCGAGGGAAACACCTTATTGCTGTCACACCTCTGTGCAGTCAGCAGTACGACTTCTCCCTCAGACCTTGACTTGCTGCTTTTAGTCTTACCGTTCTCCAATCGACATGCCTGGCATGGTAGAACCTGCAGGAACATGTGTTCCAGCCAATATAGCTCGGTTGGGTCATCACGATAGGCAAGCCCGACCACCACGTCAAGGTAGCAGCTGCGGTCGGGTCATTTTCGTAAACAACACCCCCGCCACGAGAAGGCAGTGAGTAGGACTTCCCTGACAGAGGCTATGTACGCGTGGCCATGTGAGAGCATTTCGAGAGGGAGAGTGGACTCTCCCAACACTCGGCCGTACCAGGGATTTTGGGGGGCACGTGTGTAACTCAAAGAATTTAACTAACTTATAACTTACAATCAGAGTAATTCAATTAATTTGTGTTATCGTGGAGCAGAATAATGCTTGAGTGTAAAACGTTATCCTCTGGTTACCAACCCTACATCGACATCGCATACTTCAGAAGAAGAAATTTGTTTATGTAATATAATCTGACAACTATCTTTTCCTAGCTCCTTTGTTTAAATCAATTATGATAAGTGGTTAACTGCACTCTACCTGATTTATATTTAAATTGCATCTAATCATTGTTTATTATTTTTTTCTTAAAGAATATTCGTCTCAACCGTGTTCATGTGAATTTAGATTTGGCTAAGCCTATTTCAGATGATGAAAAATCCAGGATACCAGAAAATAATAGTAAAAAATCAAATTCTAAAATAGTTGAGTATGATTTAACAGGATCATGTGATCGTATATGGAGAGATTTTAGAGGTGCTGCATTTTCTGATGTTGCAGAAGCTATACATGAAGAGGTGACAATACTAAAAGATTATGATAGACGTATGGGTGAATTGAAATCATCACTTGGTGGTTCAACAGATATAAATATGCTGGCAACTTCATCAACAATGACGTTTCTAGATGATAGTACAGCTAAATTAACAAATGCTATCAAGTTAGTTACTTTCCTTGAAATATTAATTATTTACTTGTTCTAATCCTGTTTATCTTTTTATTGTTTTAAGTAGTTAAGTATTTTCTAGATTAAAAGCTTGTATGATATGTTTTTGGCTTATATACCCAAAACATTTCACTCAACCTTTTTGCCTAATTTTTCAACAATATAAAAACATAATTTAAAAACTCACCGTCGGTACTCATTTCAATAATCTAAACGGATGACTTATCTACAATTCTAAGTAAAGTTATAAGTGTACAGTTTAACAGTAATAAGCAATAAACTAAGTCTCTCATTTGGTTTATTTGATCTGTGTTGAAAAAAATTTTTCATAAAAATTGAATTTAGCTATTCAAGGTTTAACTTGTTAAGTGAAAAAAAGATGACTAATGAATTTAACCAACCTAACTAATTATCGAACAAAAACAAGGCGATTTACTCGATACTTCTTTTTTTCATGAATTCTAATAATGTTACAAATTTCAGTGTGTTTGAGAATAATACGTAATTTCTATCATTTAGTAATGGTATTTAGAGGTTTCCAAAAGTTTTATACTAATACATTGACAAGTGTCTGTGTATTTCTATTTTTAATAGTTGAATCCATGAGTCAATTTTAGCTAGACCATTATTGAAAACTTGGACGCGGTGAATGGTTGTTTCGCCCTGCTATAGGACTCCTCAGCAGTGCGCATTTCTTGTTTATTTTGTAGGCTGTTTTCTTTAGATCAATTTATAAAATAATTACCGGGTGTCTGATCAGCACAAGTCAATTTCACCCTATTAGTGTTTAACTATTATTATGTCCTTTCAAAAAACGAATAGATGATCTGTTGAAATTCTTAGGTAAATTAACTATTATTATCTTATTTAGGAAGATACTAAGTCGTTAGTTATGTATACTTATAACTTAATGTTCCAATAAAATAGGATTGTAGTGGTGTGAAGGTAGAATTTCGTCGATGCATCTGCCACAGGACTATTGTTGTAAGTGCTCAAAATACACATCCCTTTCAACTGTAATAAAAAAGTATGAACAAATAACTTCATCTCTTAGTCCTTTAATCTAATAAGTTTCATACACATAGTTACCTTTATCATTTTGAAAAGAGCAAGAACAAAGATTCTAGTAGAATAGTATGAATTCATTTTATTTCGTAGGTTCTCATCAGCTGCTTACAACCTGTGATATTTATAAATCATAATTAGATAATGAGTTTAAATGACTTACATGAGAGGGTTTGGTTAGAAGTTATATTGAAGACATATTCGTATAGTATAGAAAGGGTGTAAATCAAGAGAAGTGACAAGGGTCAAGTTTTATGGAGAATGTCTCACGTCGGGCTATTTCCCACGGCAGTTTGTAAAATCTTTACATTCATGTAAACTTCCACCATCGCTTAAAAACCTAAGATGCATTACCAAATCTCATATTGAATCGACAAATTTACTCATTACACAACTAAGGACTGAGGCCAGTGCTTTTGTTAGAGCCGTTAATGATTTAAACATTGTATGTCGAATAAAATTCATGAACTTCATTCGTGATTTTCAAATCAATGTTTGCAAGGATTTCCATAAATCTCTATCGAAAACTCTGATAAGAGAACAACTATGTTTAGGATTTCCGGAAAACCCGTCGATGTTTATCTATAACTTATCAAATACGAAGCTCAATAGTATAAAAACAGAAGTCTTACCACTTGGACTCAAATTTCATATACCAAAAACAAATACGGACAGGATTGATACAGAAGCTCAATTTGAAAATCTGTTTGACCAGTTAAAAGATTTGCAACCAATGAATGAGGAAAAGAAAGGATGGTTCAAATCAAAGTTAGTTGATATTGCCAACCAATACTTCGTGTCATCGATACCAAAGTCGAATGTTCTATCCAAAGAACATCTAACAGCCCTAAGAAACATCAAACAAAATAATGAGGTGATGATTCTACGACCGGATAAAGGTTCAGGTGTAATCCTAATGGATACAGCTGATTATGTAACTAAGATGAAGTCAATCCTAGACGATCAACTGAGGTTCAAGGTAGATAAATCCAAAAACGATTTGACTGATTCAACAGAAAAACGAATCACAGGAATGCTCAGAGAACTTCTAAAAAAGAAAATGATTGATAATTCTACTTACAACGATCTAAGACCACGTGGTTCACGTCTACCTCATATGTATGGTTTACCAAAAGTTCACAAACATGACGTTCCCCTCAGACCTATCCTATCAATGATCAACTCACTGTATCATAAAGTTGCACGCTGGTTAGCAGGCACTGGTTAAAACACTATTTGACAGGGTAGAAATGATATTTACCACCGACAAACTTGAAGCAGAATTAATGAAACTAGAAAAATGTCTAAGAAACAACTTCTATCCACAAAAGTTTATTGACAAATATAAAAAGCCCAAAGAAAACAAGACGGAAATAACTACGGTCAATAAAAAGACAGTATCTATAAATCTTAACTTTAAAGGTGATAACGTCGCACAAATAATCAGTAGGAGACTGAATATTGCGCTTGCCAGAACTTATCCGGCTGCTAAACTTTTAATTTTCTAGAAAACAACATGTTCAATAACTCAATTAAAGGTCGACAAGCACCCCTTTCATGTTACCGCCAACTGTATCTATAAATTTACGTGTACCTGCCAAAGCAGCCACATTGGCCGAACAGAAAGGAGAGCATACCTTAGATTTTTTGAACATGTTCCACAAAGTCTTAGGACAAGGGAAAGAAGGACTCTGAATAGTGCAATCATCAAACATCTCCTTGATACAGGACATCAGGTAGATACCTTACAATCCTTCAAGGTGATTAGTAAGCAGCCAAACTCCAGTCTTCTGAAGTTTGCTGAAGCCGTTGCCATCAGGCCTTAAAAACCTGACTTATGTGTTCAAAAGGAGATGGTTGTTAATCTTTCCTTGCCTTGGTGACAAATATTCCTTCGCTGCACCATAAATTATTTTTTTGTATTTATTACATCATTGATTTTCATTACTTTTATTTCTTCAACTACGTTTCAAATTAATAATCTTTTAACTGAACTCTACTCACTAAATTCCTATCAAAATTCTTACTCATTATGTAATCAATTGTTTCTAACCCCCTTTTTGAACTGTTGTCACAATTAATGATGTAGAATATTCTTTCATATTAGGTATATATTTACAATATTCAGTCTATTAATTTCATTTACACCCTTGCTATACTATACGAATATGTCTTCAATATAACTTCTAACCAAACCCTCTCATGTAAGTCATTTAAACTCATTATCTAATTATGATTTATAAATATCACAGGTTGTAAGCAGCTGATGAGAACCTACGAAATAAAATGGATTCATGCTATTCTACTAGAATCTTTGTTCTTGCTCTTTTCAATATTTTAAGTGTTATATCCCGACGAGAATAATAAATGATAACTGTTGGGATATATTTATAGACTAATACTATACATATATTTTATTGTATAATTGTCATGTAACGAAACTATATATATTCGTATTCTTCTTATTATAAGCTTTATTTTGACCTATAGACTATCATTATTAAGTTATGTCCAGATTATTAATTACAATCACACCCACTTTTGGCTAGATCTTGTACAGATGGTATTTTCTATTTTGTGGTGTGATGTGGTCTGTTTGTCTTATATATAAACCCAGTATGTTTCAAATATATGATTGATATCTCGGAGACTGAGATTTGTATTTTGGACTTAACAGGTAGGGAAAAGGGACCAGTCGGGACTCCAGGCTGTTCGTTCAGGTGTATGCGTCATTTGTTAGTCGTATAATTCGGCGTGTCTAAATTTGGCAATCGTATAAGCTAAGGTCATAACAGTTAGAGTGTTCTAATTTAGTGAATTGGTAACACTTAGTAACAAATATAGTTCGTCTATAGCAAACTCAATTGATCTAATGTTTTCATTAGGCCGTGTGATTTTGATTAAGATAGATTCGTTGTATCCGAAATATTTCTTACTTTTCCCAGGAATTCTGTTTATTTAAATGTTGTTCTTACTGTCTTGGTTTCCTTAGTTCTTTACCCCAATTAATGGAACGTAAACGATGTCTTGATATGCACACAAATATTGCAACTTGTCTAGCCAATGTAATCAAAGATAGGCAGATACATTCTTTTGCTGAAGAAGAAGATCATCTTCTTGCTAAAAACAATCCATCCACGGTATGTTTTATACATTCAATTGTTACTAAAATAGTAGTTTTGTGTCTGTATCTGTCATTAATGTGTTCATTGATGTTTAGTAGCTGTTGCAATGAACACCTTGCTGGATATGAGACGATTTGTCAGGCTGTGACAAGTTATTTTGTCTTCAAAAGCAAGTTATTCGGTACCAAATATTTCGATTTACTACACTTTATCAAAAGGGTCAAGTGTAAATTTATTTGATGAATCTATATGGCTTTATGTGATGCTGTTCGTAAAGGAGTGTAAAACTCTTCCAATTATTACCAAAAAGTAAATTTCATCATTATATTTTCCAAGTTTGAAAATCATACCACTTTAATGATAAACCAAATATCTTTAGAGCTAGTTAAAGGGTCTACAGACAAACTTTTCGTGCTTATAGTGCAATTTTAAGATATTTATTTACTTACTGACATTAATTTACCAGTTTTTCATCTACTTTTGACGTTTTTGATTGCAATTGTTCGCTATCAGAATCAATATTTGGTATTATACCAGTTAGACAAACCAACTTACTGACTTTTTGTTATTATTGCTATTTTTACATCCTCTTTACTTCATCATTTGAGTATTTTTTATCTGCAGTCTAGAGCTTTGTGGAAATTGTTGAATGTTGTTGAGAACACAAATCTACCTAAGTTAGGCAACCATTGGAACTATAAACCACTGGACCTTTGTTACGTTCTAACATGGAACTTCTGAAATTTAGTTGAGATCTCGTGACCAGTAATATTCAATCGTGGGGAGTGTTAGGCGAATCAATTAAAGTTAAACATGCTAACCATTGGAATTCTGTTCACTGGTCTAAAAGTTAAACGTTCACAGCAAAACATGAAGGTCCTCGATTCGATCACTGAAGGAGTCTTGGATGTACGTTGCTGATAATTCCCATGCTAAGATGAAACGGCTGTCCAGTGCTTCTTGGTTTTTAATGGATGTCTAATTCAGGCTGGTTTCTGATCGCAATATTTTTTGCTTATTTCTTCGAATGTAAATTTTAATTACTCATCAGTATGTTAATTATCCGTTCACTTCTTTCCCCAACATTTTTAAAAGGAACAAAGTTTAGTCGAGCTAATTAGTAATCCGTCAATTGGTACACCTGAGGATAAATTACGCTTGCTTATTATTGCTGCTTTAGCGGGTACCAGCAGAACTGGTACAAACACTAGTAATACATCAAGTAATATGATTACCAGTGGATCTGGAAGTGCATTAAATAATTTCAATTCAAATACTAGTGGCATTGATTTTTGTTTATCCGATACAGAAGTTGATCGTTTGAAAGCACTGTTACAAAACTCCTATCCTAATCTTGATATGAGTCCTGTGAATTATATTCAACACTTTAGGTAAGTTGTGTTTTTGTAGGACTATTTGTGTGCAATTCGTTACAGAGGCCTATAAATTGGTTATATACATAATTCATTTTATCTTACACCATTCTCACTTTTGAAGACTGTCAAACTTACAATTAATCATACATATGCCGAAATTAAAGTGGGTTCTAGGTAAACATACAATGTGATGTCATTTCCGGAAATTATAATTGGTTTATATACAAACGAACCGGACCACACCATACTAAAAATGGGAAATAATTATACAAGATCAAGCCAAAAAGTGGCTGTGATTGTAAGAGACTGTTACTAATAAGAATAATATATCGTATAATAGTAGTCAATAAGTCAAATAAAAGCTTATGACAAAGTGAATATAAATATATATAATTACTTACTTACTTACGCCTGTTACTCCCAATGGAGCATAGGCCGCCGACCAGCATTCTCCAACCCACTCTGTCCTGGGCCTTCTTTTCTAGTTCCACCCAATCCTTGTTCATTTTTCTCATATCTATCTCCATTTCTCGGCGTAATGTATTCTTTGGTCTTCCTCTCCTCCTTCGACCTTGAGGATTCCATGTGAGGGCTTGTCTTGTGACGCAGTTCGGTGCTTTCCTCAATGTGTGTCCTATCCACTTCCAGCGCTTCTTCCTGATTTGTTCTTTCCCATAGTAGGTTGTTGCTTATAGTGTCCGTCCAGCGGATCTGAAGTATTTTGCGTAGACAACTGTTAATAAACACCTGTATCTTTTGGACGATGGATTTCGTAGTTTTCCAGGTTTCCGCCCCATACAGTAGAACTGTCTTGACATTTGTATTGAAAATTCTGACTTTGGTGTTGGTTGCTAATTGTTTTGAGTTCCAGATATTCTTCAGTTGTAAATATGTTGTTCTTGCTTTGCCAATCCGTGCCTTCACATCTGCATCAGATCCACCGTGTTCATCGATGATACTGCCCAAATATGTAAAGGTTTTTACATCTTCCAAAGCTTCTCCGTCAATTGTGATTGGATTGGTGCATGCTGTGTTGTATCGAAGAATCTTGCTTTTCCCTTTGTGTATATTGAGACCTATCGCTGCTGAGGCTGCAGCTACACTGGTTGTCTTCTCCTGCATTTGTTGTTGCGTATGCGATAGAAGAGCCAGATCATCTGCGAAGTCTAGATCATCCAATTGCATCCTAGCTGTCCACTGTATCCCGTGCTTCCCTTCAGATGTTGATGTCTCCATGATCCAGTCGATCACCAGGAGAAAGAGAAAGGGTGACAGTAAACAACCTTGTCCATAAATAGTTCCCAGAAGTTATCTATAATTTAATGTTTATTAGAATATAACAAAAATAAACGGTTCATTAGCCTTTGAGTTAATTTTTCAAAGGTTTCTCACTTTTAATAAATTATTTGTTATAATAAACTGATCGTGATAAATATTAATTTAATAATTTAATTTAAAAATTGATTTAATCATAGACATAAGTAAAAGTGTTATTTCATAGTACATTTTCCTGAGAAGATAAACATCAGCATACAAGTTTAAATCATTTGCTATTATTTGATTGAATGAACAGTATATAGTATCAAGTCAAAAGTATTTCGTCTTGATAACTGAATTTTCTCAGATAATATTTATTTTGAATCTTTTAAGCAAATTCTGTTCTGTAATTAAATAGGAAAATTCCAAAAGCTGGTCAACTAACTGATAATATAATGGAGAATGTTAAAGGAGCTGGTAGTCGAAGTGTACTTAATAAAATTGTTTCACATGGTTCAGCTATATTGCTGACTGGGATGAGGCATTTGATTGGTCAGAAATCAGTAAGTCGAATATCTGTAGTCTATATTTACTATAGCTTTTGTTGATTTTCAATAGGTTATCGTTATAAACTGACGTTGACTAATTAATTCGATCGATGTCCACTTAACCTTGATAAAATACTTATTGGTTTAAGTCTCTTTTTTATAAAGTTTCGTAGTTTGTTATATTTATCCCTTGTTCCCTCCGCGCGATTATTGTAATCAGTGGTTAGAGATTTCGAGTGGAATGGCTCAGTCATTCACAACGGCTCAGGTGTATTTACTCTTTGTCTTCCCTTATAACATAAGTGCCGAAATCTCTCTACACTCTTCCTTCTGTTTTTTTTTATACCTAATCTTTCCGGCTATTGCTGATACTGTTACTACTTCTACTATTCTGAGATTTTTCTTGTCAATTTTTTCTTGCTGTTCTAGTGTAGTGTGGCAACTTGAGTCGATCCATATATGTCGTTGCGTATGACTGGCTAACTGACTATACTTTATTGATAGCTATAAATAATTTACTTCAAAAGTTCTACTCCTTTCAATAAATTTTTTTCAAAATTTGAAATATGTTGTTCTAAATTTTTTTCAGTCAAAGGTTCTTGTTGGTCTCATTCACTATATTTCTGTGTTAGTGTCGATAGCCTACTCTCACGCTTTTAAACCAGACTTACCTATTTAAGAGTGCGCGAGTACCATCCAGTTAGTTATGCAAAAACTAGTGAAGTATTGTTTATCCGTGTAACCCTAGTAGTTGTAAGTTATGTACCTTGGTTTATACCCCATCCATATTACATGTTTCTGTAGAAAATCCCTCAAAATCGAATTATTATTATTATTAATATCCGTTAAATTCTTTTATCTTCTATCTAGTCGTAAGTCAAAAACCACGCTCAATTTTTCTATTTTCTAGTATGGTTGACTTTTTAATTGTTGTAAATAACAATATCATATACTTATTATTTATACAACAATTTTTGTTACAGTGATGTTTTTCAAGACAATATGTACTCTTATAAAGACCAGTCATCTCTATAACTATGTAATGTCACATGTCAGTTAAAGTGCTGCTGATAGTGATTATATTCTCTATGTAATCTTTGCAGCATATATATCCATACCTATTATTTCTCTCCATGCTCTCCTTCATGCTTATTGTAGACTGGAATTATTGATCTACATTTTGTTCTAATAAATTCAGTGACCATTAAAATGTCGTTATTTTTTAACTACTCGATTTTAACGGAATTACGTATGAGAATTGATTTATTTTCTGGTTTCTGTTTACGGATGTTTATATGCATATTTAAGTAGTTATTTTTTAACTTATTTTCAGTACCTCCCGTTTACTCGCATCGTATCTCAGTTAATGGAAAATAAAAGTGGTTCTGAATTTGAAGACTATCGCTATTTTGATCCGAAATTGTACAGGCGTCAAGATTCGTAAGCTAATTCGATTTATGTTCATCAGTTTTTTTTCCTCGCTTGAATTACCTAGTTTATAACCGAGTTTTTTAACCTTGAAAGCTACACTTCTTTCAGTGACTCATAAAATCATGATTTCGTTTACTGTTGTGCACTTCTGATTGAAAAATTTGCTCTCTAATAATAACGTTTTAAGCGATAGACGTTAATATAAACTGATGTCCTCTGTTGAGATTCAGTTTATTATTTAACAAAAATTATTGGCGAGACTAATTTATGGACGACCTTTGAGAAACGCCAAAGTAATCTTGAAAATGTCCACCTAATAAGTAGGACCAAATGAGGGTTATAAATTAGTGTGAGGAATTCGAATTTTGATTTACAGTCGATGGTTAATGTTAGGGATTAGATTTAGGTTTGTCATCACGAACTGACATCAGCTATAATACCAAATCTATTTAACCAAATGGATGAGTGAATTTCGCTAGAAAAATCCGAGACCTGTTATCTTATACCTGATTGATTCGTCCATAAATTATAGTCTCGCCAAATTATTTTCAGTTTACAACCTTACATGTGTTTATGTTACACATGTGACGGCAGAGTCGTAACTGGATTTTCTAGACATCTAATTATCACCCACTGTATCTTCATTTTAAATAAATACGGTTGAGTAGTAAACGAATAATGCAACAGGAATTGCTTAATTGCATACTCCTGCTGCACTTCGAATTTATGTTGTTCACAAATTTCCTAGTACGTATTCACAGTAGATTTAGGTTTGATGAGTTTTATATATATATATATATATATATATATATATATATAATTTGGACAATCGTCTGTTTTTGTTCAAAATCTTTCGTGATGACCGCTTTATTGGTGCTTTGTAAAATGATTCATTTATTTGACTTCTTTTCTGTCAAGCAGACAATTCACAAAGTATCAATACGGTAAACTTGATTAGAATTTAAGTATTATTATTTTAAAGTTGTTTCTATGATTAAGTGATTAATTATTTATTGAAACAGAAATGCTTAGCACAGGAAGAGCTCAAAAATAAACTCCATTATAAATCAGTTTTTGATAGAAGTGACATACTGTATTGGCGAGTAAAGTAACTCAAATAGTTTTCTTAGTGATACTTGCCAACTATTGATCTTCACTTCTAATCCAGAAAGCATTAAAGTAACTTGGTTGCCGGTAATCTAAATAATGTCATTTTTCATTGCGAAGTAATGGGCAACATTTGTTTGCGCTTAAATTTTCTCAACTTCCGTAAACGAATCTTTCGTTCTCAGTACGTTTCAGCTCCAAAATCCTGTTTCTACAGAAAGACAATGAGTAGAACTTCCACGCCCTATAAATATACAGTCGTATGAAAATTGTTCTTGTTAAACAGCTAATTTCTGTCACCATCGGTTTCAACAGGGCATTTGGAAAGCTAATGTTGTTTCCTGTTTTAGAAGCTATCACATTTTTTATTTTATAAAATAATGGTTGACTTCTTTAAATATCATTGTGTAGACTGAAGTATAAAGCACACTTATCACCCTAGGGACAATATATAATATATAAATATTTTGTATTAATAGGTTCAGTTAAAAATCGAAGGTTAAACCTGAGTGTAATACATTATATTTCTCATCGCTAGATAGTATAATAGCACTTTCTAATTAATTATTGGCATTTCGAAAGGACAGAATGTAGTGGCTCGGCTTCGAGATAATTACTTAGGCTTCGTTTATCAATCACCCTGATAATCATTATTAAATAAATCCCGACGGTGTATAAATTTAGGAGGTAACACGAAGCGCCAACTACAGTTAACTATTGGATTGCGCAGATAACAAAGGTACAAACAGGCCAAGCGAATTCTGAGTCTATATATATGGGATAGCGAATGATTCATTGAGCAATATTTAAGCGACTAACATTTAAGCTAGAGAGAGACATGTACGTAGGCTTTCACATAGGATACAGACATGATAGTGATCATAATAATACAAAGAAATATGCGAATTGTCACCGTTTTAATAACATTGTCCGTTAAGTGAGTTAATAAAAGGGCTTGACACAATTAATCGTAAACAAACTTAATTGTACGAGAGGTGCTGTAATAGTAATCGCCTAAAGCTAAAATCTCCGTATATAGTCGGTCTATGACTTTCAAAAGACAATGATGTATGTAATCGAGAAAAATCACTAAATGTTTAGAATTAGATCCTAAAAATTAATCTTACTACTTATTTTTTTAATCAAAATATCTAGAAGTGTAAGCGATGAAATGCTATGAGCAATCACTGTTACTCGTCCTCCGTCAGTTTGTGATAGGTCAGTCACTGATCTGAGTTGCAAATTCCCAAATATTACTATGGTCAGATCAGTGTTTGCTAAAGAACGTTAGTAAATACACCTAAATCACTTCGTAAATATTATTTTTGTTTTTATTTGTCTTAGTAATATTCCTCGTGTCAAACAACCTTTCGATGAAGCTTTTGTCTTTGTCGTTGGTGGCGGAAGTTATGTTGAGTACCAAAATCTGTTAGATTGGGTCAAATCAACTTGTTCCACTACATCTGGCACATCTAACACTTCGTCAACATCCTTAACAAATTCTGTTAATGGGATAAACAGTCGTCCTGGCCCAGGAGGTCATGACTCATCCAGTGCTTCTAATATTGGTACAGCTTATTCCAAACATATTACTTATGGCTGTAGTGATCTTGTTAGTCCGAGTGAATTTTTATTAGAAGTGAGCTCCCTTTGAGTGCAATTTTCGTTAATATTATGGATTGTTTCTTGATTTTTGCTTAAGCCCGTTCGTCTGTGGACGCAGGTTAATTAATTAAAAGATTACAGATTACCTGCATCTATGAAGTTTTCTTACGTTATTCAAAGGTCAACTAACATATAGTAGTTTCCTTGATATATGGATGAAGTTTACCCACATATAGTATGTGGGCAATATATATCTACCATAGTCTCGCAGTGGTTTACTTCATTAGTTTCAAAATTATTATGATTCTTCAAGAAATGCACTATTTTAATTTCTGATTACACTGGTTCTTTCTACCATAGTCTCGCAGTGGTTTACTTCATTAGTTTCAAAATTATTATGATTCTTCAAGAAATGCACTATTTTAATTTCTGATTACACTGGTTCTTTCTTCTAGTTTCCGAAATAGCAGTGTTGAAAAACACTCGAAAATCTAACTAAATTATAATCTGTTTACATTACCTAATGTTGTAGTATAATCAGGAAACCTTGTTTGCTAGATTCATTTTATTTATATAGAAATCCTTTCAATCATTAAAGTTTAAGATTGTAATGCAAACGTTTCAAAGTTTTATATTTATAGTCTGTTCCTCTTTGAAATCATCTGGACCAAATGTAAATTGCATTTTAGTGTATTCTGGTAAACAGTTTGTTAGGTTGAATTTGTCAACTTGTGATGGGTTTTTGATGGAGTTTTGTTCTCTGGGCTGGATGGTTTGGTCGTGGAACCTTCATCATTCATCCAGCTCAGAAAACAAAACTCTATCAGAATCATCCACCTGAGCTACAAATCTTCACCACTTGTGATGTGTCCTAAAAAATAAGCTACTTCTCGTCTTTATCTTGGTTTTTTAGTTGGGAAAACTTGGGCAGGAGTTGTAACTTCAAAGTTATCAATAATTCTGGTCGTACAACTAAAAAATTTTCAGTTACCTCTTGGATACAGTGATTACTTTGGGTTTTATATGCTCTGTAAATTTCTTCTTCTGTGATGATATTTCTTCTAGTGTTTGGCCTGTCAGTTATCTTAAACGTTCATTTACACTAAATTTGATTTTTTTTAATTATTGTACTTCTTGTTATATGTCTATATTTCTTATTGAAAATTTTTCTGTTATATCTATGTTGGGATTTCTTGAATGTATTCTAATTTGTATCCACATTTTAGATTATTCACTACGTGATTATATTGTTCATTAAAAATTGAATTGTTTGGAAATATAAATGTTCTGTGATTGAAAATAATTTTGACTTCTGTTTCAACTAATTTTTGAACGCATTGAATTATGTTTTGTAAGCCGTGTATATCCGGGTTACTGAAATTTCTGACTGCTCCAACTTTATTATGTTAAGTAATTTTACCAGTCAATGAAGTTCGATGTTGCGATCTCCTTTGCGAAAATATTCTCGTGAGCGAATTTGCACTTTGACCCATATATTACCTAAAGTCTGTAGGATTATGATTTTTACAAGTGCCTTGGAAATAAACACGTTTATCATGCCACCATTTATAATTTCATTTTTAAAATGAATTTCATCCAATAAACTATCATTTTCGCTTTATGTTAAGCCATACTAGGTAATGAAACCTGTTTTGGACGTGTGGAAACTGAAAAGATTAGAGGTGGGAGACACATTAGTGGCAATGTCCTGCTGATTGTTTGCGAACTTTTCATCCATAATGGCGGCCACCACTCGAAGCTTTTCGTGTCAACAGACTCCTGCTACCAACAATAGTTCACTTGCATTCGAACAAGATACATGACACAAGATTTAAGCATTCAAAATAACTGGAAGTAACCATTACACTTGTGGTCTGTCAACGACAAGAGGAACACGGAAAGGACAAAAGCTACTGAACGGGAAAACTCTGTGTGAGGAGTTTACCTGTCCATTCACAAAAGTTCGATTTAACCAAACAGAGAGGGCTTTCATGCGTTTAAGTTCGAAAAAATCAAATGCTATCATGCGAACTCGGTGAGTTGCTTGGACTAATATATGTTAATATTATTCATCTAATAAGAACAACTGAAACTTGAGCGTTTTAAATCACGAACAGTAAACTAGAATTATCCGGCGTGTATTTGTTCCACAATAACAAATCTGTGCGGTGCGCCAAGAAATCTCACACGTATAGCAAGTTTGCTGCAAAAGCGAAGTACGACAATCGTGCGCTGGAGGTGTTTTTTTATCTTTCTGTTCGTGTCGAATACAAGTGAACTACAGTCATCAGTGGTCGCACTGTTCAATGCTTTGATCTAAATGATGCTACTCTATAGAATACAAACGAACTAAATGGTTCAAATGGTTGCGGACGGAATAGAAGAAGCTTTCGCTTAACAGGCTTCCGTGTCTAGTAGCAGGGGATCACCAATACCTCCAGGCAAGAACCTAGGTATTTTAACGATAAAAGAGAAAGAAAATGAATTGGTAAATCATAGTAGGATACTATCCTCAGTCCTTAAGAATAGATCAAGTCGCCTCTTAAAGGACTCCTGGGAAGTTGCTTGGACTAGCTCAGCTGGCAGCGAATTCCAGCATTTGACAACTCTTAAGGAGTAGAAATTGTGTCTGCAGTCCGTTCTACTATGTTGTATCTCCAGTTTCTGGGTGTTACCCCTTAGCTTAGTGTTGGGACTAAGCTAAAGCAGGTGTTTAAGAGGATGTCCAGGTGTGTTAAGGCTACTGTAAGCCATTAGAAGGTCACCTCTAAGACGCCTATACTCTAATGGGTAAAGGTCGAGTGATTGGAGGCGCTCATCGTAAGGTTTAAATTTGAGTCCCCGAACTGATTTCGTGGCTCGCCGTTGGATACGCTCCAGAGTGTCCTTATCCTTTTGGAGTGTAGGAGGGAATACTATGTTCCCGTACTCTAAATGGGGACGAATGAAACTATTGAAGATTATGTGGAAAGTTCTCCTGTCGAACTGACCAAGAATGCGCTTCAATGTTACCAGCGCAAGGTTTGCTCTAAAGGCATTTTTGTCACAGTTGGCGTAAGACTTTGAGTCGTAGGGCACCAGAACTCCTAAATCTTTTTCGACTCGGGATACTACTAGAGAGGAGTTTCCTAAGTTGTAACTGTAATCTGCGACGGGTCGCAGATGGACTACTTTACACTTTGAAGTGTTAAAGGTAAGTCCGTTATCATCTGCCCAACTTTGAAGTTGAGTCAGATCCTCCTGAAGTGCCTGTATGTCCTCTTGGTTGCATATCTCTCTCCAAAGTTTCACGTCATCGGCAAAGAGCAGTATGTCTGACGTTACCTGTTGAGGAAGATCATTTATATAAATCAGGAAGAGGAGAGGCCTTAGTACTGAGCCCTGGGGGACCCCACTAGAACATTCCATGGCGCGTGAGAAATTGAAGTTTACCCTGACCTTAAAATGTCGATTTGTGAGGTATGAACTGAGCCAGTCAATTGAAGGTGGTTTGATTCCCAATTGTTTGAGCTTGTTAGTAAGACATGTGTGGTTAACCCTATCAAAAGCTTTAAAGAAATCAAGGCAAATAATGTCTACCTTCCCCTTGCGATCAACGATGCTTGTCCATCTGTCCACCGCAGTCAGCAGGTTCGTCATACAGGAATAACCCTTCCTGAAACCATGCTGTTGGGGTGAGAGGAAATTTAAGGACAGCAGATAGTCATGTATATCATCGTATACCAGGGACTCCATGATCTTTGAAGGTATAGGCCACCGGTCGGTAACTTGAAGGTTCACTGCGTCGACCTCCTTTGAAGATTGGTGTGAGACGGATAATCCTGATTGGTGCTGGTATCACACCAGTATGGAAAGTCCGCCAGAAAATCCTGAAATTTTCACAACTCAAAATCGGTCGACGCGAAAAATGTTTCGGGAAGCTTCCAAGCTGGCACGCGTTACCGGCAACCGTAGCAGGCGAACATAGCCGTCTATTATATGTCACTGATTTGATGACGAGATTTCGCTGCCTCGTTGATACTGGCGCAGGATTTAGCGTTCTCCCAGCGAATTCTTACGACCGGTTTCACGAATCGGTTGTAAATCCACAGGCGCCAAACGGAAAGCCTACCGCTACGTATGGCAAAAGATATGTTTATCTAAACGTGGGTTTACGCAAACCTATTCACTGGATCTTTGTTGTTGCCGATGTTTCTATGCCGATCATTGGTATGAACCTTCTACAACACCACAACTTAATTATCGATAAGCGCAAACGGAGGCTAGTAGATGGAAATACTAATTTATCTGTTTGCGTAACTTCTTTTACTGGTTGCAGGTTATCTCCTGTCACTATTAAGCACACTATAGACCCATTCTATCAACCACTACTCGATAAGTATTCCGACATTTACCAATCACAACCGAAATTGCCGTGTGTAACCAGCAACGCTAAACATCACATCACGACTACAGGACCACCTGTATTCTCTCAAGCACGCCGACTGACCCCCCAAAAAGTTAAGGTTGGCGAAAAACGAATTTGACCATACGATAGACTTAGGAATCATACGACCGTCAAATAGCCCATGAGCATATTCGTTGTACATTATCTTTAAAAAAGAAAAGCAACGTTTGGCGTCCAACTGGTGACTATCGGCGATTGAATGCAAAAACCATTCTCGATCGTTACTCGTTGCCCCCCAATTCCAAAAACCGCTATTATAACGCCCTTCGGACTCTATGAATTTTCGCGAATGCCTTTCGGTCTAAGAAACGCGGCACAGACTTTTGAAAGGTTCATAGATGACGTATTTCGAGGTCTCAACTTCGTACATGCGTATGTTGATGACTGCCCAATAGCGAGTCCAGACAGGGAATCACATCGCTCAATCGTGCCGAAACAATAGCGACGCAACGTCTTCAATACGTTGCACAGACTTTCTCATCCAGGTGTTCGTGCAACCATCAAGCTTATAGCAGAACGGATTTGCTGACCTGGTATGAATAAAGACGTGAGGAAGTGAGCACGCTCCTGTGTAAGCTGCCAGAAATCTAAGGTTATTAGACATAGCAAATGTCCCTTAAAACTCCCGATGCTCGCTTTGACCACGTTCATTTGGATTTGGTAGGACCTTTACCAGATTCGAATGGATATTCTTATCTTTTAACATGTGTAGACCGTTTTACTCGATGGCCAGAAGCAGTACCCATCAAAGACATTACTGCTGAAACGGTGGCCCGCGCCTTCGTCGAGAGATGGGTAGCAAACTTTGGCTGCCCAACAACCATCACTACAGATCGTGGACGTCAGTTTGAATCTGAACTGTTTCGTTGTCTGACCGTGAAACTAGGAATCACTGGCTTCAGAACGACGGCCTACCACCCACAAGCAAACGGGTTGGTAGAACGTTTTCACCGACAACTGAAAGCGTCATTATCAGCCCCAAACATTTCTCAGTGGACTGACGCTCTCCTACTCGTCTTACTAGGCATACGCAATGCAGCGAAAGCTGACATTGGATACACTGCATCTCAACTCGTTTATGGTACGACTCTTCGACTTCCAGGAGAGTTCGTGGATCCTTCATCCTCTTCGATGGACATGGATCTAACCTCCTACGCGAACAGGCATACAAACGCAATGCGTTCAGTTAAACCTGTTTCCACTCGACCACAATCAACTGATGTTTTCGTTCAATCTGACTTACGACATAGTACACACGTCTTCCTACGTCGAGACTCGCATCGACGACCTCTCGAATCAACACATGAAGGACCTTTCAAAGTTCTTCAACGCAAATCCAAGTACTATATAATCGATAAGAACTGAACCAACGAAAGCATCAGCATCGATCGCCTCAAAGCAGCGTATTTAGAAGGAAATCCTATTCACGTCGATTTTCCTTCAATACAATCGCACGACACAACTCCTGCACTTATAATACTTCAATCGACAGCCGACACACACGCTGATACTTCGACGGAATCCGAAAATAAACTCAAAACAACGTGTTCTGGAAGGAGAGTAGGATTTCCAGAACATTTGAACGATTACTGCACGTAAGACACAAGTTTACATTTTATATCATCTCGATTTTCCCTTGCACTATATATAATTTTTAAAAAAAAACCCGAATTTAATATGCTTATATATTTTTATTGTTTTATTTCAAAAAAGAAAAAGCAAAACAAAAAACGTTATTATAAAAATTCTTTTTTTGCCCGTTTTGTGTTTTCACGCGCGTACGAGTGTATTCCGACATGCACTTACATATTTGTTTTCTTTTCCAGGACGGCTGGAAAAGGCGATAAAAAGAACGATGAAGTTGCAAGAAACGAAAATCTTCATTGTACCTTTTTTTACCATATTTTATATTATGGTCCCTTATAGTAAGGAAAGACGACCAGGCGCTGCTAAACCTAGCAAGCTATCAGAAGAATGTTTACCAACGAAAAATTCGTTGGGTTTAAACTTCTGTCTGACCACGTCTTAGTGTCATCTTTTCCCCACTAGGGGGGAGTGATCTGTAGCGGTAAATAAATCCCCGAAATAAATAGCTCTGTAAGTTTTCGATATTGGATGCTGACCACATTAGTTTTAATGGACTCATTTAGCTGAAGGCGCTCGGTCATGCATCCGCACCAGATCACGTGTGGGAACGCTGTGCTCAACATCTGCCGCAATAGCTAGTCAGATTAGTTCAATCGATCCTCGATATATTGATAGCTTATCAAATATATCTTCGATCTCCTCACTTCTGTCTTTTGATTTTACTTGGTGGGTGCGCTTTATATTAGGTGTTACTGGTTAAAGCGTTGTCAAACTCCGAATACCTGTGGCGTCTTCAACCGCATTGAGAGTTTTGAAATGTAGCGTCTCCCTTCTCACTTCGAAAGGATAAGAATAAATTGGAAAGTATCCTACGATGATTCAAGAAAGCAGTTCGTGGACATAAATTCAAACTTCACGAAGAGCGCCTCAATTCATTGAATCTCTACCCAACAGGGCTCTTCAAAAGGTGAATTTCAAATGACTTTGAATTAAAAGTACATCAGTCATCGCCTTAAATCTCTACTTAGGTTCATTTGTTTTATAAACCTTAGGGAGAACACCCAAGATATTAGATAAGCAACATGGCAGAACTGCTGTCGGAATATGTTTAACTGTCTACGAGCAGTAAAAATTTGTAGTAGGCTTTGACATGGTGCACTTTAAACGACTTCGATGTGTCCTTCAATAGGGAAGAGACGTATTATTAGGGATTCTCGTTATAGTTTACTAACATCCCTCTTTTTATCATTAGATAAAGCTAGGTTCCTGCTTGAAGGCATTGATTATTTGTTGTTACTAGACACAGAAGTCTGCTAAGTGGAAGCTGGTACTCTTCCAACGTGCATCATTTGAATCAAATTGGAACGTGAGTTGAGTACGAACAAGCCTAGTACAAACTCTTGGATGGCCTTGTAACCTTGAAGGCTGCGAAAGCAAAACGCGGGTTCCTTATAAATGCTTCTCACGTTTGCTTTAAGGGTAATGTTTTTTTCCTGAGTTTCACACTGTCTATATCAAAAAACGATTAATGTTGTTTTAAAGTTTTTCCGCGACAAGACTCTAATTTATGGACGAATCAGTCAGGTATAAGATAACAGGTCTCGGATTTTTCTAGCGAAATTCACTCATCCATTTGGTTAAATAGTTTTGGTAATATAGCTGATGTCAGTTCGTGATGACAAACCTAAATCTAATCCCTAACATTAACCATCGACTGTAAATCAAAATTCGAATTCCTCACACTAATTTATTGGTGATCCCCTGCTACTAGACACGGAAGCCTGTTAAGCGAAAGCTTCTTCTATTCCGTCCACAACCATTTGAACCATTTGGTCCTACTTATTAAGTGGACATTCTCAAGGTTACTTTGGCGTCTCTCAAAGGTCTTCCGTAAATTATAGTCTCACCGTATATCGTAGTTCTAATTCCGAACCTTAACGTCCAGCTGTAGATCCTTGTCTTCTTTTCTAACATTAACTCCTAGCCATCATTTAACCCTAAGAAGTACCTAAGCACTACCAAGGTCACTTAATCGTCGTACAGAGGTCGTCTATAATTTGTAGTCTCATCAGTCCCCATTAATGTCACTGAGTAATAGTGTACGATTGTATACCTCAATTCTTATGTATATTTGGTATATACATTTTCGTTTACAACTTCTTTGATATATTTTACTTATATGTTGAGCACTAAATTATTAACTAGCATAAATTAGTTAGTGTCTTGCATCGTGAGGATTAATACGTGTCTCTCGTCCTTCATTCTTCTCACTGAAAGCATGGTGCCGGTTGATAGGGAATTGTTAGTTGTTTTAGACAGTCTTTCCAATCTGGCTTTTGGGTTTTACGTTAGCAGAATATATTCACTCAAACATTTAATAGATAAGATGTTGCATTTTCTTACTTTAAATATAGTTTTGGGTATAATGAACTCTTATTTTCATAGAATTTGTTCAGCTCTACGTAATATATCTTCATTTTAATGTCCTAAAATTCCCTTACCGACCAACTGCTCAGCTTATTCTACTCTACGTCTATTTTCTCCAGTCTCATTAATTTTATTTCTGTCATCTTTTAAGATTCAGAATTTCTCCTCATTTTGATCCATTATTTTGGCATTAATCGTAAAAAGTCACCATTGAAATAGGTTTGTCTTTTTTGTTATTTTCTTCCTTTGTGTATTATCCCGAATAATAAAAACTCAGGTCAGTAAAATATTGTGCTTGCGTTGTATATTGTCCCATATAAACAGATAGCAGTATTTACATGTTTCGTTCAACAGTGATTCGAAAACAACGTTCTCCAAAGATTTGTCTTAGAAATGGAATACTTGTAATATCCCAACGGGACAGAGAAGCAAATTCCTAATATTTCTTCAGAATTCTTTTAGAAAACTGGTCCATACTAAGTCTATTACTTGAGCTACTACAAATTTTGTGTTATAAAAAGTCTACACGATACTCAATTTAATTCAAGATTATGAAGTCAAGTCTTGGTGATGGTTTTCACTTCTTTACTTAGTGTGCAAATATATTTCAACTATTTCTGATTGCCTTAAATATGTATATGTGTTTTATCGCTTTTAGTTATCATCAACGCAGCCAGTTGTACAGTGAAACTGAAGTTCGCACATAGAAATGGGTGTCCACTCATATTCATCTATATTTGAATATCTCAAAAATGTTGGTGTTCATATGCTTGACGAACTGTACACTCATCCTCCAACATGTCTTGTCGTTTTCAGAGAATTACCTGAACTTGCGAAACATTTTGTCATGCGACTTTTATTTATTGAACAACCGATACCAAAATCTATTGTCTCTGGGTGGGTTGAAAAGGGTTCTAGTGCACTTCTAAATGACTCATGTAAAGCTCTGACTGATTTAAGGATATGGCATTCTACAGACAGTAATGTTTCTCGAGGCTCTTGGTCGTTAAACAAAAAGTACCAAGAGTCTATTCGGATATCACTATTCGGAGGGTAGTCTTTGTTCATTTTCTAAATCTTTATGATTTAATTACAGTGGAAAACCCTTACTTGGAGATTTAGGCATTGTGACAAACGATAAGTACTCAAAAAGCGTTGACTTTTTAAAATCGTATGCAGCTGAACGTTGGGATGTGAGTTTATGTGTGAAATAATTTCCTTTTTCGCAGGCTATACTTCACTTTATGGTAGGTTCTGAATCAGCGGAAGTTGGAAGTGTTGTGAAGGATGTGCTTCTATTGTCCAATTTAATGAAATGGTACGTTCAAATTTTTAACACTGGGTGTATGTTCATATATACTAACTTTTAGTGAAGGTAATGATTGTCCAATCGGTATCACAAAGCATGGGTTCCATTTCTTGCTTATGAGTCGACAGTTTCAAGTACTAGTTTTCATCCTGCACTACTTTGATTACTTAAAGGTAGTTCAGCTACTAACTGTGCTTTATTATTTTTTCAATTTTAACAGGAAAATAGTAAAAATCTAGTTGGAGCCCTACAGTTCGTTTTCCAACTCAGTTTTCTGTGTCCGACTAAGGTGAGCTTAATTGCATTTGTTTTATAAGGTTAATATGCACTGGACCCAATAACTGTACACACTTTCCTGTCTTAGGTTGTAGGTTACACATCTTTTGTTATGGGTAATTGTTATTTTCATGCACTAGGTTTATGTTCCACAACTCCAACTTGAACACAGTGAATGAAACTACTACTATCCTCTTCTTTCTTACCCTTCTAACTAGAGTAAGCCCAGTTTGGTTGATAATGGCCCCCATTATAACTAAAATACATGTAAGTTGATCGGTTATATATAGATTACAATGATTATAGTTTACTAGCCGAGTAATTGTCACCAAAAATATATCATCGTGAAAATTCGTAATGTACAGTAATGTAACGAAAACGTGCTGGAAGTTGACCTTACATTTATTTTAAATCGATATTGACTTTCTTCCTTACAAGTTGTATTTGGGTATTCAAAAAACCCTAAGACTAAGTAAATTACATTTTATTTGGAATGGTTAACATTAAGTCCCTATGTAATCTAAAGCAAGCTGATCGAACTTAAAATCCGTGAACCCATAAATTACTGTTAAACCTTCACACTATAGGAATATTTGCTCCTCTGTTTAGCGTCTTCTCGATAAGGTTCTTTTCTACGGGATAAGGTTGGCAACCCCATGCCCAACCCTCTCCATTTATCTGGGCTTGGGACCGGAAGCAAACGTTAGAAGGGCTCCAGGCGGAATCACTATTAAATCATAGTTTCAACATTTAAACGATTATAAATTTTAAGCAGTTATAAGTGACAAATTATACATATTCCCCCTTAAGTTGAAATTTCTGCAGTAGTTCATCAGTTTCTTAGCGAGAAACTAGCATATATCTTCTACAAATTATTTTCTCTCATTGACACTAATGTCATTAAGCAGGTAATTGATGATAGTATACTCAGAGCAAAATAAATGACTGGTAATTATATTGGTATCAATACTAATGGACGAAAATCGTAAGGCATGAATCCAAACATAGAAGTTAAAGGTAAAGCCAAACGCGTATTTAAAACTTTCATACAGTAAGAAGAAAATTAATTACTGGCATAAATTTGAGCTAGTGGACGACTTGATCTATCGTAAAAGTCTCACTAGCCATAAAATTTTGATGGCTAATAAAATCTAGGCATTAGTTTAGAAAGCTACTTTAGCTCCTACAAACATATGTCTCTCACTCACTAGACGAGATGTCCGTCGCCAACAAAGAGGGGGGAGTATACTGCTCAGCTGTCCTTTCTGTATTACATTATGTAGCTAGCAGATAGCCTATGAAACCAGATATTCGGACTGAAAAGATTAGGTCATCGATGTCTTAGAGCATTTCTTGCTGTATCGTTGGGTGACTTAGTGAGAAATTTGGAGGTTAGGCGTATATCTCTTACCAGGAGGTCCACCTATAATATGCAGACAACATAGTTATGTTTGGTGAAGACGCTGGTAAAATGCAGGGTCTTTTGGTCGCTCTGAGCAACAATTCCAGAGTGTTTGGGATGCTCTTCCCTCTCCTCAAAATACATATTGCTTCTTCAGGAGTGACCTGCGTCAACACTTTAACTAAGGATATGGAGTGAGATAGTCGAACACGTTGACAACTTCACTCATCTTGGAAGTTTGATCAGCGCTAATGGGTTTGTATCTGACGAAATCTCAGCACGGATTCGAAAAGATCGTTTTGCTTTTGCCAACTTACGTCACTCATGACGAAGGCGAGATATCCGCGTATCAATTAAAGGACGAGTATACTGCACGGCAGTTTGTTCTGCTCTACTTTACGGCTGCAAAACGTAGCCATTAAGGGTAGAAGGTACTCTTAAGCTACTAGTATTTGACCACAGGTTTCTTAGAAATATTGTTCGCATCTACTGGGATCACCGGGTAAGTAATGGTGAAGCTAGACGCAGGGTATCGGGGAATGGTGGTAAATTAGTTGATAAAGTTGTGGCCTCGTGTCACGTATGCCTGAACACCGACTACCACGACGCGCAACACTGACCGGTGTTAGGGATATTTGGGAGAAAGTTAGGGGCGGTTAAACCAATACGTGGCATCAGTGCTTTCTTTTATGTATTACTACCATTGAAGTGACTGTTCTATGAATTTGATATTTGTCTTGTTGTGCTAATGAGGTGTGGCAACTTGGACCGATGCATATATGTGCCTGGTCCTACATTGTAGCTGACTGATTGAAAGACCACAAATCTCTCAATGAAACTAAATCTTTATTAAGTGAAGTTGCTCCAATACAGGAAATACGTATCCGAACATCGTCTACCTCAGCATGTAATTTATTTCTGGCAATTTAAAGAAGTAGATTATTTTATTTTTTATTTAAACACATAAACAATGGTACAAGGAGGCACCAAACAAATATGCGCCGCATAAATCATTCGATTTGTGTTAGGGCTGGGATACTGCCCGGGTCCCCAAACCGAAGTTGTTGGTTTTCTTAGGGGGTCACACCCGGAGCCTTCGACCTAAAGGTCTAATCCCCAAGGTAGTGGCGCATCGTAAGGAGATGCGGTCCCATGGTAACTACTGACCAACGATTGGTTCATATGCCATTTGTTCCTTCAGGATACTAGAGCCCATGTGCACCTTTGGTTTTGAATCACGATTTTCCAACTCTCTTCGATGGACTCTCCGTGTTCACCAACCCGGTGAATACGACGGACGTTCTCTTTTCGTCCTCTCAATTTCGTAAACAACACCCCTACCGCGTGAAGGCAGTGAGGAGGACTTCCCTGGCAGTGATTGTACGCACGTGGCCATGTGAGAGCATTTCGACAGGGAGAGCTGACTCACCCCACTCTCGGCCGTACTCGGGCATTTAGGGGCAGTAGAAGATTAACACAAACTTCCAGTCGGTATGAATTTCTCCAAGCCCCCAAATGCCCTGGAATGGCCGAGAGCGGGCTGGGCTCGCCCTCCCTCTCGAAATACTCTCACACGACCACGCCTATACAGTCTTTGCCAGGGAAGTCCTACTCACTGCCTTCTCGTGGCGGCACACAAAACAAGCCTGGACTCAGATTGATCACATTGCGATCAGCTACCGCTGCCGTGGTTGTGTACAAGACTGCCGCTCCTCTCGGAGTACCTATCTGGAATCTGATCATGCTCTGGTCTGCGCCAATCTTACCTTACTTTTCAGTGGACAACGAAGTAACCGCCACCAAAGGATCGATGTTAGCAAGCTGGCTGCGACTTCTGTTGCTAGTAAGCACCGAACCGAGCTAGCTTTTAGGCTAGCTACCATTCCACTGAAAATTATAGATGAGCATTGGTTGCAATTGCATGACGCCATGAAAATGGCGAGTAAAGTCACTTGTGGGTTCGCGAAACGTCGCGCTTACAAGCACTGGGTTTCTTCTGGTTCCCTACAATTGATTGAAGCCCGTCGGTCTACTCCGGGTGACCGTGAGTTTGACCACAGACGAAGGATGTTACGTAATGAAATCGGGCAAAGCTTGCGTAAGGACCGAGAAGCCTGGTGATCGGAGCGTGTTAATGAGCTGGAAGCAGCAGCTGCATCTGGTAATTACCGGAAGCTCTTCCAACTCATCAGAGCTACTGGCAGCAAGAAGTCTAGTGTGAGCGAAACAATCTGCGAGGATGACGAAACGTCAATCACTAACATCCATCGACGTCTTGGACGATGGGCAGAGTTCTTCGAAGGGCAGTTCAACTGGCCTGCTGCTCCGGCAACGTCGGTCAGACTGTCCTGCACTCCATGGCCGGTGACGACTGATCCATCAAATGAGGCGGAAGTCCGCAAGGAACTCCAACTCTTGAAACGCTATAAATCACCGGGCCCAGACGACTTACCTCCGGCTCTTTTTGAAGATGGTGGTGACTTCCTGACTAAGGGACTGACGACTTTGTTTACAAAGGTCTGGGAACTAGAGAGTGTACCAACGTCATGGAATGAGTCGATAGTTGTCCCTATCTTTAGAAAGGGTTCACGTCGTTCCTGTAACAACTATCGGGGCATAAGTCTACTTCCGATTGAGTCCAAGCTATTGGCTTCCGTCATACTTCATAGGTTGTTCAAAACCCGAGAAAGATTTACTCGCGAGGAGCAGGCTGGGTTTCGTTCTGGATGAGGATGTATTGATCATATCTTCACCCTCCGCCAAATGTTAGAACATCGCCATACTTATCAAAGACCAACAATCGTAGTGTTTCTTGATATCAGGGCTGCCTTCGATTCGTTGGACAGAACTGTTCTCTGAGATTGTCTATTGAAGAAGGGTGTGCCTGAGAAGTTTATTAACATCCTAAAAGCCCTATACACAAACACCTCAGGCAGAGTGAGGGCATACAACCACCTTTCTCCATTATTCCATTCAAGCAGTGGGGTTAGACAGGGTTGCTCAATCTCACCATTCCACTTCAACTTTGCCATCGATGACATTCTGGAAACAGCTCTGATGGATGTAAGTAATGGTAGTGTGGATCTGTTGCCTGGAGAAAGACTTCTCGATCTTGAGTATGCGGATGATATTGTCTTACTGTGCGAGAATTCCCAAGCCATGCAATCCGCACTTAATCAGTTGGCAATCAGTGTCCGTAGGTATGGTATGTGCTTTGCACCTTCTAAGTGCAAAGTACTTCTACAAGACTGGCAGGATTCTAATCCTGTACTCACTCTGGATGGTGAGCAGATAGAAGTAGTCGAGAAGTTCGTGTTTCTAGGTAGCTGCATAAGTGCTGGTGGTGGTGTGAGTGATGAGATCAATGCACGTATAGTGAAAGCCAGAGCGGCTTATGCCAATCTGGGCCATCTTTGGCGCCTTTGTGATGTTAGTCTGGCTGTAAAAGGTCGGATCTACAACGCGACGGTGAGAGCAGTTTTGCTCTATGCTTGTGGAACCTGGCCTCTCCGAGTTGAGGATGTTAGACCACTCTCTGTGTTCGATCATCGTTGTCTCTGAAGGATTGCTGACATCCAGTGGCAACACCATGTTAGTATTACAGAGGTTCGGTATCGTGTGTTCGGGCACAGAGACGATAATCCAATTGGTGTCACCATCTTGAGACACCGAATTCGGTGGCTTGGACATGTTCTACGAATGTCGTCCCAGAGAATTCCACGTCGCGCATTATTTGCCGACTCTGGGACTGGTTGGAAAAAGCGGAGAGGTGGTCAATATATGACATGGTGTTGTGGTATGAAAGAAAGCTGCAAAGGGCCAGCTTCTGTTGGTCCTTCACGACTCCCTGGTTGGGGTCCGAGAGACGGTGTAACACAGTGGCTAGAGACGTTATCAGATGTGTCTCAGAATAGAAGCCAGTGGCGATCCTGCTGTAACCTTCTTTTACTTTCTTCATAAAAAGTGGTTGTATCTTCCTTAAATGTAAGATTTCTTCTGAGTGAACCTTTTCTTCTCCCTCAATATTATTACTATTACACTTCACCTTTTCTTTAAATTCTCATTGTTTTGTGTGGCGCATATGTATTTGGTGCCCCCCTGTACCAATATTTATGTGTTCAAAGAAATAAATAATTTTTCCTACCCCAAACAAGTGTGTCTATGTAATTTCAGTGGTTGTTTTCATTACTTTTAGCCCAACGTCTTTTAAAAGTATGATTCGCTGAAACCTGATGGCATTTCTGTTGAGTCTGTCTCATATAACTCTACAATCGCTAACTTATACAGAAGGAATAATGGTTGTACTTTTTTATAGCTTTGTTTTGTTCATCGCAATCCGGTTGACATAGAACTCTTCCAGATATTCGTTCTAAATTTTCCAGATTTTGAATATCACTTAACCTCGCCTTTTGATTTCTACTAGTTAGGCGTTCATTTTATAGTTTTTTGACATTGTGAAGTAACAATTACCTACAAAAGTGGTTGAACATTTTCAGTATCTTGATGTCGTTTTTATACATATTTCGATATCATCTTCTGAGTACTCATAAGTAGTTTACTTTTTACTGACATTTTGTGAAATGTTTCATAATTTTTAATTTACACTGTTTGATTGGATTGCGAGCCAGGACGTACTGGACAGCCGCTTCGCCCCATTATGAAACTCCTCAGTGCTCACCCACGATCCAACCCGCAGGGTCCGAACCCTGGACCTTGGGTCATGCACGCAAATGCTTATCATCTAGACCACTGAGACGGCGTCCAGTGGTCTTAATGTCTAAATTCAGTCTATCCATGATCTTGCTCAACCCTTCATCCATTGTCTGAGGTATATACCTGTCTCTGTCTAATACGGATTGGATTTCACTGGCCACAGCTGATCACTAGAACTCTAGGAGTTCGATCTTGAAGCTAGTCACTAGTGATCACATGATTGTTATTAATATTCAGATTGCAGTATTTCCACAGTGCGGGATCGTGGATACGTTCTGTGGAGGAATCCCATACTAAAGCGAAGCGGCCGTGTAGTACTTCCAGATTTTCAATGGTTGTCTAGCTTAGATTGACTCATGAGTTCAACAGTGAAAATGTTACGATCTCCGCAAATCCCCATACTGAGAATTTGTAATTCCCTATTTGATTTAGAATAAGAATTTCATTATAAATTATATTATTCTTTGTCTAGACATGAATTTCTATGTAATTGTTTATTTATTTGCTGACAGTCCAATGCTAATCTATTGATAAATATATATCTAGACAAAGTGGAAGTATCTTTTATCCTACTTTTTCGATTTTCTGGATATGAGTCCCACTTTTCTATAGTTATCTTTGATGATATATATTCAATGTTCTTCACTATACTGAGGAAAGACTAAGCGTGGCCAAACCAAAGATTATCAACTTTTATTCTGAATCATGTTGGAATATCCACAAACCCTAGTTGGAGCCCGCAAGATGAGCGTTATCTATATTTGAAAATATGAAATGACACTGATAACAATCTGTTGTAGTGGTGCCGACTTATTATTTGATTATCTGCTCGCTAGTGTTTGAGTTTTTATAATGTTTAATGCATCTCATTTCTTGATTGTATTTATTTCGTTCTAATTACTTTTTTATGTTTAGTCTTCTGCTAAAATCGATGCTAATTTTTCCACTGCATAATTATTTTTGTCTGTTTCTTATTTTTATGTTCTGATGTGGAGTATTTTACTTAGATCTATGAACATCTGTTCCATGTCCTATATTGTTCATGAGTAATGATTAACTTGTATATTATCTAGTGTCAATCGTATTTAAGTAACTCGAAGAATCCAGACTCAATTTTTCGACAATTTACTATTGTTTATTTGTTCTATTCATGAAGGAATTTCCATAATAAATGTAGGAAAATTTGTCGCACTTATTCGGTGTTAGTATTTGTTTATTTTTAGTCATCCTGTTATTCTTTACCTATTTCTCATGTTATTTACATGGTACTGTGATACTACTTTATATAATGCCTCCCTCTCTATATACTTTGTTCCGGATTTAACCTCAAAGCAATATTTTCTTCTAGATCAATATACCTTTTAACAGTTGAGAAAAACGTAGTTAGCAAAGTGAACTACTGGAAAGGTTGTTACTTTCCTAATAAACTCTGTTAACCGTATCATATGTCGACTTTCTCCAATATCCTCAAGAAACTTTAGTTTGTTCTGCATTTGTTTAGTTTCTTAATTTAAGTAGTTTCGTGATAATATCCTAGAAAAATGGGACATTTTTTACATTCTATCATTAACTTTCATCTAATAAATAACAAAACTGTTAACTTTTGGACGTGATCTATCCATCTCAATAATTAATAGCTGCCATAAACTTCTTAGATTACTAGTTTCTAGCATGCCTAATGCATTGTATGATTATTGTTTCGTATTTCGGAAGTATTTTCTATTTTGTGTTTCTGTTTTCAATTTTACTGTAGAGCTATCCAGTAGAGGCACTGAGTACTGCCCAACAGGAAGTATTACAACATATGCGCGAACTCGGTTTAGCTTATCAGCGGAAACGTACAGCGCCTCGTTTTTATGTAACTCCTCTTGCTTTGGATGTAGCTGGAGGTCATACTACCTTCTCGGAAAGTAAATCAGGTGGATGGGGTCCACAATTAGGAGTTATTCCTACTGGTGTCTCAAAAACAGATCCTACCGATAGCAGTAAAATGTTTTCGCAAATTTCAGTATCGAATTCTTCCGATGTTGGTTACATTTTGCTAGAAACCAATTTCCGACTATATGCCTATACAGGTAAGCAAGCAATTTATGTTGTTCAACTGCTTGAAAAATATTATTGTGTTAAAAAAGATTGAATTTTACTGCAATTGTTCATCTGATTGGTGAGTAGATGAGAACAATTGTGTCAGGTAATTGAACGTCTTCCACCTGATCAGTATTTATTGTAACCAATCTCCATTAATTATCCAAACGTTCTATGGACATTACATTTGCCTCTGTCATTCTCATCAAACAATTATATGGATATCTAACTGTTGTTTAATGGTCAGTAAGAGTCTTAGCCTCCTGCTATATTTTGTAGTTGCTTTTTACGTTTTTCCACTCTTCATGACTATTACTATTATTGATAAAATTGTATGTTAATTGCGTTCTACTATGATTTCATACTTATGTCAGAATTTTAATGTAGTATGGCAACTCGAACTGATGTACGTACGTACGAAGTTCCACGTTGTTACTGACTGACTGACTATGTCAGAATTTATTTTTCTTTCTTAGATTCACCGCTTCGTACTGCTCTTCTTAGTTTATTTAGCAAAATACGTGCACGTTTTCCTAATCTTGTTGTTGCTGATATAACTCGTGACTCAGTTCGTGAAGCATTAATTCGTGGAATAACTGCAAATCAGGTAAGTTTTAATAATATTCCCATTTTAATCTTAACCAACTTAATTTTGTAGATTCTGTCTTTCTTAAAAGCCAATGCACATCCAGATATGTTACTACAGGTAATTTTTGTTTGCTGTATTTCCGTACTGTAAGTTATTTTCTATGTTGTATCGAAATCTCAAAACGGATAGTTAACCGTGTGTAAATTGTCAAGCATAAGATTTAGTAATTTTACTGCATTCTTGCATTCTCTGAGGTTTTGTGTATATGTAGCAGTGTGTTAGTCTTGAGTATTTATGGAAGAAATATGTAAATGTTCTGTATAATATTTGGTTTTCAATTAGTTTTTAAAAAAACCATTTAATGTATAGATCCGAACACAAATATTGGTACAAGGGGGCACCAGATGTATATGCGCGACACAAAAACTATGAGAATGGGAATAGAAGAAAAGATAAGGTGTGTATAAGAGAAGAAAGAAAAGAACAGACTAGTGTAAGAAAGTTTAGTAATGATATTGAGGGAGAAGAAAAGGTACACTCAGAAGAAATCTTACATTTAAGGAAGATACAACCACTTTTTATGAAGAAAGAAAAAGAAAGTTACAGCAGGATCGCCACTGGCTTCTATTCTGAGCCATATCTGATAACGTCTCTAGCCACTGTGTTACACCGTCTTTCGGACCCCAACCAGGGAGTCGTGAAGGACCAACAGAAGCTGGCCCTTTGCAGCTTTCTTTCATACCACAACACCATGTCATATACTGACCACCTCTCCGCTTTCTCCAACCAGTCCCAGAGTCGGCAAATAATGCGCGACGTGGAATTCTCTGGGACGACATTCGTAGAACATGTCCAAGCCACCGAATTCGGTGTCTCAAGATGGTGACACCAATTGGATTATCGTCTCTGTGCCCGAACACACGATACCGAACCTCTGTATTACTAACATGGCGTTGCCACTGGATGTCAGCAATCCTTCGGAGACAACGATGATCGAACACAGAGAGTGGTCTAACATCCTCAACTCGAAGAGGCCAGGTTTCACAAGCATAGAGCAAAACTGCTCTCACCGTCGCGTTGTAGATCCGACCTTTTACAGCCAGACTAACATCACGAAGGCGCCAAAGATGGCCCAGATTGGCATAAGCCGCTCTGGCTTTCACTATACGTGCATTGATCTCATCACTCACACCACCACCAGCACTTATGCAGCTACCTAGAAACACGAACTTCTCGACTACTTCTATCTGCTCACCATCCAGAGCGAGTACACGATTAGAATCCTGCCAGTCTTGTAGAAGTACTTTGCACTTAGAAGGTGCAAAGCACATACCATACCTACGGACACTGATTGCCAACTGATTAAGTGCGGATTGCATGGCTTGGGCATTATCGCACAGTAAGACAATATCATCCGCATATTCAAGGTCGAGAAGCCTTTCTCCAGGCAACAGATCCACACCACCATTACTTACATCCATCAGAGCTGTTTCCAGAATGTCATCGATGGCAAAGTTGAAGAGGAATGGTGAGATTGGGCAACCCTGCCTAACTCCACTGCTTGAATGGAATAATGGAGAAAGGTGGTTGTATGCCCTCACTCTGCCTGAGGTGTTTGTGTATAGGGCTTTTAGGATGTTAATAAACTTCTCAGGCACACCCTTCTTCAATAGACAATCTCAGAGAACAGTCCTACCCAACGAATCGAAGGCAGCCCTGATATCAAGAAACACTACAATTGTTGGCCTTTGATAAGTATGGCGATGTTCTAACATTTGGCGGAGGGTGAAGATATGATCAATACATCCTCATCCAGAACGAAACCCAGCCTGCTCCTCGCGAGTCAATCTTTCTCGGGTTTTGAACAACCTATGAAGTATGACGGAAGCCAATAGCTTGGACGCAATCGGAAGTAGACTTATGCCCCGATAGTTGTTACAGGAACGACGTGAACCCTTTTTAAAGATAGGGACAACTATCGACTCATTCCATGACGTTGGCACACTCTCTAGTTCCCAGACCTTTGTAAACAAAGTCGTCAGTGCCTTAGTCAGAAAGTCACCACCATCTTCAAAAAGAGCCGGAGGTAAGTCGTCTGGGCCCGGTGATTTATAGCGTTTCAAGAGTTGGAGTTCATTGCGGACTTCCGCCTCATTTGATGGATCAGTCGTCACCGGCCATGGAGTGCAGGACAGTCTGACCGACGTTGCCGGAGCAGCAGGCCAGTTGAACTGCCCTTCGAAGAACTCTGCCCATCGTCCAAGACGTCGATGGATGTTAGTGATTGACGTTTCGTCATCCTCACATATTGTTTCGCTCACACTAGACTTCTTGCTGCCAGTAGCTCTGATGAGTTGGAAGAGCTTCCGGTAATTACCAGATGCAGCTGCTGCTTCCAGCTCATTAACACGCTCCGATCACCAGGCTTCTCGGTCCTTACGCAAGCTTTGCCCGATTTCATTACGTAACATCCTTCGTCTGTGGTCAAACTCACGGTCACCCGGAGTAGACCGACGGGCTTCAATCAATTGTAGGGAACCAGAAGAAACCCAGTGCTTGTAAGCGCGACGTTTCGCGAACCCACAAGTGACTTTACTCGCCATTTTCATGGCGTCATGCAATTGCAACCAATGCTCATCTATAATTTTCAGTGGAATGGTAGCTAGTCTAGAAGCTAGCTCGGTTCGGTACTTACTAGCAACAGAAGTTGCAGCCAGCTTGCTAACATCGATCCTTTGGTGGCGGTCACTTCGTTGTCCACTGAAAAGTAAGGTAAGATTGGCGCAGACCAGAGCATGATCAGATTCCAGATAGGTACGCTGAAAGGAGCGGCAGTCTTGTACACAACCACGGCAGCGGTAGCTGATCGCGATGTGATCAATCTGAGTCCAGGCTTGAGATGCAGAAGGGGGAAGCGAGGTGGCTCATCGGCGATGACTGTGTCGAAATTTAATGCTAGCCAGAAACAGGTTGTGATCTGTGCATATTTGCAGTATACGTTCCTCGTTATTTGTCCTGTGACTAACGAGTCCCTATCGGCCGCCTAAACGACTCTTTTGTTTCTAGTGATCAATGATTTCTTTGTTAGGTGTTTAGAAACAGTCGGTAGGGAGCCTTGAACTAGTTTATATTCTTCACCATGTTCTATCTGTACTCTTAAGTGAATCAATTTTCTCGGTAGAATTCAACTCCTATTAGCCAGTATCATATATACGTTATCAGTGGTTAGTTTAGGCATTGTTTTCGGTTATTTATTGTCACAGAATTTCTGGTTTTTGACTCAAGCTGCAACTTATTTGATGACTACCTAAGATAACCACATAAATCGACAGCTTCGTGACATTCATGATCATGTGTGGTGGGGAACATCAACTCCGTTTACTGCTCATATTGGATATCTCATCAGTAGATTCTTGTCTCGCTAAATTTCAGTCAGGTGTAACATATGGAGCTGTATCATTTCAAATAAACATTATTGATCAATTGAAGCATCTTGAATAACACTAACCAGATGGGTTTGCGTCCGTCTCCAACACCGTAGCTAACATCTTAAGAAACTTAATTACCAGAAGTGACCCACCATACTTCAAGACTTTTCTAAAGCAACTTATCAGGCGTTTCTCCTGTTGCCCTTCAATTTAGGTGCGTTTTTAACCTTACTAAGATTAACGAGACTTGTGTTACTGTTCCTTCCATTTTATATACGAGTAGAAGTTAACTAAAGAATAGCTAAAAGTCAGTTCCGCCCGCCGTTCTAATTTCCTGGAAAGGATAGATCACCGTATTGTCTTTTCCTAAAATAATCTGACAATCGATTTCTTTTCTTCACTGTATATCGTTGTCTGAGGTTGTTTAAATGACTTTACGGGCGTTCATTACTTGAAAACTAAGCTTATATTCGTTTTCAAATTAGACATAACTTACAAAATGTACACTAACTCCACTTAATGTTTTTTAATTGTACTACAGAATCCTATATTACCGCCTACTTTAACCGATCAAATACGACTATGGGAATTAGAACGAGATAGATTTCTATTTCAAGAAGGCTGTCTGTATGAACAATTCTCTCGGAATACAGATTTTGAAATGGTTCGGGATTATGCTAAAGTAATTTGTGATTATTGCTTTTGTTAATGGAGGCTTTTTCTCTATCTTTAGAGTATTGGTGTTTTACTCTGGGAAAACCCTGAACGAAGACTAATGGTTGTGTCTAAAGCAGGTCATGAAGATGTACGGAAATTTTGGAAACATAAACGTCCATCCTAAAACCTTGTCACTGTTCAATTTTCCTTTTCTACTCCAGATTTTATGTACATATATAATTAGACATTTTCACTTTTATTCTAACAGTATTTGTTGAAGAATGATTTTTCAACAAATTCCATGATTTGTTATTTTTAAACTTAAAATACAGCATTATATCAAAGTAAAATTGCCTTTAAGTATTTATCTTTCTGTAATCAAACCAAAGATTTTGCCCTCTGTTACTCCAGTTTTTTTTATCAGTTGGATAAAATATCTAGAGAAGTCACACAGTAATAATAGTTAAACAAGATACTCTATACTTGGAATAAAATCAAAACTTGTTTAGCTTACTTGTCTACTTTCGTCACAGTGTTTATCTTTGTATGTTGAGAACTTCTTATCGAAATAAGGCTTAGTAAGCTTTCATTATTCAATTCGTGATACTAGGTTTTAGTATATAAATATATAAACTTCTGTAGTCAATGTACATAATTTTTGCTATAAAGATTTTTATTATTACGACTAATGCATTAATTCTATTTCAGTAATCATAATTCAATTTGTTAAATAATCAGTAAAGTTAAAACTTCTGATTGACAAAGTAATTTCTTTAAATCTACTAACTAATAAAAGTTTCTTACCAGTGAGTGACTACGCAACTGAACCCCAACATTATTATTGAATATTTACTAAATCCAATTAGAAGACGTTGTTGTTTACAACTTATTTCGACATGCATTAAAATCAAATAACAGTTGACACTTGTTCTACTGAAACTCTTGATTTCATAGTTAATCAAATCTTTGTTTTTAATTAAATTTCCTAGTTTGATTTACAAACCGTTCTAGTTTTACGCGTTCTTGGTGTGAGTCGATATGATTGGTGTTCATAATTGAAAGTAGTTTACACAGATACAACACTAATTTCCCTTAGACGAATATCGTAACCTACACACAAAATAAGGTATTCAAATTGGTCTGAAGACAATTTCTCTAGATGGAACTGCTCACATTACCGGTTCACGATACTGGCATACATCAAGTAATGGTATCGTAGACTTCTTACAAACTGAAGACACTGGTATATTGTGTGGAAATCCGGCGATCATTCACCAACTATACGTTTCTGTGTAAACTACTTTCAATTATGAACACCAATCATATCGACTCACACCAAGAACGCGTAAAACTAGAACGGTTTGTAAATCAAACTAGGAAATTTAATTAAAAACAAAGATTTGATTAACTATGAAATCAAGAGTTTCAGTAGAACAAGTGTCAACTGTTATTTGATTTTAATGCATGTCGAAATAAGTTGTAAACAACAACGTCTTCTAATTGGATTTAGTAAATATTCAATAATAATGTTGGAGTTCAGTTGCGTAGCCACTCACTGGAAAGAAACTTTTATTAGTTAGTAGATTTAAAGAAATTACTTTGTCAATCAGAAGTTCTAACTTTACTGATTGTTTTCGAAGATACCGACGTTTTCTTAACTAACAATGTGCTGTTTCAATAATGATTTCAGATGATCGATTTTGTTGATATAAAATGCAGTTTAACTGAAAATATGAGCGTAGGTCCATTTTAACTACCATTGTCACTGAAGTAACACTCGGTCTTCTCCCTTACACTAACAGACGACAACAATAATAATAAATTTAGAAAAATATATAACGCATCTAATATCCGCCAGACTATCTACTGATCTGACTGAGCCAACAACTAATCGTTATTTTCCTCGCCCACATATTAGATATCTAAACTTTCTCAATTAAATTTTTGTAAGCCATGTGTATGCAGTGCTAATATCTGAGATCTAATTATTACAACAAATGGATCATTGAACTAATGTATTACTTTTTTTCTCAAAATATTCGAAATATTTAATAGTTTTAAGTAGTTGTTTAAACAAATATTTTATCAATATATAAATGAAGAAAATAGATTAAATAGAATAATTTGTCAAAAAGTAAAGAATCATTGTTATTATTATAAGCTTTATTCAATATTATATTTTTGGTACAATATTGAATTCTCAGAGCAAAGTATTTCAACAAATTTCCGTTTTATTTTTTATTGAGTGATCCTGACGACAAATATTGAGTAATCGCCAATTAGATATTAGCAGTTCAGGAATCGACATCTGAATAATGTACTTTCTTTTCGAAGTATATTGCCAGCAACCGCAATATCTCTGATTGTGCTCTTTCTTAACTTATACAGCGAAAAGTAGTGAACTTTTCACAAACGCACCTGGATAGATTGTGCAATTAATTGACATAATGATCTGTTGAAACAAACAAAGGACAGATAAAATTGTTGAAGTATCCAGATGGCAGGAATAGGTAGCCCAGATATTCAAACAGGCCGCCTATGAGGGCTCAGTTGGTCAGTTCATACACACTAATCAAATGGTGGTTATCGTGAATTTTAGTATCTTCGTGAATAATACTGGAATGCGGAAATACAGTTAACTAAATTCAGCAAATCTATGTTGATATTCTTTGTTGTTTTGCTTTTTCATCAACTAAAGCAATTACAATTTAAAGCATGTTTTTTTTATAGAATGCTAGACGGAATCTAGTATAATGAGTTCTGACCAGTGAAGAAAAAACGTTGAAATAATCTTTGACTTCGTATTCATCCTATATTGAAATTTATTAAAAATAGCTTATGATAGACACTAACTTGAAGATAATTGCGAGAGAAGTCTCAAATCAATTCAAATGATAGAATTATGAATATCATTTATTTAGGAGAATCAAAGAGCATTATAATCCGATTAATGTTGGCTCTAGTGGAGTATATTTTTAACCATGTGTATCGTTACTCGTTAAGGTGAAAGATATTCAGATTCATGGAACAGGAATCCTTCTAAGAAATTTCATCCCAATCTTGCTGCCTATCATCAATTAGCGTAACTTCACCCCAGAGAAAGCTCTTACTATATTGAAAATTTATGTATGTGTTAATTAACACCATAATCACATAGATTATCGTCACCTATCTCAGGCAACAACAACACTCTTCAAATGTAAGATGATAATCTAATGTTATTCTGAGCAAACATTTGTTGCTCCTTTTAATTAGGTAGAACTCTTTGTTATTCGCCTATAGTAGACTTATAATTGACGATACATTTCTTTATTTCTGCATGAATACTGCTTATTTTTATGATTTTATAGAAAGAAACTGATTGATTTTTCAGTCGATGTTGGTTTGTATTGGAAAAATCTCCGAGAAATCGGGCATCATCCTTACAAACGTATCTACATAAATAGGTTGGATTTCTGAACAGCGTATGGTTTTAAAACGTCATTTCAAAGGGAATTTACATATGTTTATCAATAATAAAGATTGATAATTAAATTGACTGACAAATTAATAGGCAGTAGAACTATTTACGTTAGATATGGCAACTTTCATCAAGATTTTTGTTTATTATCAACAATAAATTCTGAAATAAATATTAAATACCATGTAAGAATTATTTTACAGTAATAACAGTAGTTCTATAACTAATGAGTTTCACTGGATCTTCTAGTAACCTATCAATCGTTTTCATTTATACACATATATATTTGAAGGGGTTTTGTGAAGATTGTAGTAATTTCAATGATTAAGATCATGAGTCAGTTGAAGCCAGGTTTGTTGTGAGATAGTAACTCACTGAAGACAATTGTGGATGTGTCTCTCAATTTCGTGGATTAGTTAAAGATAGACATTAACACCGTTGGATGCCGGCTCAGTGGTCTAGTGCTCGCGCGTGAAACCAGTAGGTCCTGGGTTCGGATCTCGCAGGGGCGAGGTCGTGGGTGCGCACTGCTGAGGAGTTCCATAATATGACGAAACGGCCGTCCAGGTTTCCCATGGTGGTCTGGTTTCAACTGACTCATGATCTTAATCATTGACATACATATTTCATTGGTAAAAAAACTTTTAATCGATAGCTGTTATGGAACAACAAAAAATAGGGTCAGTTTATATTTACTGTTACATGAAATAGTTGACGAATGGTTTGAATTAAATAGAATTAATAGTGATTATCAGGTTGGTCTTCTGTGAGTGTGTGTTAGTTATACAATACGTTTTTAGGTCATCACTTATATGCAAGGTTTAGATCAATAGTTGTTTATAAGACAAATGTATTCACTCAATAGTTAGGGCATTAAGAGAAAACTATAAATGAATATCAAAATATGGCATTAAAAGAATGCCAAGACATTCTGAAATACATGTTCCTATATCTTTCAAACTGCCAAAAGTAGTTTAGCTATAACACATTTAATAGGAACAACACACTAATTTGGCTTTAATATAATCAAAATTTGTACAGTAGGCTAGTTATATGATTTAACAATAATCGTAGTTAGCTGCATTAAAAAAGACAAGAACTAATGTGCATGAAATACTTTAGTTCTAAATGTTTTTGTTTCCTGTAATTAATTAATAGTATAAATTCTAATTTGAACTCAAACGGTTTATATTCGAATTGAATTCATCTTGATCAACCTGTACTTCGAGTATTATTAAATAACTCGTTGACTAACCGATATGATATATTCCATGTATTTATAGTCTATGCACATTAAAGGGGGAACTATATTTTGTATGGTGTATTCATATAGAGTAGCTCGTATTTACGTTACAATATTGGTCAACATCTTGTCATGAACAATAATTTTATCATGGGAAATTTTTGTGATTACGTTTTAGAAGATGCTCTTAATAGATTTTTTTGACAAGATAACTGGGATTATTTTATACCATCTGAACACATAATTGTTCTAATGTTTAAAGATAGCATGACAAAGTAATTCATTACGTCAACTCAAATATTTAAACTAGTTGATTGAAGTTAGACATTAACACCGGTGGATGTCGGCTCAATAGTCAAAAGACTAAGGATTTCCACCTGAGACTAAATGTCCTGGGTTCGAGTCCTGCGTGCGGAATCGTGAACGCACACTTTTGAGGAGTCGCATACTAGGACGAAACGGTGGTCATCTGATTTTATTAGTGGTGTAACATTGATCGGTTCATGTCCTAAATTAAAAGATTGAATATTTGACTAACTCAACTTACTGTTCGAACAATTAAATACGCTTTTGAATAGTAAAATATGAATAAATATTTAATTAACTTTATATAAGCAAAGAAGGTATCCTTTAATGTAAGACCTAATTTCCTACTGTCATGTCAGCATACCATACTAAAACATTATAAAGCGGTATACTGATTAAAATTTTCATAGTTCAGACAACCGTAATAACAGAAAATCAACATAGTAAAGTAAATAAGAGAATATTTGTCGATACACAATAACTAGGCAGAAAGTAATTGGGCTAAAGATTTACGTATATGTAAACTATAGTTATTTTTATTTCGTAAAATCTTGAAGGCTAATACCAAACGGTAAATAGATTCAGACCGATAGACACCGAATGAGTAAGCTCTCTCAACGTTAATTCTGGTTATCCCGAGACTAATACCGATATACTTTTAATTGAGCTAGTCTTTCAAATGAAGCGCAATGGATCCATCACGTAATTTAGATTAGGTTAACAAAACTCTTGAAGTGATAACACCCAGTCTACATAACTTACTCAGTGGTTATGTCAGTCGTCATTATGCTTTACAGATAACCTTGATCCTCATGATTTGTGTTCTTCTAATAATTTTATCAGCTAATGGTTCATCAGGGCCAAAGTAACTCGATAGATATCATTAATAGTCAACTGATGTACCACCTATGTACTCACCCGTTCTAGATAAGGTATTTCTGTAAACTAGTCCATGAACACCATCTTACATACAACAGGATTCAGACTTATGTTAAACACTATTTGATTTTTCGCTCAAAAAGACAAATAATGTTTGCCTGATATCATTTTACTTACCATACTGAATTTGGATATCGAATCTTGAACCAATACAACCGTAATTTAAGTGAATAAAAAGAATGAGTGCAGTTTATCATCGTTTACCAATCATATGTATTCGTACAATTGTGATGAATAACTTTTACAGTGAATGAATAAAAACGACAAATTCACATCTTTCCAACACAAAATGGATACGACCTGAGGCCCAAATATTAACTATGATTTTCTATATGCCGAACGATTTGCAGTCAGTGAGAAGACGAAAGAGTAAATAAATGCTTCCATTGTATTTCCCATTTACGTCATGAAAACCGTTATTCTTTCCAATTATTAGACATTCTTGAGTAGAAGCGAATGTTATCAGTTTATCCCCTTAAAATTAAATACCCAAATAATAGTCGTATATCTGCCAACCGTGAACTTCGAGGTAAAATTTAACAATTTTCAAGGTTGACCAATAACAGACAGTGTTTAACTGAATGGAGGGAGGAATAACTATTACCGATAGCATCACGTGACAGGCATACTGTATCATGGATTGGCTGAAGTTGGAAATGTACATTACAAATTTCCAGCTAAATGATCTGAGGGTATCATGAACCACAAAATACCGAGGTTTGATCTTATGTAATTTAGTGAGCACTGGCGGAAAGTAGCAAGCTAAGAGTTAGTTGCTCTTCGGTTATTAATATTTTTTCCATCGAACGTATTAGAAATTAATTTGTTAAATTTGATAAGCTTTTTCAGCTGAAATACCAGTCACATTGTTGTATAAGATGTACATACTGTTGATGAATAGTCTCGATGAAAGGAACTAGTTACAAGAATGATCCAATGGATATAATTACAAGACTGTACATAATTTACATAGATGACTTTAGGTTGCTGAAAGCCCAATCTAATCACTAGCTAGCATTAGACATGAAAACTATTAGAAACTAGAATATACTAAAATTCAAAACTTTTCAGCATTAGACACCTACAATTCGTAAGTGAATTACACACTTCCAAATTTAACAATGACTATAATATAATTTAGCCAGTGAGCAAAACTTCATTAATTTCATGCGATTACTTCCCTTTATGAATTTTTGCTTTATTTAAAACGTCATTAGTTCGTTTAATACGCGATAGGTTGATAATCCATTTCAAATCAAATATTTTATTTTTATTTTGGAATTTAAGTTTTGTATTGGATTAAATGCTCTACGACTTATAAATGTCCTCTACAGTTGGTTACAATCTGCGGTGAAAACCATATTTACTTAGTTACACTTGTTACCCCTCACATAATGGAGCATAGGCCACCCAGTAGCATTCTCCATCCAACTCCGTCCTGGGTAATCCTGTCCAATTGCTATTCATTCTTTTCATATCTGCTTCTAATTCTCGACGCCGTGTATTCCTCGACCTTCCTCTTAACCGTTTCACTTCAGGATTCCAAGTTAGTGTTTGCCTCATGATGCATTTTGATGACTGCCGTAACGTATATCCTAACCACTTCCAGAGCCTTTTCATAATTTCCTCTTTCTTTTATTTGAATAGTACAAAGTATTTAATTCAATTTGAAATCGATTAGACAATCCTGTTGTTGACATTTTTGAAACATGCGTTCTGGAATCTACTGCTAGCCACACTCTATCTATTCTACAGTACAAAGTATTGTTAACATGAAGGTGTGTTGTGTAGTAGTGTTAATGAATCATTGTTAACAATTACGTAATTCAAATTCTATCACTACTTGTAATAGTGACAATAGATATATAATAATAATCCGTATTATTATCATTATTACTATTACAATACAAATGATGATGATGACAGAGGAATGTCAGCCTTTTTTGTCAAAAAGAATCTAATATCATTATTCATAATTGAATTAAGCTGTGTCAGTTTACTATACTACCATAACACCGCTTAACAATGATAATACTACCATTATTGTTAATAATAAATGTCAACACGAACCCCATATTAAATAACAGCCACTCGGTTGTAAGAAAAGATAAGACATAGAAAAGTAACAGTGATTTGTTCCGAAATGATTTATGAAAAGATATGCACAGTGCTTTTTACCCATTAAAAACGTGCTAAAAATATGTGTAATTTTTAAGACAAAAAAAGTTAAGGCACTTTGACCAAGCTAAATGAATAAAAAACAGTGCGAAGAAAATTCCATCTGGGTATGACTCTATAGAAGTAGTAATAATAATTTGATTTCCAGAAAAAAAGTGAGTAAAATAGTACACAAAAAAGTTACTGAATTTCATTAGGAAAAGATCAATATTAATGAAAGCATATGGTAAGTAAATTAATAACAAATTAGCTTATTTTTTCACTTTTTATTGATTCATGTCTCCCAGTCATCATCTGAGCCAATATCACCTGGTACAGAATTGGCATCAGATTCTTCTCCACTATCATTACTACACATTCGATTACGTCGCATTTCCATTGCTTGAGCAAGTGATTGTAATAAATCGAATCCTCCTCCACTGGCAGCTGGATTTGCGCCAGAACTACTATTACCACTATTGCTATTACTAGGTTTCAGAGGTGGCCTAGACACACCTTCACCAGGTGTAATCTAAAGTATAAAAAATAACAAATACAAATGATGAAATCATCTGTTTATACTAAACATCTATCACGAAAAAAAAGCAAAACACTAAAGACCATAAATCAATCTATTGGTAAATATTGCCTAATACAGTTTTCATGAAGGCAAATATTAATAAATGGATTAAAAATTCAGCGAAACAAAATCAAAATTCACTTTTATTTTATTTTATTATGCAGAATTCAAGTTGTTAGTACATAATCAATAATAGTTTGAAGTGAAGCTAACTAGTTGGATTTTTGTACACCATTTAATTGGTGTTTTCTTTCAACTAATATAAAGTGGGAATAATAAAAGGTGTACATTAAACGTAGAAACAGCATCAAGCATGTACACTGAAAACTACGTAAATACGTAGATATGCAACCATGGCTATAGTGTGGGACAAAACACAACCCTAAGCAATATTTCTTTTAATCATGTGTGGAGCTGGGAATTCAATCACAAAAAACAAATAGCTTCCATATATTAAAATACATATCCTTATCACTTGTACTTACTGTTTAACAAGCTAATATCTATAAATATCCAAGAAATCTTATTTTGAAAGAAATAAGAAACAAATATACTACTCTGTTACAGACGCTATTTAACTCTAGGGCCACATAAATCTCCTATCTGTGAAATCATCGGGTTCTACGTTGCATATGACCGACTAACTCTATTGATTCGGCAAAGAATATTGACGCCAAAGAGTACTTACTGCCATAATTTCCCAGAAAACTATCGTAAAGACAAAATAAAAAAATGTGAGCTTGTGTACCTTTGGATTTACGACGATGTAGTCTTCATGAGGTTGGTTTGGTGTTTATATTATATAGTTATATAATATACCCCTGTGGGCCAGAGCAATTTTACATCGGTTTTCAGGAAAACCAGACACCGTCCAGACTTTCACGTGACAACCCAAACAGTACAGCTCAACCCCGTTTAACAGGAGAGCCAGACACCGCCTAGACTTAAATTTTATAAACCGAGCAGTAAAGCTCAATCCCGCTTCACAAGGGAGCCAGAAACCGTATAGCCTTTAACGCTACAATCTGAATGGCACAGTTCAATGCTGTAGCGCAACCACACAGGTACCAAGCACCCTGGTGGACCATTCTCACCATTCATATACACATTCACATCACATGTATGGTTAGTCCGATCAATGATCCCGCGAATCAATTATGCACAGCACGAACAGACCAAAGTTAACCTATTCCGCTTACACGACAGTCAAACTCATTAATGTTAGCAATGGCGACATGCCTTACAATGTCCCAATGACAATGGCTCACGAGAACATTGAAAAGCAGCCACCAGTATGAATGAAATCGGTTAACCAGCAAACCAATTTTGTACATGAACAGTCAGCAAAACTTACCAAAGTAATGCCGGACCACCCACAATACCAATGGCGAACCTCCAGCCTCATATGAGACCTTCAGCTCTACATAGCCATATAGCTTATACTGCATACAACACATATGTAGGGTAGTAAGCTAAAGAGCCCAGCCTGAAAAGTTAGGGCTTAAATAACGCTTAAAACGCATTTTCTTGTGTCTGAATATTATGACTAGACCACCAAGATCATTTCTATAGCATCTGCGAAATTTCCATTTTTCCGACTTTTCAGACCCTGAAATATGAGCATACTACTGTACAGTAGTCCTGTCAGTATTCATTTCATGAATATAGAAGATGAATTCTGTAGATTTAACATAGTTGAATGTATTATAATTTTACTAATTTGACAGAGGCTATCTTTTCCCTCCTAACATATGTCAACTAAACAACCAAAGTAACTAGGAAACCTTTACGTCATAGTTACATTTACTCATCATAAAGATTTAAGATAAAATAAAAACTGAATTACAAGTGGATTGAATTTGTAAATTCCAAGTTTCATAATATAATAAACGGCTTCAAAATTCATATGATAATGTAATTTAATTTTATTACAACACCTAAATGATAAGATGAACAAATATTTATGAGAACTATTGCACTGAAATAGTTCACTTTAAAGTTTGAGCAATTAATCCAGAAACTGTTAATAAACAGAATTTGTGCTCAAGATTGAAGGTTATGGTATTTTTAAAATGTATTTCCGGAATTGCTAAGATAGAAATTTGCATTCCATGAAGCGTATTTGATGTAAAGTAGAATAGCAGCGGCAACAATGAAAATGTCTCCAATGGAAAGTATTGAGTGCATAAGATTAGAATGAAATTTGTATATCATCCCAGGACATAACAGCCGGTGAGGAAGTGTTGGACAGAACCTCGCCGAATCATGATATCCGTGTATTCCTAGTATGCGTTTGTATGAGAACCAGACAGTTGCGAAGCCACGGTAGGCCTCAGGATGTTAGAGGTAGTGAACTCATTTCTGTAACTTATCAAAGTACTTTTACAGACCACTTGGAATATCATTAAATACAAGTGAAACCTGGTTGACAACTAACTCTTATTCGTTAAAGAGAACTGGAACTCAAGGTTCTTATAACTTTAAAAAATATTCATTGACATAATCAAATTGAAATAGTAAGTGAATAAGTAAAAAAAGAAGAGTGAATCGCTAACATGAGAAGTAACGATATACAGAAACTCACCTTACGTAGGTTGCTTTTTTGAAAGGACATAATCTGTGACTGAAGGTCAACAGTAAGACCGGTCGTAGGCTTTGGAGGAGCATTTGATGTGCTTTCTTTCTCAGCCACAGCGGTGGGACATGCTGGAGGAGGTGGTGGAGGCGCAGCTACGGAACTCGAGAATATGGGTGGGGGAGGTGGTGGCGGTGGAGCAGGAATTTCATAGAGGGGAGGTGCAGGCAGAATAGGTGGTGGTGGTGCGATTGGCTTAGGAGCTACTTGTGGAACAGGTGGCGGGGGTGGGTGTTGTATTGTAACCGACTGAGAAGGTGTAACAGAACCAAGATTTTGTCGACGGGGTGCGGAAGGTGGTGGAGGTGGTGGTGGTGGTCTAGGAGGGGGAACATTAGTAGCTGGTGTGTTACGTTTTTCACTCTGAGAACCGTTCAGTTGTCGTTGTATCTAAAAATCAAAGACATATGTATGGTAGATTAGGCATAAGCTAAAACAAGTACACATGTCTAGTGATTGAAAAGGGTGCTATGAAATGTATACAAAAATTATTATGGAATATTTTCAGACCATATCACTGATAGACAGGATATTAATGGACTTAGCAACAATCACAATAAATTGTGCATAACTATAGTCATCATTTATCATAGATACAAAAGTATACGGCTAAGTAGCACCTAGCTAAATTGTTGGACAAATAGAATAGAATAAAGATATATGAAGTTTACTTAAGTTACAACCCACCACAACTAACTAACACAGTCAAAGATGAACCAAACTGAATGCAATATATATATAATTTTAGCTCCTTAAATAAGTTCAAAGCTTAAGTTAAGCTATATGTGCATCATCGGAAGACAATTTACTTGAACAATAATAATATTTAATTTGTTGCAATATATTCAGCTATCAATCATTTCTCTAGTTATTTTAAACCAACTGATATAGGAGTTGTATATCTCCAAAATTCGTAGGTAGTGTATTACCTCCAGACTATTTTGCTTGGCTGAATGCTGTAAAACTGATCTAAGATTTGAGGACGATGACATCGTTATTCCAGTCCCAGATAAATGCCCACAATCCATAGATATCCTCAGAAATCGGAAATCTGCTGCAATTAGTCATTAAGCGTAGTTTTCGGCGATTGGTTTACTTGAATTTAATTATCTTCTTGAATGTGAAGTCACCGTGAATGCTAACTTCTTTACTGTATTCCAGAGTTAGGATAACCGTTATAACAGAACGGATATTATAAAAGTTGGAAGTGGGTTTTCCGAATTATTATTTTGAATTTATGGGATATTTATTAAGCAGCCGAATTAACGCATTAACTATTGTTAAACAATTACCCATTTTAATATGTTGTCAAGTATGTTATTTACAGTCTCCACTTCCCTTAGCCAGTTTTGGATCGTTCAGTAATAATTGTTATTTTTCACTTTATAGTGCAATGTGGTCTGGTATGTCTGTATATAAACTACGTCTGTTTGAAATTCAATGTTAGTGAAGGCTGATTACCGACATCTGGACTGAAGGGCAGCGTAGAGAGGGAAGCTACAGGACTGTGGATCAACAAGGACACAGAGGTTGAATCATGGTTACTAGTCCTAGTTGGACGCAATAAATCAGAGATACTAGGTCACAGAAATCGGGATTCTGATTGGTGGTTTGTTACGCGTTAATAAACAGCGGACATAGGTCATGAGACAAATTTTTTATTCTGTAGTTTAGACTATTCATTGATATAAGTTCAGATACAACATTGACTTCATAGTCTTCATTGTTATGATACTGGATTTTGATAAAAGCTTTACTTATTCAGATAAACTTAAATTAGCTTTCCAGTTATCAATGGTATTTACTTAATCACTTGAAAATAGATCACGCTAAGACACTAGCACATAAGCTGGAGATAATCAATGAAAAACGTTTAAAAATTTATAATAAAGACGTATCTAGCATGATATAGGTAATATTTGGGTTTCATGATAAGTAAATTTATAGTTGGAGTTACTGAGTTTAAACATGGCAATTCTTAGATGTTAACTCTAGTCTAACGAAACTGATCACATAAAGAATCATGTAATGTATGTTCATGTAACGTTTCCTCATAATATTTTAGAGGAATTTATAAATAACCATAACTTAAGTGCAAAAAAACACTTGTTGATTATATGATTAAACTCAATACACTGTGCGAAGCGAATACTTTATTTTGATCATCAGTTACCTTAAATCATGGAAACGAAAATCTTGAATCGAGACAGTAGTTTATTTCCTCAATGTTTCAGACTATTAACATTATTGGCACAATTAAATGAGTCATATGTTCACTTACAATTTTTATTTATTTATTTATTTTAACACATAGGTATTGGTACAAGGAGGCACCAAATACATATGCGCCACACAGATCTCATTCGATATGTGTGAGGGCTGTGATACTGCCCAGGTGCCCATACCGAAGCAGGTGGCTTTCTTAGGGAGCCACACCCCCAGCCTTCGACCAGAACGTCTGATCCACAAGGCAGTGGAGCATCGTGAGGAGATGCAGTCCCATGGTAGCCAATAACCAACGATTGGTTCATATGCCATTTGTTCCTTCAGGATACTGAAGCCCATGTGCACCATTGGTTTGGGATCCGGTTAAAGCGCCGGACATTCGCTTTTCGTCCTCTCATTTTCGTAAACAACATCCCCGCCACGAGAAGGCAGTGAGTAGGACTTCCGTGACAGAGGCTATGTACGCATGGCCATGTAAGAGCATTTCGAGAGGGAGAGTGGACTCTCCCCACTCTCGGCCGTACCAAGGCATTTGGGGGCTCAGTGGTCTAGGAGTTAAGTATTAGTGTCAAAGGCCAAAAGGTCTCATGTTCGATTCCCACATGGTAGATCGTGAATGAGCACCTCACTTACACTTAACCTTTTCTGTATACTGTATGCTTAGTCGTCTTGTAATGATCAGTCAAGCAAATAGAAAATTAGTGATAATTATTATGGACAGTAAACACTTTTTTAATTACACAATTGTTTGGTGTTTCTGAATAAATGTTATCATAATATCAAAAAATGTAGGTATATGGAATCCTTAAGATGGAAGAGGTAAGAGAATAGAGGTTAATACAACCAGTTTAATCTCAGTAAAATAAAGCATATACACTCAAAATGTCCTGGTCAAATATGCAGTTTATGAAAATTTACATAAATGAACACGTTTTTTTCGATAAATCAGCAACTAATTTATGTTAATCATCTAATAATAACAATATGTATAATAAATAGATAAACAAAGAACGACGTAGAAATTGGACGAAACAGAATAGGTGCACAATAGACATAGTGAATAAGATAAAAAAGAATATAAATGGCTGGTGGAATTTACTAGAATAAAATATCTAAAATACATTAAAATAGTTTATATATGTAGACATGTAACCTATGAGTTTCTTACTAAAATTTTTTGACTTTTTATTAATCAATTAGTTAGATGAAGTAGAAACTGCCACAAATGCACATCAATCCAAGTTACCACATGATCAATTATCTTTTAATCTATTGCATTGTCTTAACTAATTAACACGTTGGCGCTGTTGATACGAACCATTTTGTAAGGAAATTTGTATGTAGGTAAACTGAATTTTATATGTGGAGTTTTATCAAGTGAAGCAAAGATTTACATAACAACAATTCAAACAACTGTAATTTAGGCTTGTGTATAAGGTGGGGGTAAAAGCAATGTTAAATTACGTCGAGTAAACTACGTTCTGAATATTAGTAATATCATTAAACTAAGATAAAGAGCCGCACGGAAAGTTATTAGTAATTATAATAGATCCTTAGTTTAGTTTGCCGATTATTCTAGTACCTACTTATCTAAAATTGAAAAATATAACACAGTGAATTGTATATAGACATTTCTATTTTTTATTGGACGATCGGTAACTCATTTACAAATGTGTGTACTCAGCTTTTATTTGTATATTTTATGTGAGGGTTACTGATGATACTCAGTTGTCTAAACGGTAGATAAGATGCAGTTAGAACCTCGAACTTATTGGTTGAAAATCAAGTTAAAAACATTAACCAGTCTGATCAATAAATAATTTGATGCAGTCTATACTACGTAAGTGTTTAAGTATTTGGTCTTTTCATAGTTATCCCTGTGGACTTTAAGTGTACAGATTTTAAAAGAAATAAACTCAAATCTAGTTAGCACTGGAGATAGGAGTGCTACTAATGGTACAAACAAAAAATGAGTACGTACATGATCTGAGAACAACGATAATAACCAATAAAATGTTCATATTCTTAGAACTAATCATCACAGATAGACATGAATTCATACCATGATATAAACACATACATCTATAGCTCCAGCGGTTTCTTATTGATTGTATTTCGTAAAGTTGAATGGTTGCAGTTGAGGATTTATTAATGATTCGTTTAATTGTCAAAACATTTATTCGATTTTCTACCATTGAGTTGTAAATTTGAAATTTGCTTCAGCTAATTCGGATTAAACAGCCATAAAACACTACGAAAGTTTACACTTACAGAGAACGTGTGGTACAAAGCTGAGTGTATGAAAATGCACTTGATCGCCAGATTCTAATTATATATTATTACATAAATTCAAAAAACTACAGTCATCTTACAAAATAAGAATAAGATTTTAGTTACAATAATGTGATTCATTTGTACTTTTTTTCGGTGATTTAACACAATTCAATTATTTTAATCTTGTTGTCTATAAGACAAAATAAAAAATCAGTCATTTAACTATAAAATTTGATTTGAACAAGTTCGTAAAGTCATATGAACATACCACTTACATGAATTAGTATTCAGTGCAAATCAATATGTAAAGATGTTGATCACTACTGTAATATTCTATGCAGTAACAAAAAGGTGTAATCGTTTTTTTCAGGAGGTGGAGATAACAAATTTTCAAAAATTATCAGGTAACGAGAATAATAGAAAATTGAGTCATCCTACAGTGGGACAGATGTAATACATATATTTAATATTTTCGACAGGATTCTTTCTTGATAAACTTCTAGACCGTTAACCCGACATAAATAGGATCCTATAAAAACACGGTACTTTTAACCCGGATCGATAAATCTCAGAAATGATGTACACACAACACTATTAATATATAACATTATTATTTACCTCTTCCAAACCACCATGTTCGCGGGCGAAATTGTAAACAAACGTTCGTTCGCTTGGTATATTCATAGCATCTTCACGTCCAATAGCACGCAGTATGTTACGCATGATTGCGCTTTCTTGTGAAGATATATCAAATGTCTTGGCTTCTCTGTCATAACCAACATGTTCAATATGACGAAAATTTGAGGGATTACTGATATCTTTTGATGTAAGCTTCTGCTATATAAAAATATATACATGTATATGAATGAGAACTATAATAATAACAATTACTAATCAAGCGAAAATAAGCAATTGTACATTGAATATTCCTCAAGTCGTTTTAAAGAATTTATAAGCAAACGAATAAATAAAAAATAATGATCAATCATTCCACATCCCCTAGAAACTTATATATCAGTAAGGTTGAGCGTTTAGCTTTGATTTACTGAGCTGAATTGAAGACAGAGAACAATGGTAAAAATGTTTGGTGTTTAAGACAATACATAAAGAGCTTGAGCTTTAACAGATAAACTGACAATCACTAGTAAATGCCTGTACAAAACAACGTTCAATAGAAGTAATAATAATAATAATAATAATAATAATAATAATAATAATAATAATAAAAGCATTCCGAATTAAATCCAATCAACAACAGAAGAGAACAATCTCCAAAACCAATACAGATCCAATTGAACCACAGCTCATGTTGAAAATAATTATTATGAAGAACAATAGGTTTCAATAGAGTTCACTTGTCAATCAAGCCTATTAAACAGTTGACAAATTAAAATGTACCAGAAAAATAAATGAAAGACGCGGTAGACGCCCAACGTCGAAACCAACGGGCTGGATTCCACAAGGATCGGTCGTGTACATATCAAATTGCGACACTACGGATCATCGTCGAGCAATAAATTAAATGCAACTCGTCACTATATATCAACTTAATCAACTTTGAGAAGGCGTTTGACAGTGTGGACAGGAGAACACTATGGAAACTTCTTCGACACTACGGAGTTCCTGAGAAGATCGTCGACATTTTCCGGAACTCACGCGACGGACTACAGTGCAAAGTCGTGTATAGAGGACAACTCACAGATGCATCCCAAGTAGGGACCGGAGTCAGACAAGGCTGCCTACTCTACCCCTTCCTCTTTCTCCCGGTGGTTGACTGAATTATGAAGACCTCGAAATCTAAGGGAAAGCACGGAATACAATAGACAGATCAGAATCAATTAGACGATTCGGACTTCCCAGATGACCTAGACCTCCTATCCCGTACACACAAACAAATGCAGATGAAGACAACTAATGCAGCAGCAGCCTCTGTATCAATAGGCCTCAACATACACAAAGGAAAAGGCGAGATCCTCAAATACAACATGGAGAACATCAACTCAATCACACTTGATGGAGAGACGTTGGCAGATTTAGGAACCTTCATGTAACCTGGGTAGTATCATCGATGGACAAGGAGGATCCGATGCAGGTGCAAAGGTGAGGATTGGCGAAGCAAGGGCCGCATTCCTATAATTGTCAACACCAAAGTCAGAATATTCAATACAAGTGTCGAGACAGTCCTAGTGTACGGAGTTGAAAATTGGAGAACTACAAACATCATCAAAAAGGTACATATATTTATAAAAAATTGTCTACATAAGATACTGAATGTCCGTTGGATGGATTCCATCAGCGACAGCCTATTTTGGGAGAAAACAAACCGGTTTCCAACTGAAGAGGAAACTAGGAAAAGACGTTGGAAGTGGATAGGAAATACATTGAGGAAATCATCAAACTACATCACGAGGTAAGCCCTAATTTGAAATCCTGAAGGGAAGTGGAAATGAGGAGGACCAAGAAGCATATTGCTACACGAAGCCCTATATATATATATATATATATATATATATATATATATATATATATATATATATATATATATATATATATATATATATATATATATATAATTATTAATTTAGTATTCCAACCAATAAAACTACACCTACTATTTTTACTTTTACTTTGAACTTTCTTCCATACTTACATACTCTTTTTAACCCTCGTGGAGGAGCATAGGTAGCCCAACAGCATTCGCCACCGGTCTCTTTCCGGGACAATACTTTCCAGTTTCAGATCGCTATTCATCCTTTCGATGTCTGCTTACAATTCATGGAGCTGATCTATTCAAGGTTTCCTCAAAACAATTATTTTTATCAAGATTTACTGTTTCAATCAATCCTCTCATATACGCTTTTTTTATGCCAACAGAGCTAATTGATGATTGATTATTATCAAATTAAGCATTGAAATACTGATTTGAGTGAATAACTGATTTCTTGAAAAGAGTACCAAGCTGTTCTATAACTAATTATGTCAGATGATTGAATTTTTTATTATCGCTATTATTTTAATTGTTCTATGCTATAAGTGATTCACTAGAGTACAATAATTACCTATCAAAATTTCGATTGACATTCCTCTTAAGAATATGACTTTTCTTACATACACAAACGTATATATGCAAAGAACTGCTTGTGCTATATAAATAAAGTATATATTCTTTTTTAGTCATAGAAATGTTCTTTTCATAAAAATCAAGATATACCCCAAGCAATAAAATTAATCAAATAATAATTCTAAGAATGCGATGACTCAGTAATTTAAGAAGCAATCAAATAGTCAATTATTAGTGTAATACCATGTTATAGGTTATCGTTTAACTGATTTACTGAGATTATTGTCATAATTTTAGTTTTAAGCGAATCTACTCAAACCTATGCATAAATTGAAGACATTCAAGCTTAATGAAATCACAAATGAGAATATGCCTCTATACAGAAAAAATTTATAAGGAATAAACAAAAATACATCAATGTGAGTGAGTCATTCTGGTGAATTAGAACTTCAAAATCCCTATTTCCTATATTTACTTTTATTTAAGCACATGAACATTAGTACAGACGGGTACCAAAATGCGTATGTACCATACTTCATTCGATTTGTGTGAAGGGTGAGATACTACCTAGTCGCCCAAACCGAAGCAGGAGGTTTTCTTACGGGGCCACATCTGCAATCTTTGACCTAGAAGTCTAATACAGAAGACAGTGGAGCAACGTAATGAGATGCAATCCCGTATCAGCCGGTAACCAACAATGGGTTCATACGCCATTCGTTTCCTTAGGATCCTGGAGCCCATGCGCATCATTGGTTGGAAAACAGGGTTTCCCAACTCCTCCACCAACCCAGTTAGGACACCAGACATTCGATTTTCGTACTCTCGATTTCGTAAACAACACCCCCGCCACGGGAAAGTAGTGAGTCGGACTTTTCTGATAGTGGTTGTATACGCGCGACCATGTGAGAGTATTTCGAGATGGAGAGCGGACTCTCCCCAGCCTCGACCGTACCAGGGCACTTGATACTATTCATATATAAGTATCAATTTGAGCGAAATTCAATTCAACTTCTAACTAAATTAGAAAAATTTATATGCGTTGGATTTTTCATAATTACATATGATCTATGATGTGATAGAAAAAAATAAGTTTTATGACTAATATTCTAATTTTTACAAATTTTCAGCTTTGGGTTGCTTAGCTAAAACTAAGACTTAAAAGTTGTAAGGACAGCATATTGTAAAAGTGAACTGCCACGGCATATTGAACTTGAAATGAGTGTATGTTCTAGGAATTATAAGTTGTTAAATCAAATACACTTTTATACTGAGTACTACACAGATCCAACTAGTAGTTCAACCTAATTAACTGTGGTTCACTGATTAAAATAGACAACCTTATATTACAGAATCGTGGCTCAACTGACCTTACTTTCATTTAAACAATTAAGTAATATATTTAACTTGCATCTAAAAAAGAAATACGATCCTAATCAACTTGAATACAAACATCACTATTTAGTAGTTCGACCGTATCGAAATAAAACAACCATCTAATGAAAGATAAGTGAATACCGACAAAATTTGCACACAATTTCAGACTGACATTTTTCATGTATGAATGATTGTCAACACAGATCGACAAGTTGGAGGTATTTTAGAAATGAATGCTTCAATAAATCCTACACAGAAATTTGGCTTAAAAACTGAAAGTAAATAACAGAATTACCTATAAATTTCAAAATGGAAAAAAACTACAGCAACTAATGAAAACTCACGTTATCTTTTGAAAGTATATTAGAATGTTTGATTATTTTAAAGCCAATAAGTAAAATAAAACTAACCATATATTGATTGCTGAGAGTTGATGGTCTATCTACATGAACTATATTCAGTTAAGTGTGAGAGAAAAATTATGGGCAGGCTATAAAGTTAGATATTCATGATTCGACAAAGTACATCAGAATCTCAAAAGGAAGCCATAACTAACAAATGACTCAATGAATTTGTCAATGAAAAGTGAAATTTAACTAATATTCTGATAGAGCTCACTCTGAAACCTAAAGTAAATTGAAAATTCGATACACCCGACTAAACTATATAAGTTGCACAATTGAGGACAGATTTAATTTAATGATAACAGAAAGTATAGAGTTGATAAACCCAATTAACTAATGATCAGTAATATATGGTATAAAGATTTGATGAACTAAAGTATCTGAACACACACGAAGCATACAACTGTTATCTGATTGTACACATTGATGGGACTGATTAGTAACTATCTTACCTGTGACTATCTATCAAGCATAACTGGGAAATACAAATGTTTCTTCTCAACACAAACTTGGCGACAATGTTGGCTTAAAAAATATTCAAGTGCACTTACGTCTAAAAGATGGTCCAATAAACCATGTTAACAACTTGGATGGGAATGAAAGTAAAAATGTCAAAAATATTCTAAAAGTATTTTACATTTACGGCGATTATGTACTAGATCAGACTGTATAAGTTTGATAGCTAGATATAAAACAATAGTGTAATGCGGACAGACATAAGTAGTATGCAGCAAGAATCGGAAGTGAAATGCTTACCAGTAGAAGATTGAGATTAAGAAAATAGGAAGGAAAACAGAGAGCAATCAGAATAACAACAGGATCTGAAGAATGATGTAGCATGTAAAGGATAACCTAAGGAAGATTTTCAAATAATGCATTTGATGTATGGTTTTTCATATTTTACAAAGGCAGTGTTTGATTTTGCATAAAACAATAAATTGGTTTATCGTACCTGAGTTTTTGTTCACTACAATAGGACTTGGATAATTTAGTATTTTTCTTTAAAAAAGAATAGTTGCAATATTATTAAACTTAATTAAGTTTAATACGTTAGTACATTTTACAAAACAAATAAGTATGGTTGCATATAATTGCCAGTAAATTAATAAAACTAAGAAATACATAGATTGCATAAATAGTTATTAAAGTTGATAAGATACACTAGTCATTGTTATATTATAATGTCTCATTAAAAAAAGACTAATTATAGAAACAGTCCTTTTTTAGTGAACAAAAACATAGGTGGGGAAAACTAAGTGTATTTTAACACAAAATTAGAGAGTTATTTGATAAAATGTGAAAACCACACATTCAATCCTTCACTTGGAAAATGTCCATTAATTATATCAGACTTTCTTGTTCCTTCATTTTCATATCAATTACTCTCTGTCCCATTTCTGTTCTATTCGATCTTCCCAACCTTCTTCTCCCAAGCTTTTCACTTTTGATTGGTGTTACATACTACTTATGTCTGTCGGCATAGGTAACATACACCACACTTTATCTTTTTTAATTACCAATCATCATAAAAATAACTTCTATTCACAGAAATTCAATTAAAATTCGGATTTAATTTATAATGATTTAAAATAATACAGATTCATGTTAAAACGTTTTTAACAAATGTGAATCGATGGTTTAAGACAACTGACTTTCAACTATTGTGTAGTGGATTGAAGCTAAGTTATATGTAGTATTATTTTGTATAATTCGATAATATATCTAGTACTTGGAAGAATAAATATAATTCAAAAATCTGTACATCGACGTTAAATCAAAATCTCCGCACAAAATTCAATTTCAAATTGGGTTTATTTTTACAAATGACTGAGTTTCTCATGTGACTAAGATAATAACAAATGTAAAAAAAATATTACTAAAACGAGAATGAATTACTCCGCTGGTAATGATACTCAACAATGAGACGGTAATAATCGTGATATTGTAAACAACTACTATTAAATGTTTATCTTGGTACGAATTTCGATTCTTTCAATTCTGTTATTATCCCAATTGTTTTCTCCTTCCCTTCATGTTCTCTTCAATTCAATCTTCTGCTGACAGGCATTCCACTCCCGATTAATGCCACAAACTACTTACACCTGTTGGCATAAACAGTATACACCACATTCTGTCACTTCTAGGATTCGAACCTCGGTTAGTGCAGTATACACCACAATACAACTAAGTGCTCATTATCTTTCCCAGGGATAATATATTCACTGAATTCATTTAGGTATGGTGTCACGACTAAAGTTAAAAGCAAACAGTAAACACTTAACTGATAAAGCGAGTTCGCGTACTCGAAGTCAATCTAGCGGAGTTGATAAACTATTGGTACATAAAGATCACAGAAGACTACATAAACAGACTGGATATGAATACAATTTGATCACCCGTTATAGTGAGAGTTTATATGCTGATGTTGACCGACTGCCAAGTGGATAAGACCTGTGAAGATTGATAGAGTTCCTACGAGTAAACCATCTGTGTTGGTTGTGCGCTCAGGGAACGTTATATTTCTCTGACATATCGAAGAGAATATCGACAAATTAATGACTCTGGAACTGTTTTACCGATTAATAATACATATTCTTCATTGTATAATTATTAAATATCTGGATTATTACATTACTAAATTCCCTTTATTTTACGCTTAAGTTGAATTTATTGACTATTAAGATAAGTGTGACCATTCCACAATTTCGATAATGCAATGAGAAGACGAAGGTTATCTGAATTGTGATATATTTTCGCAATACATTACGAACAATACATCCTCCATTGTATTGTCCGTTCATGAAAAGAAGGCACGTTCTCTGGGTTTCAATTTTTCTATCCCTACAACAGAAATCTCTGAATTGACAATCAGTGCCCACATAATTCTGATAGCCTTCGCTTTCTCATTGCATTATCGAAATTTATCAAAGAGACCAATTGTTTTAAATTTTACATTCCTCAAATATTGATTATTAAATATTCACCTTTCGCCCCATTCCCTATCACCTATGGCTTGATTGGGTACAAAGTACGACTCCTTATTTGGTGTGTTGAGATCTGATATATATAATCCTTAACAAAGGAATTCAAGTCAGTAGTAAAATTAAGGTGTCTTCATCTGCTAATGTTGAAAATAAAGAGCCAAGTAAAAAATTTTGAAGTTGTCTGTTAATGTTCAATAACAACTTTACTTTAATAAATGCGTATGAATACTATTTTTTATGGTTAAATTAGCTACAGCAGGTGACTACTCAACAGAGTATATACTATAAGTAAGTGAATGAAGTAAAATTCACACAAAAAATTTCAACGAGAATTACGAAACTTCCTAGCTATGAAGATAGGAGGATGAAAATAAAACATGTTATAACGAAAGTCATCCAGCAATTAAGTACAAACACAAATTAATTGCTGACAAAAGTATTAAATATTTGACATAACAATCGTTATCTTCACCTGAAGTATTTGAATATTCAAAAGCTATTTAAGAATAATATTAGGAGTTAGTCCGCAGCATGGAAACAAAAAAACAAGCCATAGAAATACAGGATAATAACAGGGACATAAAATGAATGTTGAATCATACAATATGTGAACTCACCGAGTTACTTTCAAGAGAAAATAGGTTGGTTAGTATCTAAAATTTATTGGCAGAGTACAACGCAAATATCAAAAGTGAAAACACATCCGAGTAAGATATGTAAATACGAGTTACAATGGTCAATAAAGCTTTTCCTGAAAATATATATGATATTCAAGTTAATTAGACTGATTCATCACAAACACACCGTTTAAAAAATTCAGGGAGTCAAAAGAGTTAATTAATCAACTATAAAAATGCCTAATCAATACTACTGTCATTACTACTAGTAACCAATTCAGTGTGATTCGGCACCGAACATGATTAAAAGAGAACATAAACATAAAAATAATATATATGTAATACCTCAGTGGGCAGAAAGACTAAATTTTTCGACGTTTTGTGACTCAGTGTAAGCCACTTCTTCAGAGACCAAATAAACAAATTAAATTAACCCAAGTTTCAATAGTAGTTAGATTATGTTAGGTTAATGATAAGTACTTTATTGATAGAAGTCAAAAATCCAATTTCCATTTAAAAATGCACCAAAAACTAGCTTGTCGCAAATTTGTAGAACCTACCCCTAAATTGAATACAGAACGAGTTAAATGACAAATGCTAGCAAACAACTAATCCGAAAAGTCTAAAATTTGGTAACAAACACATGTAGATCAACTATACACATAAACAGCATACCTTTTTTCCTTTAGTTTTTGTTTTGCCCCGTATAGACGTAACTCCTTGATCAGACAATTTTGTCGGATTCAAACTATAGATACCAGCTTGCACGATTGGTTGAGAACCAACAGTATGTAGATTCGATGAAGGCTTCTCGATAGCAGCTGCACGCATAGATCTTAAACGACCATTTACTGCATGTGCAAAATGTTTAGCCTCCTCAAGAGATGCGAAAGCAAGTCCAACTGGCCCATCATCTGACTGCAATACGTGAAAGCATTTTAATTCCTCAGTATAATCCATTTCCAAAAATAATCTTTGCTCTAAGAGAGGAATTTTCCTCTATAAATATAGTTTGTATTGGAAACGAACGAGAGTTGACTTACAATCACATCATATATTCTGATGAAATAATCCTTATAATTTTTGTCCTTGATACAACATACAACGCCACAACCTTTAAGCACCCAATTCAATTCATTTTCACCTTTGAAATAGCGTACCACAGCGGAAGCTAATGAATCGCAACCAGCTCCAAACAATGAGTATAATACAGAGTTCTCCTCGTTAGTTAGTAGAACCGAAGTTCCACCTACTGGAGCGGACTATCAAAGGTCAAAAGCAAACGTGTAGAATCAGAAAACGCGAAAACTGTATCTGAGTACGCGTTTTAAAGGGGAGTAAAATGAGAAGGTCCCAGCCAAATAAAGAAATAAACAGGTTATGGTTCATAACAATACTTCCACATGTAAAGCATCAGAAAAATGATTCTACAGTACAGTTTTGTTTCGTTAAAATCCATGATGACAGTACACTACGAACGACCAAGATTCAGTCAGTCAGTAACAACGTGGAACTTCGTGCGTACGTACATCAGTTCGAGTTGCCATACCACATTAGCACACAGCTTCAATTATCGATTCAAATCCCGTAGTGATAGGGAACATTAGGGTTTGATGATGTTATTTAAGGAGTATAGTCCAGTGGAATAGATTCGGAAAGAAAATAAAGGACATGAAGAATACAGAAGATTAGAGTTTGAGAGAACACAAAGAGTGGATGCACCTGCGCCATTGCAAACGATTTTGAGCCATATCATTCAAGGTCTCTAACCATCGGTTACTATCATCTTGCGGTCCCCAACCAAGTAGACTACACCTACCAACATGGCTCAGTCCACTTGTCAGTGACTTCATGGATTTGTGCCATGTTTTGGTCTGGCCGCCCCTAGCTTTCTTCCAACCTACTCCTACACCATAAAACATCGCGCGTCGAGGCAGTCGGTGGTCGGGCATGCGCAACACATGTTCCAGCCATCTCAACTGATTAAGTTTCACTACTTCATCAATTGATTTGCCATCCTTACCTAGTACCCGTTTCCTAACAACTGCACTACTTACTCGGTGGTCCCAGGGTATACGAGCAATGTTTCGAAGACACCTATGATCAAATACTAGTAACCTACGAATATCCTTTACTCTTACTGGCCATGTTTCACTGCCATAAAGTAGGACGGAACGAACTGCTGCGCAGTAAACACGTCCTTTGGTTGATAGACGGATATCTCGCCTACGCCACAAATGACGCAAGTTAGCAAAAGCTAGTCGAGCCTTCTGTATCCGTGCTGAGATTTCGTCACACACCGAACCACAAGGGCTGATGAGACTTCCCAGATAAGTGAAGTGGTCGACACGCTCAACTACTTCACTCCCTATCACTAGTTCGGGTGTCGACGCAACCCAATCCTGAAGCAACATTTTGCATTTCGAGGGAGAAAATCGCATGCCGAACATGCTTGTATTGTTGCTTAGAGTGGTCAGTAGACTCTGCATTTTGTCAGCGTCTTCACCAAATAGAACTATGTCATCGGCATACTCTAAGTCAACAAGTGAATCTCCCGGTAGAAGTTCAACTCCTAGAAATTTAGATGAGGAAAGTGTCATCTCTAAAAACACGTCAACAACAAAGTTAAACAAGAATGGAGAGAGTGGACAGCCCTGACGAACACCACTTGATGTAATCAGTTCTGATGACAGTTCGCCATAAGCTCTCACTCGACCAGTTGTGTTCGAGTAGAGAGCCTTTATAAGGTTAATGTACTTCTTTGATACTCCTTTCAGTGACAAACACTGCCATAGAACCTCACGATCAACAGAGTCAAGTGCCACCTTAAGGTCGAGAAATACTACCATTGTGGGGCATCGGAATGTGTCTATGTTCTAGGACCTGACGTAGTGTGAATATCTGGTCTATACAACCACGTCCAGGTCGAAAACCAGCCTGGTTTTCTCTAGTCTGCTCTTCACGACATTTGGTTAGACGTCGAAGTATTATTGAAGCTAATATTTTAGACACTATATTAGTCAAACTAATTCCTCTGTGATTGTCACAAGAAGACTTTTGGCCTTTCTTATAGACTGGCACAATCAGTGATTGAGACCAGTCAGATGGGATTACGTCCAGTTCCCAGAATCTACCTAAGACTTCAGTCAATCTCACTGCTAATACGGGACCGCCACCAGAGCATGATCTGAGTCTAAGCATGTGTTCCAGAATGAGCGAAAGTCTTCTATTGAGCCGCTCCATCGGTGGCTGATAGCGATGTGATCTATTTGGGTCCAGCGTTGGGACGAATTAGGAGGTCGCCATGTCAAAAGATGTTTTTCCTTATGCTTAAAGTTAGTGTTTGCAAAAAACAGGCGGTTATCTGAGCATAGCTGCAACAGACGGTCGCCATTATCTGTTCTTTGAGCCGTGACACCACAAGATCCACCCACGTGTCTTTCCCTTTCGCTTAGTTTACCTAATTGAGCATTAAAGTCACCAGCCACTATTACTACATCTGAACGCCTAGCTTTTCGGAGAAGGTCGGAAAGCTTTCTGTAAAACTCATCTTTTACATCATCTGAGCTACAGTCAGTGGGAGAGTAGGCAGAGACGACGAACCAGCAACGACGAGTGTCCCTATCTTTCCGAGTCCTTACTGTTCCGTTTAGTCGGACAGCGCACAAACGACTGTCTACTGGGATCCAGTCTAAGAGAGCTAGTTCTGCCCTAGAACTCAATGCTATACCTACGCCAGCGAGGCCACGGGAAGCAGCATCAGGGCTTCCAGATACACGAAGCGTAAATCGAGTTGGTTCGTTACTTTGACATAGTGCGGTCAAATGAATGACACTACTAGGATCCTGTGTGCGCGTTTCGGAGACGCAGCACACATCGATGGAGCGAGATTCTAAAGTCTTAGCTAAGGAAGCCTGTTGTCCTATTTGGCACAGTGTTCAGACGTTGAAAGCTCCTACATGTAGTTTAGAGCGTGGTTTCAGGAGACCAGGAATAACATTCCGTGTACTCGGATCGTTCGCACTAGCGGGGCGAGGTGATAAAGGGACGTGAGAAGGGTTGGTCGTGGAGATAAGAGAGTTATTAGGAGGTGTAGGAAGGATTTGAATGTGACCAACTTGGTCTCGTGTGCTGTTACGGGTTGCCCACACAGTGGAAGGGACGACCAAGATTACTGTTAACTTGATACGGATCGGATTAAGAAATATTCCGTGCAGGATTGTGTTTGCGTATTTTGATTAGCCATTTCTTAGTCAATCAGTCCAAACGGATACTTAGAGATGACTCTAGAATCCTCTTGTGTAAAATCTAGTTATACAAAAGTTTCTCTTATAATTCCTACTTCCATTCAACCTTGTTTATTTCGGATATAATTACGTTCCTGTTCAGCTAGGTCGTAATAAGAGATAATAAAAATCACCCAAGGTAACTTCCGGATCGAGGACGCTTCTTTAGTCCGTTTGATACATCTTAGGGACATGGGACTATGAGACCGATGCACAACTGCATATAGTGATTTTAAGTGTACGAAGTCCTTACTCCTCAGATAACAAATTTGATAAGAGTTGTTAAGTGCCTAAAATGAGATTAAAATGGATGCCGCTAAATATGAGCTGAAGTAATCAGGAAACACCAGTGTTAATCACTCACTTCCAGAAAAGAAACCATGTGTGAGGTTAGTGTTTACACATAAGTTGCTTATACCAGTAATTTGGCAAATGAGTTAAAACAGAATACAACATAATGATCTACAATTTTAAACCTTTCAAAACATCCAAGACTTTTTACAATCAAAATTTGGTAGTTTGTCAATATAACGCCTCACTTTTCTACAAAAAATCCACAATAAACATAGTATTTTAGAAGTCTACTCTATTTTATGACTGAGTGCACATAGTAAGCACAAATCTTTACTGACATGACGGAGAGTAGTGAAATTCAACCTGTAAATAGATGTCGTTTTCACAACATTTACGCAAAAATAAGAGATAATTGACAAAAACATCAGACAAGGATGTATAACTAGGAACACATGTTAGAATTATATTAGGATAAGCAATGAAAACTCCAGCAAATCAAGTTAGGGTTTGAGACGAAATGAACAACCAATAACCTCTGTTATAATAAGTCTGAGAAGCAGTAAATTCATGAACACAGGTTTTATAGTAATGATAGTTCACAAACAGATAAAGTACAACAAGCGTAAAGTTTAGAAATTACATAAATATTCACGCTTGAATAAACCATCGCCAGACTGATACTGTTGAATTTGCAAGTAATACGACGGAAATATTTACTGAATACACCCTGTGTCACATTCAATAAATATTGAGATTGTGGAAAAGATTTGTACCTCAGGTGGATGATTTTGATGGAGTTTTGTTTTCTCAGCTGAGTGGTTTGGTGGTGGAGCTTCTATCTGAAGTTTATGCTGATGACGTCGTTCAGAAGAACGATGAAAGCTGCACGACCAAACCATCCAGCTCAGAGAACAAAACTCCATCAAAATAAACAAATATTAAAGTTATGAGAGTCATCAATCAACTTCGCATATTCTGTGGCACATTTTATAGTCTACAAATCGCAAGTTGTCAAAGCTTTACCTACTAGTGGTTTCTGATCAGTGTGACTTGCTACTACACCCAGTGACTTATTTATATTCAAGCCAATTTAAATCCCCAGGAATATAAAAACAAAAAAATCTGAGGTTTTTGGTGGCATATCAGATAGATTTTGTGCATTGATAGAGAAGTAGTAACTCAGTAGTGTACGATGTAAACGTACTCGCTTATGTTTAGTACATACTCAAAAAAACTTGAAAATTGACCTGTGGTAAAAATATTGGCCATTGGAAACTAACAAATAAACACTAGGTACTTAGTCAACACAACAGTACAGTACGAAGAAAACCAAATCAGTGAAATTGCAGTATACACAATAAAATGTCAGTGTTGAGTTCTGATAGGTTTTCTAATTCGAAACACTCTATTTAAGTATTGTCTAAACAAAACAATCTTAGAACAATTTATGACAGAGTAGAGACCGTCAGAGTGTGACAGTATCCTTGCTCGAATATAGAAAAACATGGGACCAGTGAAATTACTGCCAATACATCCTCAAGCCATCTAGAATTTCAGGTTTATCCTTTGCCCATGAAACGAAGGAAGAGCGAACTGTCATGGTGCTAAGCTGGAACTGTTGTGGCCATTAAACCGTGATTAAAAAAACGTAATACTACACTGAGGGACTGGGAAACAAGCATTTGCATGTTGGCTTAAAACTTTCCAGTCTGAGAGTACTAACAATCAATTAGCACCATGCTAAACACAAACCACAGAGAAAGCTTACAAACTCTAGGTGAGACCAGCATTGTTTACATCAAGAATGATAATCGGAGCATCAGAGGACCAGAATAGTATAAGTGAACTCATCTATAATTTCACCTAAATCTTAAATTACCTGTGCTGAAACCCCGCCAGATACAACCAAAGCAACGAGGATCCAAACTTTTTAAACTAGTAAATCATTAGAACTAGCAATTAATACAGACAGTATAAAGTAAAGTATATCCTACAAAGACATAAAAAAAAAGAGCTTACTGTGCGCATTTCTTTGAAAGCGCGCTTTCCCTTGTCGTAGCGCTAACACTTGTACTTCACCTGTTGAGTAAATTCCACACGTTAACATACTGTACCCTGCATCGGTTAAATTCAATAAAGAGTCCACGAAAAATGAAGAATGTCTAAATAAGTCGGTCTAAAGATATCTAAAACCACTTACAACCAATGTGTTCGCGACAAGCTGAAGTCCACCGTTTGATAATTTTGCGATCATCCTTTAGTGTTAAGGCACTTTTCCGGCTCTCTGGTAAGTATTCAAGCCTCTCTTTTGGCTGATGCTGATCATCCTGATCTCCAAATTGATTCAGACCAGTCAGATAATTTTGATGTCGTGTGCCAATAATTAGTTCCAGAAAGAGTTTACTAGTCCATATCAGTCACGGTAGTGACCATCAACACACCTATAATGGAAAAACACTTCCATATTTGCAAAAACAAAAATGCGATGGAATAACTGTAATTCAAAACCTGAAAACATCCGACCACAGAAGATTAGTAGCAGTTAACATATTTCGTGTTTTATGGCACTTTTAAAGAGGCTTTGATGATTTGACGATGGTGTAAATCGGACTTCATATCTCAACTATGTGAGACCACTAAAACAACTCTGCAGCCATGTATTCAGTTTATGCCTCAATAACGATGTAGAAAACGTGAGCATGTTGGACCAGTGATTACGAAATTAGAGACGTCTTTAAATCATCTAACAAACGTCATCAGCATTTAAAGCTCTAATGGTCTCTAGAATTCGGCCGGTAGATGCAAATGGTTAGTCTATAGCGTTGTTTTGAAACGAGGCAAGTATCGCCCGCACCTGTTGTGGTAGTTCAGACAAGATCTGTCTAAATGAGCCTAAATCGAAGGTTCTTTGACAAATGACCTCAAGCATCTGTAAAAACGTGTCTGTTGCTTAGCCACGTTGTAGTTCGATATTGTTGAAAGGTTGATCTAACTGTTGTCTGTAGGTTAGATTCTCATGCTTAAGAATAGCCTTTATCGAGTTACGTAAAGTTCCGAGACATCGCTAGTAAACATGCCAGGTATGACATACCTGTTGAGATCATGAGGCAGTGTCTTCACTACTGCGAGGAAATGAGCACGTGGGTCTGTCATGACGTGCCGTGGGAGTCAGCTTCTGAGTTACAGAACCAAGCTTCAATGTTGTCGGGCAAAAACGTAATTAGCTGGAAGAGAGTAACGAAAGGGTATTGATCTTAAATAACTTAGGGGTCATGATGAATTTAAAATATATCAGTGAACAAGATAACATGTCCAAAAATTCTAAACAATATCAAAATATGTAAAAAAATAGACTAAAAAGTCAATATGAATTTCCATGGAGGAACAGACTCACGGTTTACGAATTGGTATGCAAGAATACGTCGAGCTCACCGCTAAAAGTGTCACAAGTATTCAGAGTTCGACAACGCCTTAATCAGTAACTCCTATAATCGAAATATGCCAATCCAGTGAAATCAAAAGTCAAAAGCGAAGAGATTTGTTTAAGCAACTAAGCGACATGCGTTCTAAAGTCGAGTCACTTTCTAGCTCTTTATCAAAGCATGTTGATCTTAAGCAAGAACTAAAGACACTATCACCCTTAAAACTGCTTTTGTCAAAAGACATTGTTCCTGCGAAACTTGATGACATCATAAAAGCAGAATGTTATCGATTTTATCGCTAGTGAAGTTACCAAGCGAATAGTCTCTCGTAATAACGTGATTGTCTATAATATACCTGACAAAGTCTCCATTAAAACTGTAAGGAATTCGATATTAAAAGCATCTAACCTCCAAGACAGTCCATGCCAATGCATCCGACTTACTAAGAAGCACCAGAAATACTCGTGCCCGGTCTTGTTCAGGTTTGATTCTCATATAATAGCTGAACAGTTAAAAGAATCTGAGCGGCTAGTATGCGCGCTTACAAAGTTTAGAAACGCTCGCATAGTCCCAGATAAGACCACCAATCAAAGACTTACGCAACATCGTACCCTGAACGAAAATAAAGTTGTTGAGATCATAAAAAATCACGATGCATCAGCTGCTGGATCCACTGATACTGATACTCTATCTCATGTTCTCCAGTACTCTGATCTGCCAAAGAAGAGTGCTAACTTACCTGTTATGCCTGTAGTGACATCTGATAACCAATGTACATCTACTGATTACACTAATCCGATAGTATCCAATTTACCATTAGAAGCCCATAAGCAAATACCTAGTCCTAATGCGACAGCTCTTAAAAACACTGTCAAGATCAAAAAGTCTATGCCACGTAAGAAAAATGTTTGTACAGAACCTTCTGGTTCTAGACCCAATAATAAAAGTATTACGATGGCCCTACTAAATACAAATAAGACTATACTTCCCGACACCATGCTTTACCCAACGCATCGTAGGGGAGGATATAAGTGCAGACCTGGTTCAAATGTCTCACAAGACGGCCACTTCAATCATTATGTAAGTAGGCCTAATACTGAACAGACCACAGTAAACCAGCGAGCCTCACGAGTACCCTCAAACGTTTTAAATGATAAACCTGTAGGACGTAACCCCTCTCAACACTTTCACATTAGGCAAGATGGATTACTAAAAAAAAAAAAAAAAAAAAAAAAAAAAAAAAAAAAAAAAAAAAAAAAAAAAAAAAAAAAAAAAAAAAAAAAAAAAAAAAAAAAAAAGGGTACTCACCATCAACCCAACCTTGTCTTAACTGTCCGCCTAGTCAAGTTCAACAAATTAATCCGCTTTATCAAAATAATGATTTTTTTGGCCTTCAGAAATCCCTGGTCCCACTAGCACTACAGTTTGCTCAAGCGATCGCCCATGTGATCAGTCAAACATAATAAACCACAGTCTATGCAAATCCAAAATACACGACATCAATAGGGAAGCTCTCGGTTTTTTTACACTCCATACGCCCTTTCTAAATCTATTACTTATCAATGCACGTTCACTTCTGAACAAAATTTCAGCCTTGAGAACGTTAGCCTTTCTATCCAAGCCTTCTTTCATACTTATCACTGAAACATGGTGCTCTCATGCAGTATCTGACTCAGAATTAAATATCCAAAACTATAGACTCTATCGCTGTGACAGAGAAACTAAGCGAGGAGGTGGTTGTATTATATATGCTTTGGATACCCTAACAACTAATAGAGTTGAAGATAGTGTCCTGAATAGTTTACCAGAATCAGTCTGGATATCTGTCAACACCCTGAATCATAGTCTACTCCTTGGATGTATATACAGAGCTCCTGAGAGCTCAAATAATGGGAATAATCTTATTATCAATGCATTCATACATGCATCTGCTCTAAACTTCAATGCTAAGGTTATCACTGGTGATTTCAATTATCCTGGGATTAACTGGAGTACTGGTAGCTGTCAGTCATGTAATGAGGAGTTCTTGGCAACCATTAACATGCACTGTTGGTCACAGTGGGTTCGTACCCCAACTAGAGGTGATAGTATACTCGATCTAATATTTAGTAGAGATATTATCCCACTGTCTGTAAAGGTATACGATGAATTTGAAAGCAGTGACCATAAGACAGTAGTATGCTCTCTCCCTATATATCCCTCTTCTAACCGACCCATTCAAAAAACCTGTCAATATAGAGACTTTAAGCATGCCGACTGGGACCTCCTGCATTCACTGATTAAACTTTCAGACTGGGATAACTTTTTTTCATGTACTAATCTCATAGATACTATCGACGAGTTCTATTTGATCGTTAACTCTTGTTTAGATTCTTCTGTACCTCTTAAAACGTACAGGTTTATTAAACCTTACGAATTATATATACCAGCTAAATATCGTAATAAACTAAGACGCCTACAGAATCGTTATTTCAAGTCAAACGACTTCACGGCAGCTGCGCAAACAACAATAATTTTTAATCAAATTAAAGAGACACATAGGTTAAAAGCCATTAATGAGGAGATACTAGCACTTAATAGTAACTCAAAAATACAAAACTTAACTCTACTTCTCAATAAACGCGCTAAAGTAACTCAAAATGTTGATATACCATGCATCCAGCATAATAACACTTTTATATACGACTCTAAAACTATGGCAGACCTTTTCAGTGCTACTTTTGCGAATGATGTAGGAACCACAAGTGGCTCTGCTTCAAGAGTTACGTGCGTGACCAGCAACTCCATAAAATCTATCTCCTTCACATGTAAGAAAATTAATATGGCTATAAATGCCCTTAAGCTTTCGCGCGGTCATGGAGCAGACGGGATTCCATCCTTTCTCTACAAATACGGTGGTCCAGATATTCCACTTCTTCTTCTAAAGCTGTTTACTCTCTCTATGGAAACTGGTTCTTACCCTTACTGTTGGAAAACCGCGTACATCATACCACGTTATAAATCTGGAGATAAGACTGACATGAACAATTATCGGCCAATAAATATTACTCCAGTGATCTCTAGGATTATGGAGAAAATTGTAAGTGATGAACTTTCCAACTATTTACTCGCTGGAAACTTTATCAATGATACTCAACATGGATTTCTCAAAAATCGATCTTGCATGACATGTCATTTCGACTTCTTTAATTTAGTCTACTCTCTACGTAGCCAAGGATATCTAGTCTTAGTGCTATATCTGGACATTTCTAAGGCCTTTGACATGGTTAACCACCAACTTCTTATAGGCAAACTTGCATCTTATGGGGTTCAAAATCCTTTGCTAGATTGGATTGATTCATTTCTCAGCAATCGACATCAAATAGTTAAAATTAACTCTTCATTGTCTAACGCTGTCCCCGCTAGAAGTGGTGTAATACAAGGTAGTGTCTTAGGCCCTTTGCTCTTTTTAGTGTTTATCAATGACATTTGCGAAAATTTTTGTGTAGGTAAGCCCCTTCTATATGCAGATGATCTTAAACTAGTATATTCATTTTCTCCACATGAGCTGGAAAATGTGCAAACTTGCATTAACTTGGAGCTTAACAAGGTAGCACAGTGGTGCTTAAAATGGCAACTGGAACTTAATACGGC